GCCTTCTCTATCTCACAGTCACCCGTCCCGACATCACTTATGCCGTCAATCTGCTCAGTCAGGCAGTTCATGCTCCCACCCAGGCTCACCTGGATGCTGCTCACCGTATTCTGCGCTACCTGAAGTCCTCTCCCGGGCGTGGGTTGTTGTTCCCCGCTCAGGGTTCTCTCACCTTGACTGCTTACTGTGATGCTGATTGGGGTGGCTGCTTTACTACCCGTCGTTCCACGACTGGCTATTTCATTCGCCTTGGTGCTTCTCCTGTTTCCTGGCGTACGAAGAAACAGTCCGTCGTCGCTCGTTCATCTGCTGAGGCTGAGTACCGAGCCATGGCTACCACCGTCAGTGAGGTTCTCTGGCTCCGGTGGGTTCTTGAAGAGCTTGGCGTTCCGCAGACTCAACCCACTCCCCTCTACTGTGACAATCAGGCTGCCCTTCATATCGCTGCTAACCCGGTTTTTCATGAACGTACCAAGCACGTGGAGATGGATTGCTACTTTGTCCGTGAACGAGTTCAGTCTCATCACATCGCTCCTCGGAAGATCCCCACGACGGAACAACTGGCTGACCTTTTCACCAAAGGCATCGACATTGATCATTTTCATCATCTTTTGTCCAAGCTTAGCATGTACGATCTCCATGCCTGCGTTTGAGGAGGCGTATTATGTTTTATTATTATTCTATCAACTAATTCCCACGTGACTTGATGAGGGAATTAGGGTTTGGTTTCCACAAACTATTTAAAGGCCAAGCTAGGGCTCGGCCACTGTAACTTTCTTCCTTCTCCTCTTGTTCGCCGATCATCATAATAAAAACTCAGCCGAGAGCAATAGCTCTCCGTGGAATAGTCTCACTCATCACCGAGTGGGGAAACCACGTAAATCCTTGTCTTGTTCCTTTTAATTCCGCAGCGTCGATTTCTTCCGTACCTCGTCGCATTTCCCGGCGGAGGGTTTGTTTGGGCGGCGAATTTCCGGGATGTGGGACCCGCGTAGTGTTGAGACTGTACACAGAGAGAGTGCTCGTTCCGTTACCGTGTGGGGTTGGCGATGCGAAGCGTAACCGTAAATGGTGGTGCTGTTGCCACATGATTAGCTGCTGGCTCCGTCGCTGGTGGTCCACATCACATGGCTCGTTTCGTTTGCGCTTACCGACGTCCATCGTATATCTTTGGTTTTTGTCGATGTTACCGACCTTAAATCATAGATTAATATAATAATAATAATAATTAACAATATTGTAAAAGTCCATAGTATAATTCCTTCTTTCCTTTCCGGCCCCGCATCCATCCAGTCCAGGCCGCTTGGCAGGCTTTTTGTTAGCTGGCGGGAACTCCTCGGAAGTCGGACCCCGATATTCCCGCCCACACGAAGCGTAATCTACACGATCTCGATTTTAGCCCAGCTGGCATAGAAGACGCAATTACTTAATTGCTAAGTTGTTTAATTACCCTTATTTATTTATTTATTTATTTATTTATTTATAGCACCAGTGCATTCGAAGTGTAACGAAAAGCTACATACCTGGCACTCTGATCCGATCGCCATGTGTAAAATAGTTAAATTAATTAATACATGAAGTTAGAAGAAGAAGAACTCGTAGTGGTTTACGTATGCAAGGCAGGCAGGCAAGCAGTGTGACTGTCTGTGTGAGGCAATGTGATATGGTGTACCGTGTATAAATTAGCATACTAAAAAATGGAAATCTCAAAATCCTGCGTTATCCCCACCGACAGAGCTATAAACTCGTATTAAATGTTCTCAAAGTTTGTCGAGTATCTATAGGAGGTCGAGATTTGACGTCGCAAGACATATTTCACCTCGTATAATTTTTGTTGTTTTTGAAAATCACAGCGACGATTCACTCGATTAAGTAGATAGGAGCCAGGTGGAAACACAAGAGAAAATTGAGGGGCACTAAAAACCAAAAAATTTGGGCCAGTAAATTAATTAAGGGCATGTTTGGAAGTTAGGATTCTCTAAATTGGTGTATTTAATCAATGTATGTATTATAATTAGATGCATTGTTTCAATGTATGAATTTGAAAAATACATTGTTTGGAGATTGAATGATTTTGGTGGCCCCTCAAAGAATAAGGAACAAAAAATAAGACAACAATCTCTCAAACACAATCTCAACTAAAAGTTGAGATTGAGAATCATTCATAATGAATGATTCTGGTGGGCCCATCTGTTGTTCAAATACAAGTATTCTGTTTCATTTTAAGCCAAAAAAACGATGAAGTCTTCTGATTAAAAAGAAAGCTGCAAAACCAAAAAAAAAAAAAGGAGGGAGCGATTAGTAATTTGATTAATTAGTGGGTTCACCGGAGAGAGAAAGAGAGTGTGGTGTGGGGTATAAAAGGTAACTTCCTGCTGCGGCAGTTAAAGAGAGGTGTACTTTAAAAACCTCGGCAAGGCAAGTACAGACTACAGAGCATTTAAATTTTAAACCAAGCAAAGGAACCGTTTGCTGAACCCAACCCAATCCACCTCAAACTCAAAGTCTCTCTTCCCCCAAAAACTCCGGCTGCCCCTCCGCCGCCCGTTCACAGTCTCTTCTCGCCGGCTGCGGATCTGCAATCAGCGGTGAGTCAGTGAATCATCATCATCATCATGTCGGGCACCACTAACTTCATAGACATCCTGCTGGCCATCCTGTTGCCCCCGCTCGGCGTCTTCCTCAAGTTTGGTTGCCATGTGGAGTTCTGGATCTGCTTGGTCCTCACGCTGTTGGGCTACATCCCGGGGATTGTCTATGCCATCTACGTCATCACCAAATGATCCTCTCCTCTCCTCTTCTCCGGCCGCTCAGGTACTTCCACAATCGCTCCTGGGACACGTGTTGGCCCATTGCGTGTGTTTTCGTTTTTCTTCCTATCCTAGCTTGTTATTTTTCGCCAACTGCCAACTGTGTCGTCAAAGTTAAAGCATATCCACTCTCGGTCTCTATACTTATCTTTTTTTCTCCAGAACAGGTTGGTTCAAAGAAGTAATGTAGTAAACTGAGAGACTGATTTGACTCTTCATTTGTTTTGTTTCCAAAAATTGTGTGGACAGGTGGCGGCCGGCTGATGAATTGGGGGTGTCGTGAATAAATAAATAATAATAAAAATTCTTGTGTGTTGTGGAGATAATATATTAAATTAATGTCAGCGAGAAGGTCGGTTCTCTTTTCTGTTTCTGGTGTGTGGATTTCTAGTTTCCAGCTTTGTACACGAGGCACTTGGGTTTGTTACTTCCCAATTTGTTCACCTTTCTTCCTCTTTTTATCTTTTGTAATTTAATTATGAGGATGGTTGATCGGATTTTTGTCTCTCTTTTCAAGTTTCTCTTGACGAATTTTTAGTTCAATTCAGTGTGTTCTTAGCCAGGGGTGTAGGCAGGAATTTTGGTAAGGTGGGTCGAATAGTAATATAGGTTTCGATAAGTGATAATAGGTAACATAAATCAGATGATGAGAAATAGTAATATTCTTATTTTCACGATCAGGTTACCAGCAACATCGTCTTCTAGCCAACCCCCTACCCATTAACCACCAAGGAAACTCCGTCGGTCTGGGAGGACGAAGAGGTGGTAGTCCTGATAGTGTGTGCATATGCTTCTCCGATTTGCTCCTAAAATCTTACAGATATTTTGTCATGTTATTTCTAGGTTTTACCCAGATAAGCTTTGAAGATCATTAGAAAAATGAGACTTTGATCCGAAAAGTCTACACTCTACCCTAATTGACTTCAATTGAGTTTTTATATGCAGTAAAGAGAAGCCAATGGACCACAAATTTAAACTCAAGCCCACATATCCGGGAGAACTCGTTTTTCTAGCCAGCCCATCAAAAAACAATGTGTTAAAGTGATATTTAAACTCACTTTTACTTCACTTTACAACCTACAACTAATTTTAAAATGGAGACGTTTTCATTAAACATATAAACAAGGTTCCCTTTATATATGTTTCGATCAAAGCAGCAGCTTATGCAAGCTTGGACCAAGAACATAGTATGAACACAAAATAAAATATGAAGAACTGAAAAATCTATTACTTGTCTGTGTGTTCCAAAGACAAGGTGGTGCAGCCGACCCACCTTGGCCTGCTCTGGCTCCGCCCCTGTTCTTACTTCTTAGCTTACTTCCTTTTTCTTCACTTGTTATCAGGGTGGACATTATGTAAGGTGGAGTGGGTGGAATTTTAGGCATAGATTCATCCCCCCACAATCATGTCGGTGAATTTTAACGTAGCTCATGTTCATTCAAATACCACATTGGGTAATATTATTTCTGTTGGGATTTTTACGGACGAGGGTACACGTACGATAGCCCAAGACCGGGTGATTAGGATTATGATAGAGTCGTGAACTACGTTCACTTTTCGTAAAGAATATTTCCACCCTCAACAAGCCTAGGGTTACAGGAAATTTCTTCGTAGCATAAAATTATCACCACTTTAGGTTCCAGACTTAAGTACCTAAAGCATACTTAGAATTTTTAGTAGGAAGAAGAATGCATATTTTGATGTGTTTTTACAACAACCACCGATGCCCATATTTATAGAAACAATGACGAAGCATTGTATTGCTTCATGAAAACGTTTGGTGGCTAACTGCCAATTCCCAAACGTTGTCATCATCCAAAGTAACCATTAATTTCATTTCATGGAGAGTTGCATTCCATTATGAAACAATGCATCACTTGGATAAAATAATGCATGGAATGGCAATTCCAAATGGTATCACGTGGAGACAAGAAGGAATGAGGAAGTGTCCCAATTCAAATGAAATGAAAAGTTGGATAATCAATTGGAAACGTAGGCTAATTAATTTTAATTATCCTGAACCAATAATTTAACTAACTCGGTCCAACCTCAAACCAGTTTGACCCGGTTAGTTTGGTTCAACCAAATTTCCAACATTCCTCCCCCATTTTAGTGTATTCATAGAATTCACTAAAATCACAACATTCTTCCAACAAAACTTAAGCATAAATGAAAATGTCGTGACGATTGAATTTTCACCTTAGTATATTACACTTGAAAAATATTCGAATACAAAGGGTGTCGGTAACGATTGAACACATTGAATCATATGAATATTCGAAGATAATATACACTTAAGTTTTCAAAACTTCTAAGCGACTTGACACTATTAACCGCCATGTGTCCAATCCTTCTCATAAGCGCACACGAAACCAAAGTCCGGGTTTCTTGAAGCGGCTACATTTCATGCTTACGTAGGTTGAATCTCTTATTCATGTACCCGCATAATACACTTTTTCAAAGATTCAATTAAGAAGTTTTGAACTTCATCCTCTTCTCTCATGCAAGATAACAAGCACATACCTTGGGATGACAAATTTTGTGCTTCAATTTCCGACAATAAGCTTTCCACATTGAATTTAGCCTCTAACGTTGTATAAGAGGGGAATTGGGTGTCCCATTACCATAAATTATATGGACTTTAAGCCATCCCTTTCACAGACTTGATCACCAAGTCACTAGTTAACCACTTCGTCAAATGATCAACCAAATTATTTCAAGTCTGGTTATACTGTCTAGACAAACACTATGAATGATCAGTTCACAGCTTTTACCGTGCCGTACTCCCACATGACCGTACTTGTCATTTTCACTTGACTATATGTCTTAGCCAAATTAGCATTACTATCACAAAAGACAGTAATAGGTGAGATTGGTTTAGGCCATAAATATATGTCATAAACCAAACCTCTCAACAATTATGTCTCTTCTCTAAGAGAAACCAAGACCACAATAACTTTGATTCCATAGTGAAACTTAGTGATGTAAGTTTGCTTTCTAGAGGCCCAAAATATGACACCTCTCCCAAGCAAGAGGACTCATCTCAATGTTGAAGTATCACCTTTAACATGAGAAATCCAACTAAAATCAACAAATCCTTCCAAAATTAATGGAAAGCCACTATAAGTCAATACAGTGTGTCTTTGACAGATCCTAGTACACACCTCATTTCAATCCAAATGATGAGAACTAGGATTCATCACTTACCAACTTAATTGTTCTATCGCATATGCGATATCTAGCATCATGTAAGTTGTTTCAGCCGAGAAACAAGGGAGGCGCCAGACCTGTGAAAGGGCGGGGTTGGCCCCGATTATCTACACTCCAACGATCAACATTAGAGACTTATAAGAAGAGCAAAGATAGAGAGAGATTGTATAGAGAGATAAGTGATCTGTCCAAATGAGAAGAAGAGGAGAACCCCTTTACTTGGAAGACCTAGGAGCATATTTATAGGTAAAACCTTGTGATATTTTGTTGGGCTTCAGTTGGGCCTTGTGGTGCTTTGTGGGCTTGGGCCCTGATAACGATGTAATTGCACATGTTTGCGCCCCTAGTTCTTATCCGTTTGAGGGGCATATTCGTGTGTTGTGGCCTATTTTACGCCGGGTTGTGCTATTTTGTCATGTTTCAGGTCCCAGGTGTCGAAGGGAAGGCTAAGCGCGAGTTTCGGGGCATTCGGAAGTCATTTCGGTGAGCTGGAGCCAAAACACGGGCACACCTAAATCATTACACGGCCGTGTTCTGGTGGCCGTGCTTTTTATGCCGAGAGCTGAGCTGATTACACGGGCAGGGCCAAAACAAAGCACGGGCGTGTTCAAGCATTACACGGCCGTGTCCAAAGCGAAGCACGGCCGTGTTTCTCCCCACTGCTGCTAGTGTAATTAACACTAGCCAAAGCACGGGCGGGCTGAGGCATTACACGGCCGTGCCCTCGACCGTGCTTTGGCTGATGCCTTTTTAAGCAGATTTTCAGCCAAACAGAAGGGGAATTCGAGTTTTTGAGAGAGAGATCAGTTCCTAGAGAGAGAAAGTGACGAGCAAGAGTTCCCAAGTGCCCTAGATTGATCTTCAACACCATTGGAGGCCAGCTTGAGCTTGGAGAAGTGCCAATCAACGTCCAGGAGCCGGAATCCGTCCTTCGCAGTATGAATTCCGTGTCTGTTTCTGCTTTTGCTTTCTTCTCCATGGAGTAGTTCTCCCATTCATCTGGGTATGGAGAACCCTAGATTTGTATGTTAGGCTTTGATTGTATGAACCCAAGTACTGATTCTGTGATTGATTATATTCGATTGAGGTTTTAATGATTGAATGACTTGAATCCTGATCAAATTCCTGTTGTTTCTGCTTTAACCTAGAATGAGAATATCTGCCTAGGTTAATAGAGTATCCTTGATTGAAGGTAGGGAGTTGGTGACTTTAGTCGAGGAACCAACTCACTATTCTGTACCGGATTTACTCCGGTAGTGGAGGTTTTGTTCTTAGGGCCTCAATCTGTCGACTCCGGTGGAGGTTAGTCGCCCGCTAGAGAGTCAGATTGAGAGGGTCTGAAGACCTTTAGTCGAGACTTCAGGCTGTTTAAGAACCTTCCGCAGTATAATCTTCATAGAAACTGAACTTGGTAATTACAATCCGGCTTAACTGCAGTCTAGGGGGAACCATATCCGGGTGACCTCTCTTAACCTGAATACAACAGTTTACTTGCTTTGTTAGTTTGATAGTTTAGACTTGCATGCCAGTTTCATTGCTAGATAACAAGAATTCACTGAGTAGTCATCACATCTAGGACCCGGGTTGATAATTAAACCCAAACCCGCTATACTACGCTTTAGGAAGTGGTTTCACTTGGCCAATTCCTGGAGTGACAGTAGAGTCGAGTCAAGTTTTTGGCGCCGTTGCCGGGGACGGCTAGGTTGTTGAAGAAAAGTGATTTCTGTTAATTTAGCTTTTCTTTTTGCTTTGTTTGCTTTGTCCCACTTGTGCCTTCACGGGTTTGCTTGCTTGAGTGTGTGCAGGTAGTGCATGACCCGTAGCCAGTCAGGAGGTTTACTGCCGTTGAATCCAGAGATTAACCGCACCTGTCGCCAGCTCAGGAGACAACAGCGAGCTAGACTGGCTACGGAAGAGCGCATAGACGGCCACCTGAGTAGCGATTCTGAAGAAGAGCACGGGATGGACGGAGACTACAACCAACACCAGGGGAATCCACAGCAGGTTCCCCCGGTGAATCAGGTCCTGGGGAACAACCCCATACCCCAGGACCATGGAGTTCATCCCCCGCAGCCGGGCCCCACCTTGGAGTACTACTACACTCCGCGGATTGCTGACATCCGCCCGGTCATCCTCTACCCGCCTATTCCAGCAAACAATTTCGAGATCAAGCCATGCTGGATTCAGCTCATTACATCATCTATCCAGTTCCATGGCTTGAAGAATGAGGAGGCCAGGGTGCATCTTTCCCGTTTTCTGCAGCTGACGAACGGGTTCAAGCTGAATGGTGTCCCCGATGATGCGATCCACCTTCATCTCTTCCCCCATTCTCTGGCGGGGAATGCTAAGAGGTGGTTGGAGACCCAGCCCCCATTGTCCATCACCTCTTGGGACGATCTGGCGGACAAGTTCGTGCACAGGTATTATCCGGCATCGAAGACTACAGAGATTCAGCGGGAGATCACTCACTTCCGCCAGGAGCCAGATGAGTCACTTCGTGATGCTTGGGAGCGGTACATGGGATATTTCTGGCAGTGCCCCCATCATGGCTTCAGTGATGCTTTCACTGTGGGGAACTTCTACAGTGCCCTTTCGCCAGATAGCCAGAGGGTGATTGAGTCTCTATGCCCAGGAGGGTATATTCTTACCAAGACTCCACCCGAGCTGAACCAGATGATCAGTACTTTGGCTGCCAGAGATCATTCTTGGGGACAGGGTAGCCGAGGCAGACAGTTCCGGGACCGTGATGTGCACGCCATGGAGACCAGATCCGGGCTCGAGCAGCAGGTAGCTGAGCTAGTGCAGACATTGAAGCGGCCCAACAGTCTGATTCCGGGCAGAGGTTTGGCTACACCTCCAGTAGCTCAATGTCAGTGGTGTGAGAGCTCCAATCACCTAGTGGAGGACTGCCAGGCTATGAGGGAGTCTACCACACCCCAGGAGCAGTTGGCCTTCATCGCCAATGCGAGGCGCCTCGATCCATACAGCAGCACATATAATGAGGGGTGGCGCCAGCATCCCAATTTCGCCTGGAGCAGCAACACCACTAAACCACCTGGTTTCCCAGCACCAGCAGGTGGTTTTCAGCAGAGGCAGCCCTTCCAGGCTCGCCAGGGGCCAGACCCACAGCAGCAGCCCTACCAGCCTAGGCAGGGCCAGCCATTCCAGCAGCCCCAGCGCCAGTTTGCCGAGCCAGCAGCAGCTCCGGCCCCAGATGACAGGATGACGAAGCTGGAAAACATTCTAGCTTCATTCATGACTAGCACCCAGGCTGCTATCACATCCCTGGAGGCAAGTCAGCGGAACCAGGGTGCCATTTTGCAGGATCTGCAGACCCAGGTGGGCATCTTGGCCCGCCAGAGCACCACCAGGGCACCGGGTACTCTGCCTGCCACCACTGTTCCTAATCCTCGAGATCCTCACAAGCATCAGCAGCTGGATGCCATTTTTACCAGGAGCGGTAAGGTGATATCTGCTGATCCTGCCCCGGCCAGACAGGAGGAACCACTACCTGCTTCAGCACTTCCAGCCGACGATGCAGAAGTGCGGGTGGAGAAGGAAGCCCCTGCTCCCAAGCCACAACCAGTGGTTAAGGAGCATGTACCCCAGCTTCCCTTCCCCACTCGCCTACACAAGGACAAGCTGGAGACTGAGTTTGCCAAGTTCATGGCAATGTTGAAGCAGCTCAACATCAGCATACCGTTCATGGAGGCACTGTCGAAGATGCCCAAGTATGCCAAGTTCATGAAAGATATCTGCACCAACAAGAAGAAACTTGGGGATCTCTCGACAGTGATGCTCAGTGAGGAGTGTTCTGCTATCCTGCAGAACAAGCTGCCCGAGAAGCGCAAGGATCCAGGGAGTTTTACTATCCCTCTTACTATTGGCAGTATGCATGTAGGCAAGTCCTTGGCGGACCTAGGCGCTAGCATAAACTTCATGCCATATAAGTTGTATAAAATGCTAGACCTAGGTGAACTTAGCCCTACTAGGATGAGCATTCAATTAGCTGATCGTTCTATCGTGCATCCTAAGGGTATCATTGAGGATCTGCTTGTTAAAGTAGGTACATTCACATATCCTGTTGATTTTATTATTCTTGATGTGCATGAGGATGTGGATGTGCCTTTGATTCTAGGTAGGCCATTTCTTGCCACCGCCAAGGCACTAATTGATGTGCATGATGGTAAGTTGATCTTGCGTGCTGGGAATGAACAGGCTACTTTTTCTGTGACTGAGTTTGATCACTGTGCTATGATTGATGTCACGCCTGTGCATGCTATGTCTGATCAGGTACACGAGCCTGTCGTGTATCCTTCTGCACCTCCTATTTTGCAGGACCCTCCTATTATTCCTTCGCCGCCACTCCATCCAGCCTCACCTCCGAACAAAAAGCTCAAGGAGGAGTGGCGACCGAAGCAGCAGGTTGCTAAGCCTGCACGGAAGAAGAGTGGAGACCACTATGAGCTGGTCCCACCTCCTGCACCACGACCACCCTGGCCGTCTGGATACTCGCTCTCCTGCATCTTGCCAGATGGGCAGGTCGAGCTGACTGATGAGGGTGGTCGCATCCGTCGGGTGCATGGCCACAACCTGAAGCTGTACCTCAAGAGCGACGTGGATCCGCTCTTGGAGGCACCTGTTCCTGCACCGCCCTGAGTATCCACCATGGGCGTCCAGCTAAAAGACGGTAAAGAAGCGCTTGTGGGGAGGCAACCCCACCACGGTTTGATTTTCTTTTTTGTGTTTTGAGTCGGATTGTAAACCAGTCGGTTTTGGTTTGTTTTCTTTTGTTCTGGATGATGTCTTATTGGGCTGACATTGGACCTAACATACTGTGTTTGAGCTCTTCTGTTCCTCTTTAGCTGTGCTTGCTCCGACTGGCCCGCTTCCAGCCCCCTGCAGCCCGTGCATACCGGTAACATCTTTCCCTTTCCCTTCCCTCTTCTCCATTGAGGGCAATGTCGATCTTAAGTGTGGGGGGATGTTTATCTTTTGGCTGCATTAGATCTGTTTGTGTGCTTGGAGCCTAGTCCACTGTCCAAATTTTTAAAATTTGAGGGCTCCAAGTACGTGTTTCCTTGCAATTGCCTGCTCAGTATGCTTTGAATTGACAGTCTTTATAGTGATATGCAACCTAGGGAGGTAGTGTAGCACTATGGAGGATGTTGATGCATTTAAGGAGTCTCATTTCTTCTTCATATTGTGTTGGTTGATTGAGTGAATTAGTGATCTTAGGACCCTTGAATTGTGTGGTGTTGTGGATTCTCTGCCTGTCATGGACTCTTGTATCATGTTTTGAGTTTAACAGGTGCTCGAAAATGTGCTTCAAAATAACGTCTCCCGTGCGAATAGGGCGAAAGTGTGTAAGGGGAGACGGGAATCCGTTCCCAATTTCCACCTACTACCTCCAGCCCCCTTACATGTCTTTCCCCCGCACGAGGCTCGAGACATCCGCTCCTGGCATGGCCGGTAAGAGCAGGTTGGGACCCTTGAAAAGAAAAAAAAGAAAAGAAAAATAACAGAAAACAAGCAAAACAGGAAAAAAAGGGGTTCCAACCATCTTCAAAGAAAATCGAGCACCTTGAAAAATGTGAGTCCATGATCTTTTGTTTTTGAGAATCTCTTCATCCACAATTCATTTGTCCTCTGTTCACTGTTTGCCATGATGCCGACTCGCCGAAGAAGCTATGAGATGACTTGTGCGTCGGTTGACCTCGTAAGTTGCTAAATGATCTAGGAAGTCCTCTGCCTAAGATCTGGGTTGTTTGTTGCTGTAGAGGTCTGGAGAGTTGCATTGGTTTGAGTTAGGTTTGCTTGGGGACAAGCAAACGGTTAAGTGTGGGGGAGTTTGATAACGATGTAATTGCACATGTTTGCGCCCCTAGTTCTTATCCGTTTGAGGGGCATATTCGTGTGTTATGGCCTATTTTACGCCGGGTTGTGCTATTTTGTCATGTTTCAGGTCCCAGGTGTCGAAGGGAAGGCTAAGCGCGAGTTTCGGGGCATTCGGAAGTCATTTCGGTGAGCTGGAGCCAAAACACGGGCACACCTAAATCATTACACGGCCGTGTTCTGGTGGCCGTGCTTTTTATGCCGAGAGCTGAGCTGATTACACGGGCAGGGCCAAAACAAAGCACGGGCGTGTTCAAGCATTACACGGCCGTGTCCAAAGCGAAGCACGACCGTGTTTCTCCCCACTGCTGCTAGTGTAATTAACACTAGCCAAAGCACGGGCGGGCTGAGGCATTACACGGCCGTGCCCTCGACCGTGCTTTGGCTGATGCCTTTTTAAGCAGATTTTCAGCCAAACAGAAGGGGAATTCGAGTTTTTGAGAGAGAGATCAGTTCCTAGAGAGAGAAAGTGACGAGCAAGAGTTCCCAAGTGCCCTAGATTGATCTTCAACACCATTGGAGGCCAGCTTGAGCTTGGAGAAGTGCCAATCAACGTCCAGGAGCCGGAATCCGTCCTTCGCAGTATGAATTCCGTGTCTGTTTCTGCTTTTGCTTTCTTCTCCATGGAGTAGTTCTCCCATTCATCTGGGTATGGAGAACCCTAGATTTGTATGTTAGGCTTTGATTGTATGAACCCAAGTACTGATTCTGTGATTGATTATATTCGATTGAGGTTTTAATGATTGAATGACTTGAATCCTGATCAAATTCCTGTTGTTTCTGCTTTAACCTAGAATGAGAATATCTGCCTAGGTTAATAGAGTATCCTTGATTGAAGGTAGGGAGTTGGTGACTTTAGTCGAGGAACCAACTCACTATTCTGTACCGGATTTACTCCGGTAGTGGAGGTTTTGTTCTTAGGGCCTCAATCTGTCGACTCCGGTGGAGGTTAGTCGCCCGCTAGAGAGTCAGATTGAGAGGGTCTGAAGACCTTTAGTCGAGACTTCAGGCTGTTTAAGAACCTTCCGCAGTATAATCTTCATAGAAACTGAACTTGGTAATTACAATTCGGCTTAACTGCAGTCTAGGGGGAACCATATCCGGGTGACCTCTCTTAACCTGAATACAACAGTTTACTTGCTTTGTTAGTTTGATAGTTTAGACTTGCATGCCAGTTTCATTGCTAGATAACAAGAATTCACTGAGTAGTCATCACATCTAGGACCCGGGTTGATAATTAAACCCAAACCCGCTATACTACGCTTTAGGAAGTGGTTTCACTTGGCCAATTCCTGGAGTGACAGTAGAGTCGAGTCAGGCCCATATGTGTCTTGCATACCATATTTACTATTCGGTTGGGCTCAGCCATATTTACACCCCCAACAATTGTCCCCCAGTTAGGTATTCAGTGGTACACTGGATGCCTAACTAGAAGTCTTCATGTTGTCAAAATTTTGTAGCCTCTACATCTGGCATATGACGTGCATGCGCCTCTTTATACTCTGCTAGTTGATCCATGTCCCCCATGATCATAATAGCTTAAGAACCCGGAGCAAGAACCATGGAGAGAAAGAACAATGTAACATAATGCGACTCATAACACGGTTAGTGATATAACTCAAGCAATGAGATAAAACTATTTATTGCACATATGATGCCTACCAAGGTTATGACATTTTTCGGCGCATAATTAAAGATTTGTTTTCCTTAGAAAAAATCTAGAATGCGCATGCACATGTTACCCCCAATTGTCCCCCAGTTAGGCGGCCAGTGATGCACTGGACGACTAACTAAAATCCCCTGACTTGTCAAGTTTCACGTAAGATCATTTGGTGTTTTGTCCCCCAATTCATGTCCCCCATTACCATATTAATTACACAAAGAAAGGATCACAAAAATGCTAAGCAATGCAACAAAATTTAATTCATACAATAACTAGAAATATAACTCGAGTAAATATAGAAAACACTTAGCTTATTCCTTGAGATGTATCATTGGAGGCTAGAACGGAAGCGCCTAAAAAAAAAGCAATTGGTGTCCGCATTTGTAGCTTAACCTTAGAAGTGTTTCCTCACCGCACTCTTATTCTATAACAAGACTGCCCTTTATTTGTCTGTATGCTCCCATAATCACTTCTTTATTGACTTTGATGTTGTGAGTGCCTCAGTTTGCCATGAGTTTTCCGACATAATGCGAGCGCCTCGCTTCTCCCTTTAACACCAGTTGAGTGTTATGAACACTTTACATCCCACTAGGGAAACTTGGTCAATAATAAGCATCTGCCAATATGTGACAAGATGCTGAGTTGTAGATGAGTGGTTGAATTCGCCAACTTCTCTTGTTGGAGAGGTAGTTGTTTCAAATCCCTCATCATGCGCCTCTTTATTTTTCTCCAATATTTCCATTTTTAATGGATTGTCGGGCCAACCGAGTGCTTTGAAGTAGATCTACTTTTGTCCTTTGTCCATCGGTTCAGATCTCTTGCAAAGTAGACTTTTTCTTGAGACAAAACTTGGTTTCGAGTGGTGAAGCTCATGTGTTGTAGGCTCCTCATTATGCCATACGCCTTATTCTTTGGGATGCATATCTCATTGGAGGCTGGAACTGGAGCGCCTTGGAGTCACGTGTTAGTAAACTCCTTATACTACCCTTAGAGACTAGACTTGTACTACGAACCCTGTAAGTTCCTCTCTAGAGAACTTTTAACATTTTGGGCGCTTTAAGTATTTTGGGCGCGGAGAGTATTGCCAACCACGGGCGCTAAATTTGGGCGCGGAGAGTATTTCTGATCATGGGCACTAAATTTGGGCGCGGAGAGTATTGCCGACTACGGGCGCTAAATTTAGGCGCGGAGAGTGCTTTCAAGTGTTATGCTATATTTGGATACAGAATTGTTTTCGACCAAAGATGCTATGTTGGGACGCAAAGAATATTTCAAACCAGAAGCAATATATCACGGAGGTAAAAACCAAATTTCACAAAGGGTTTTAGTACCTTGCTTGGTGAGTGCCCTGAAACTCAGGCTATCGCTTTAAATGCACTTGCTTTGTAGGAACATGATAATGGTGTAGGCGCCCCACTTGCAGTGCTAAGAGTGCCAATATGCCGGAGCCTCCGTAGAAGGTCGTTGCTAAGAGTATGCGCCTCCTTGGTCAATGTGACAAGAAATAATAGTATTCTCGTGGCGTGGGCGTCTTGATTCTTGTTTTTGGGTGCCAAGCTCAAGTCCCAATGATTTGGTGGTGTAACAAGAACATTAAAGGATCCAAATATATAAATATTGGACGCCCATAATCAAGTGCTATGTTGATTTGTAGCGCAGTGGTAGAGGCGCCTACCATGTGGCGGCTTGATGATCATGGTTGAGTGTTCGATCCACCCTGATGAGTGATTTTATTTTTGATTTGTGACCAGTATGCTTGGGCTTCCTATGGACTGTCTTGATCCGGGCTTTGAGCGTCTCGGGCTTCAAACCAACAAATCGGGCTATCTTGATCTAGGCGTTGAGCGTCTCGGCTTCAAAATAACAAATCAGGGAATTTGATTGGCCCTTGCACTCCTTGGCTTACGCGCAGAATCCATTCGATTGGGCTAATGGGCTGAATGATTTCTTGTAATGAGTTAAACAGGCGCCCACAGCATGCGCTCCTTGACATCATGCTAGTGTAAACTGGGCACCATTCTTTTTCTCTCTTCTTTCTTTTTATTTTTCCTCTTTTCTTTTGTTCTTTTCTTCTTCCTCTCCATTATGGACGCGTCCAAGTTCCCTCATCTCTTTTCTTTTCATTCGGCCAGCGCCCAAGTGCTTTGCTTTCTACCCCCATCATCGGTATTTCCCTCATTACATCAGAAGCTTAAATCAGGCGCTCTGCATTTGTACCTACACGTCGAAGCTTCGGGTTTGCCCATTGATGTTACCCTTGATGCTCGGCTCCCCCAATCCGCCCTTTGTAAAGCTGATGGCAAGTGGCAACAATGAACGTTTTCTTCAGAACGACGAAAAACAGGCGCCAAATGGCAGACTTTGTTGGCTCTAGCCGACTTTGTTGGCTCCCATGAACAAACGCAGATCTGTTTTCTTTCCCCTTTCTCCTCAACAAGTTATTTCATGAATGGACTTGGAGAGAGGTATTATTTCAGGACTCAGGAGCCAGATCTGGGCTTCCTTCCAAAAAAAACTCTGCTTTCTTCGCAAGAAGAGGGGTAGCTCGGATCTTGATTGGGTACTAGTAGGGAGAAAACATACAACCGAGTATTTTGACGGCTCGAGTTCTTTCCTAACAGGCGCTCAAACTCTTTCTTGTTAACGAAGCCGATGATGCTCTTTTTTGTATCTCGGCTTCGGAGTCGGGGAAGAATCAGACTAAGGCTTTGAACGGAATGGATGATATTCTTGGTGGCAGTGATTTTGGAGGAGCAGATCTGGATATTGGGAAAGAGTAATAGGAGGGCTAGATCTGGGTTTTGGGAGACTCTCATTTTCGCGAAAGATGGAAAAATAAGATCAGGAAACGACCAGTGGCAGTGAGATATGGTTTTGGCTTTTTCACCACAGGAGCTCTCTTTTGTTCTCATTGATCTGTTCTTGCTATTTTTTCTCTTTTGTTCTCATTGATCTGTTCTTGCAATTTTTTCTCTCTTTTTTTTTTGTTTTTACTGCCACGAACTAGACAACCCGACCCATGAAGGGAGCTCGAAGAAAAAATAACTCACCAAATCTCATCTTCCGTTTCCAACTCACTCTCCAGTACCTTCACAAAGAAACCCATGGCGGCCCCAAGCTGGATTGTAATTTCTTTTTGAGATAAATCTTGTGTCATCCGTTGAGCCACATCTGTTTTCTGTCTCGTAGAACATCCCACTCAAAAGAAATAAAGGAAGTCCAGGACGCCTCTACTCTTTGAACATATTCTTACAATGCGTTTGATTTTTGGTTGCCCCTACCTGGCGCGCCAATTGTTTCAGCCGAGAAACAAGGGAGGCGCCAGACCTGTGAAAGGGCGGGGTTGGCCCCGATTATCTACACTCCAACGATCAACATTAGAGACTTATAAGAAGAGCAAAGATAGAGAGATTGTATAGAGAGATAAGTGATCTGTCCAAAATGAGAAGAAGAGGAGAACCCCTTTACTTGGAAGACCTAGGAGCATATTTATAGGTAAAACCTTGTGATATTTTGTTGGGCTTCAGTTGGGCCTTGTGGTGCTTTGTGGGCTTGGGCCCATATGTGTCTTGCATACCATATTTACTATTCGGTTGGGCTCAGCCATATTTACACCCCCAACATAAGTCATGCATACATCGAGCCCCCAATTTGACATGGAATACTCCAGTTGTAAAACTTATTTCCAGTATGAACCATAAGTTTCATACTTGGATCCATTGGGATCTTTAAGTCACTACAATTCCTACTATGGAATTTATGCAAGTACCGTCTCATGCAGAAAAATTGAGAGAATGACTCTTTCTTGTTGTTTCGCTTGATTCAATACACAGAATCACATTTGCCACCCCTATGTCCTACATGGAGAATTGAAATAACACATTTTTATCAAAGTTCACTTATCTTTTATTGGTTCCAAAGATAAGCAAGTCTTATACATACAAATGTACGATGACTTCATAACCAGAATCATCATAAATTGTGTACACATTTTGTCTCCTTGGTTTAAAATAACATAAACAACTAGACAAAATCACTTATCTTTGATTGGTCCCAAAGATAAATATGTCATCTACATACAAACACAATGACTCTATTAACAGAATCATCAAACATTGTATATACAATTTTGTCTCCTTGGTTTAACATAAACCACTTAGACAAAACCACACCATCAAACCACTAGACAAATCCAAATTTGTCTAGCACTTCGTAAACGTCGAATAGAGAATTAGACAAATTAACCATTGAGTATGTGACCTACCCAAAGGAAATTTTCATTCTTCTATTTCTCCATTTTACGAATCATTCTCCTTCTTCCTCATCTTCGAATTATCCCTCTTCCAAGATACCTTCCGAATATGGAATACACCATGAGACTAGTACGAAGAAACCCCATCTTCTACTGCCGTCGATGAAATACCCATCATCGAAAATTCTCATAATTTCATAGACCGGAACCAGTTTCTTGTAAAGAGAGGTTCGAGCTATCGTACTGGAAAATATTCTTTGCGATTGTTGGGACTTTTAGGGACGAGGGTACACGTACGATGGCCCAAGACCGGGTGACTAGGATTATGATAGAGTCGTGAACTACGTTCACTTTCCGTAAAGAATATTTCCACCCTCAACAAGCCTAGGGTTACAGAAAATTTCTTCGTAGGATAAAACTATCACCACTTTAGGTTCCAGGATTAAGTACCTAAAGCATACTTAGAATTTTTAGTAGGAAGAAGAATGAATACTTTGATGTGTTTTTACAACAACCACTAATGCCCATATTTATAGAAACAACGACGAAGCATTGTATTGCTTCATGAAAACGTTTGGTGGCTAACTGCCAATTCCCAAACGTTGTCATCATCCAAAGTAACCACTAATTTCATTTCATGGAGAGTTGCATTCCATTATGAAACAATGCATCACTTGGATAAAATAATGCATTGAATGGCAATTCCAAATTGCATCACGTGGAGACAAGAAGGAATGAGGAAGTGCCCCAATTCAAATGAAATGAAAAGTTGGATAATCAATTGGAAACGTAGGCTACTTAATTTTAATTATCCTGAACCAATAATTTAATTAACTCGGTCCAACCTCAAACTAGTTTGACCCGGTTAATCTGGTTCAACCAAATTTCCAACAATTTCTGGGTGGGTGGAATGGGTAAGGACGATTGTATAATACATCTTCAAAATTGAAACAAATATTGATAATGAAATGTTGTCGATTATTAGCATTAAAAGATCAATTTTCGGTGAATTTTTTTTTTCGGTGAAAAATAAGATATACAAATAATGGAATTAAAGAACTGAACTTTGGTAGGGATTTGAGATTTCACATGATGTATGTGTGGGTATAGGGTTTGACAAGGTCGACCAGTACCCATCAGAATTTTGATAGGTTGTGCTGAAAAACTCACACCTATCGATTATATTACGACGAGCCGGATTTTATTGGGCGGGTGGATTCCTCCGTGAACTTGAATAAAGAGGCTAATTGAGTGCTCAAATTGACATAATTGATTGTTGGGTGCTCACCATGACCCACAACTGAATTTGGTGCCTAAAACGTTACTTGCAGACTAATTGGGTGCCCAAATTGATCTATAACCTAGGAGAAGCAGAAAACATGAAACTACAAATTACAAGACCTTCGCAAAACCAAATCTCCAATTAGGGTTGGCAACGGGGCGGATCAGGGACGGGTAGCTAGTTCCCATTACCCATGCGTCAAGGCAAACAGATTCCCCCCTCGCCGTCCCCGTATCCTTAACGAGTGGCGTTTGGTTTCCATCACCATCCCCAGATGGATTCGGGTAAACCACGGATCCTGAGAACTAACAAAAGGAAAGGAAAAAGATAACCTAAAATTCCTGAAATTCAAACATCAAAGTACCTTGATGTTCAAGGCACATAAATTCAAAACACAAAAGGAAGATTGGGGCTATAACCCTCCCACCACCCAGCACCCAGATCTTTATAGTTCAAACAATGAAACAAAAGTGATAGGTTGCAACAGCAAAACAAGCTACTGCAACCAAAAATCCACCACCCAAAACCCATATAACATGTTCCTCACTACATCTACTGACTAGTGTTCAAGTTCAAAAGGAATAGATTATAAAAACAAAGGCAATCAGCCCCAATAACATCATCCATAAATCGAACTAAAACCTATACTACTAGCACACGAGTTCCTTTGATCTTTTCCTCCAAAAGCAAGCAACACTATGCTGGAAACCAACTCAACAACAACATTCATCCTTGAAAAGCAATCACTGTAAGAAACAGAGTAGCAAAAATAGTTAGAGAAGTGAAACTCATTTTAAATTGAACAAGTTAAAAAGCCTCAAGTCTAGCTCTATACCTTGAACCTTTCAACAAATCAGTCGTCTAGGGATATTAGATGCTTCTTCATCACAAGTCCCCCTTGATCTGCAAGAATAAAAAAAAAATACAGTTAGACATTGAAACTATTAAACTAAGTACCAATCTAAATTGAACTAATTACAAAGAAGCCAAATTTGAGAACCAACTATTTTACTTGCTTCGTCTTGATCTTCAGTACTAGAATCTACAATTGCTAGAGCTGAGAACACCCCTTCCATTGCCTCCACGGCAGCCTTCGATGATTCTGCAGATTGAAGAAAAAAATGAAAAGACAATTAACATTAAATCTAATTAACATTAAAAAACTAACATGGGAGTAATTGCAGGTTACCTTGTTGCATTTCCTCCATAATCCAACTCCTAGTACACATCATGCCTCTATTGTATCATAGTGCAATCTACTCCGATGAGGGTCTATTAACCTCCCACCAGAGCTAAAAGCAGATTCAGAAGCCACTGATGTGATTGGTAAGGCCAAGAAATCCCTTGCAATTGCTTGCAAAGTGGGGGTACTTAAGGCCATTCAGTTTCCACCACATCAGTATATCAAACTCAGTAGATCGTTTAGGAATCAGTTCCTCAAGAAGATAGCGATCCAGTTCAGTATGGATAAGAGTTGCTTTGCTTTTTTTCCTCCGACTCACAAACAGTTCAAAATCATGATCATCATTTGCAGGATTAGAAGAACTATCATAAGCAGTTGAAGAACCAGAATTGTTCTTCTCGGACTTGGTTTGGTAATCAAGCACCAAACCACAAATACATTGCTTAATCTTATCAGCCACCAAATCACTATTGGTACTGCCAAACTTAGTAGCATAATACTCAATCACATGCAGCTTGTATCTAGGATCAAGAACCACTGACACAGCGAGAACCAAGTGTATATCATCCCAATACTTAGCGAATTTCTCCCACATACTCTCAACCATAGCCGAGATAAGAGAATTGGTATCCACACACCATTCCAACAATTTCAGTCTCAGATCACAAACCTTGGGGAAAAACAAATTAGCAGTGGGATACTTGCTGCAAGAAAACAACTTTGTAATCTCACTAAAATTTCCAGCTTATCAATGACAATAGCAGCAAAATCTCAGTGCATACTAGTAGGGACAGTGTTGTATTGACTATCCCACTACCTCAAACAAGAGAAAACATCTCTATGCACAATGGTAGTAGATAGCATATCATATGTGGAATTCCACCTTGTCGGACAATCAAGCACAAGTTGCTTCTAACAATGCACTTTAAGCTGCCGAGCATTTTCAAAGAAGGCTTGTACCCTCTTAGGAGTGGATTTCCAGTACACAACACTATCTCTAACCAATTCAATGCCATCCTTGATGACTTCCAACCCATCTTTCACAATAAGATTCAAAGAGCAGAACATCTCATTTGAACCAGCACACCATCCAACAACAAATCATCCATAGCAAGTTTAGTTTTCATATATGTAATCATGACATCATTGGTGGTACTGTTATCCAAGGTAATCGAGGACAACTTCCTATCAAGATTCCAACTAAGCAAACACTTGAACAACCTATCTCTCAACCTCTGACTAGTATGAGGGCTGGGACATAGACAAAGCTCAACATCATGTTTTTGCAGATGTGTCATGCCCCACCTTAGTTCATGGCAATGGGGTGGCGAGGTGGGTAGCTGATTAATACCCATACCTAGGGGTGAACAAACACACCCGCAAACCGACCCACCCGTCCAATCCGACCCAACCCACCCGTATTTATCGCTAAAACGAAGGTTTTGGGTTGGGTGAGGGTTTTCTTTTGTACAACCCGCCTCTTTTGGGTTGAGTTTGGATTTTGGATTACACAACCCGTAGAACCCGACCCAACCCGTATTCCAACTATTAGTATGAGTTCGTATCAAAAAAATATTTATGTCGTATATAGTCATACTTATGTGAAAATTAAGATATTTCGCCATGTTTTTCTATCATGGTCTCCCTAATCTAATGCATTCTTTGACTTAAAGTTTAGACATAAAATTGAATATAATTATGATTCATGTAATCCGTTTTCTTGTGTACAATTTTAATAGAATAACATAATATGGATGCATTTGTTTATAACCTTTTTAGCCTATTTCAACAAATATCGTGAAAAAACTAGACATATGTTGAAGTAAATCACATTTTATTAAAACTCAAACAACATTTGTGAATTTTGATACCTTTCACCTCGGTTTATTTGTTTGAAATTTTAATTAGTTATAAAATATTTTTATGGTGTATAATAATTATATATTTTATGTTGGGTTGGGTTGGGTTTTTACTTAAAAATATCGCCAACCCGACCCAACACAATTATAAACAAACCGTAGGGTTTAAAGTTTTTTGGGTGGATTTGGGTTTGATAATTCCCAAACCGTAGTGCATGGGTCGGGTGATTAAAATACTTAAACCCGAACCAACCGACCCATGTACACCCCTACCCATACCCATCCCGCACCAAGAGCGGGTCGAAGCGAGACGGGTTGACCAACTCTTACGTGTTATGAAAAAAAACACATGCATAATTTTACTTGATACGATAAAACGAAGTGAATATACTTTATGAATAAAAAATAGTGATAATAAAATGGGTAATTGAGTCTAACTAGTTGAAAGATTAAGTCTTACAAGTTGAAAAAGTCAAAATATAATAAATATTGTAAGAAATTGAGATAGTTAGAGAAAAAACGAAACGAAGCAGCGCCAGTTAGAAATAAATACCCGTCCCACGATACTGTGAGTCCAGTAAAACTCGCCCAATCACGGACCAAATTGAGTAATACTCATTAAGACACGTTCAAATTACCATCCCTAATCACTTATAGTTGACTGGGCTTAGGCCCACTTATTTCAAGCGTCTAGGTTTAAATGGGGTTTTTCTAATTATGGACCAGTGTATGGGCCCTTCTATTCATAGACACAGCCCGACCAACACTACAAATCTTGACGGACCCAAGAGAAAAGAGGGCCAGTCCCTCTGATATTGTTATGGCATTGATCGTTTGGCTCTCTATATATATGCTCTCTGGATAACCCCTCCAAATTTTGTGAATTCGATTGATATCAAAGTGAAAAAAGGGTTCTTGGATTCTAGGTGGAGGGGATATGGGTCTGAACCAACTTGGCTCGCGGATACGGATTATCTTCTCACTCGACGGTCTCTACGTGAAGAAAGTAGTGATCAAAGTTCAAGAGGGCTATCTATACTTGTCCAAATCTTCTCTAAAATAATTATTAGAGTTGGGCCCGCTCGTTGGCCGTATGAATTAGATTAAGAATATAAACACTAACGTCTAACAGTAATAATCTATTTGATACATGAAAGAATCTAAATTATTCAATAACTAAACATATAAAAAATATACATTACAAGTGTTACATGATAATTTATGGACAAAAGTCGTTATCAAAAGTAAACAACACAGCTCATGGAGGTAACTGATTTTTGAAAAACTTAATATTCAAAACGTATTTCAATTTACTCTTTGTTGCTAGAAGTTACCGCAATTTTCTTTTTGGATTTCTTTTAGATTTCCCCACCATAAAAAAACATCTTCTCCACACAACTTCATCTTGATTACTGAAACTTCATATTCACCATCACTAGTCTCTTAACTTCCTTTTCTCATGCATTTCATTGAAAACCATTTTAATTGTAAAATTTTAGAAAATGTGAAACATCTTTTCACGATGCTAGAATTTCACCTCATATTAATCAAATATTTCAACCATTCGCTCTTTCTTGCTATCACATATATTTCTATATCAACCATCAATAATATCTTTCTTTATCTCAATAAAATCCTTATCTCCATATATGAATTCACTACTTCTGATATTAGCATATTCTTCTTTCTTCTCCTACATTTCATTGATGCAAAAATTTAATGGCAATTTTTTTGAATTATGAAAATTCCATTTTCAAGAACTTAAATTTACCATGTAGATGTCATGAACTTTGCGCGAGATTGCACTTATTCTTAATTATCTTCAAAACTGGGTACCCACTTATGGGGTTCGCGATGTTGTAATTTATGAGCTTCATACGAAAATTTAACTTCGTGCTTTGTTTGCATGAGATGAGGAGGTGAATGTTCTCTCATTTTGTCACTATCTTTGAGTAGTTTCTCAACAATCATTCCAAAAAGTCTAGCTCCCTCGTGATACAAAGTTAGATTGAACAAATATTGTCCATAGCTCACAGCTAATCCTGAATCTATAAAATAACAACAATTGAAATGTATTATTCGGTTGAAAACTTAATATTTTAGTGGGTACGTTCTTTTCTCTCTAATGAATGAACTTGAAGTTAAAAACAATTAAAGAGTAGAGGTAGATTACTACCTAACTACTATTGTCTTTGGTGTTGTATAATTCTTATAAAATTAATTTTAAATTCAGTCTTCGGTGTAGTATAATTCTTAGATATATTGTTCGTCATAGTCTTCTTTAACTTATCTTTGGCAAGTTACAATTAATATGGTTTTCCTAACCTATTTAAAATCAGAGGAAACGAATGAGATATAGTCCGCTAATTTGCGAGAAATTGAAAGTCCCTTAATAATAGCTCTTTAGATTTGAGCCAGCTGTACTAAAGGAGGTTATGCACCAAAATTTCAGCCCTTTTACTTGATTGTTTGAAGATCATACTTGAACACTATTTTTTAAATAAGGTGATTCTCCAAGGTGAATATATTTTTAATGCGTAGAACAATAGATTTAATACTTAATAATTGTATGAATTGACTTAAAAACTCAAAATAATATTGAAGCAGTTATAACATAAAAAATAATATGTTACTGCCAAAGTAAGTTTTGATAAGAATTATCATCATACTAATATTTGTTCAAAACCACGCAAGTTTTAAATCTCTCACTAATATTTGATTAAAATCAAGCAAAGTTATGAAAAAAGAAAGAAAATGGAGTTGCCGTTTTATACTATGTAAATAAAATAATACATAACAAACTTAGATCTAAGGTGGTATGAGAAAGAAATTATCTAGCTACTGCTTTTAAACTTTGAACTTCTAGTCTCTAGATATATATTGTGATCTATATTTTATCACTATAAGATAAAATCAATACCTAAAAAAAGAATTGAGAAATAAACTAATAATTAATTAAACAATCATTGATAATTACATTCATTAAACCTCCTCACTCTTATCAATTCTCATTAACGCGTTGAACTTTTCTATTTTGTATCTATTTAATGAACAACCTCAAATCCACATTTATAATTTAAAAGTATTTGATTTGTTTAGTTAATTAATTCAGAATTAGTTAATTAGCAAAGTCACATACATATATAAGAGTTTGCCTTATACACTTAATCTTATAATAAAAGAAATTAAATAAATAAACTAAATCACATATAGACACCCACGGCACAACCTTATAATAAAAAGAAAGTTATTATTATAATAATTGTTTTTATAAAAGTTTCCAACGACCTATTTTGTTCCATTAGTATAATTAATGAATGGTATTTATTAATTAAAATGACAAAAATATCCTTTTTAAATTCACTCAGAAGGCGTAAAGTTTGAATTAAGCACCTTCTCATAGAGAATCTCTTTTTATATTAGTGTTATCTATCTATATCTATCTATATATAATATTATGGCAATTCAAAATTAAATTTTTGCCACATAAGCACTTGGAGAGATCTTAAGTTGCCAAGGTGGACAATTTTTTTACCAAAAAAATAGTTATTGACCTATTTATGGAGTTGTCCCTCTCTTTTCATTTAATATTTAATTCTCTTTTATCCAATAGTTATTTTTCTTTTGTTTTTGCATTATATCTATAAATAATATATGGAGAGAAAGGTTATCAAACCGGTTTAGCAAGTGTAATGGTTTTACCAGTGGTACAACCGGTTTGTGTCAGTTCATGCCGGTTAATAAAATATGTAAAAATATAAAAATCATTCATATCAAATGAATTTAATCACATATAAACCATATTTGAAGACAATTTACGTACAATTCATATTGATATTTGAATAAAATATGATATTTCAAATAAAATTACATGTACTCATACTTAAATTTACTAGAACTAGGTATTTTACTTAGAAATTCGTAAAACGATCATACCGGTCATTCCGATGGTGTCATGTCGATTTCATGACCGGTACCAGTTGAATGGTTCAACCGATGGCATGCCGACCGACGTGACAATCATGATGGAGAGTGACATATATCACTTTTTTGCATTATATCGATGTACGCAACAGTATACTAATGTTCGTAAAGGACATATATATATCACACTTTTTAAACCAAAAAATATACGATTAAAGATTACTATGTAAAATTCTGCTCGTTTTTACTAAAACTTAATAATAATTTATATTTTAATAAATCATTTAAACAAACACACAAAAAAAAAAATTTGTCGATAAGGTCTGAAAGTAACTTGACCAAGAAATAATAGTTATTTATTAAAAAAGCTTCAGCTCGACCGATAGGTTTATTATATGTTCGACCGATGGGCGAAGGGAGAGGATATTCATTCTCATCAAGTGAAAACATATGAATCGCATGTGCAGTATTTATAATGTATCCTAAGTTCACATTACTAATATTTTCTCTAGGTCATGTTGATTGAGCAAGCTCTATTGAGGTCTTACATCATATGCTAAGAAATTTTCTTTTCAGACTTGGAGTTTTCAAAATGACTTGAGTATAATAGTTGATGAACTTTGACTTCATATTCTAGGATGAGACACGAGATCCCTTAAAAATGAAATGTGTTAAATTTAGAGAAACCTTTGTTAAAGATGTACGTTAAACATCACATTTCATGATAAGAAAAATCTAAATTCGACGATTGAGGTAATAAATAAACATTAATGTTTTACTTCACATATATAACAAAAAAACATTTATCGTTACAATAGTGTAAACCGAGCTATTGGGTCAAAAGAAGAACATTTAATAAATATGAGTTTAGTAAAAAAAAATTGTAACAAGTCTATATAGTTGTGAGCCTGTGATTTCATACCAAATTTTGGCATATCATATTCACTCAAGGAGCTGAGTTCAAAGGTATTAATTAGTGTTGAAAGTAAAATAAACTCTCTGTATATATATGGTTAGATTTTAACAATAGATGTGTCTACAATACATCCGATAATTTAAATACATGTGAAAGCCACAATGTTAGTATGAACTTTTAAATTTTGCTACAAAATATTTTGTTAAAAAATTATAAGTTAATTGTTCAAGGAATACATAATTTTGAATGCACCTGAAATATTTTGTCTGTCGTATACACACTTTACCAATTATTAATATAAGCAATGAAATTTTTGTTCTAGAACAAACACCAAATATAAAGAAATTTTAGCGAATGGACATTCAAATAGTTGAAAAATTATACATTGAAGGAACACGTTAAGATGAGAACCTTTGATAGTGTATATGAATGCCTTAGATTCATATTCTAAACGAAGATCTAGACAAAAAGGCATATGTTGAGGGTTAGTCCAAACTTAAAACATTAGCAATTGACATATATTGTAAGATAATAATAATTTGTATCTTGATAGAAAAATTGTCTTAAGTTGCTATACAAAGACTTCATGAACATCAAAAATAAAAATGAGTGAGGTTTAGAGAATTTAATCATTATAAGGGATACGATGTGTGCCAAATTTCAATTGGGATAAACATAATTTATCCAGTAATCAAGTATCTTTTTCCAATAATTTGAACTCTGATTAATTGGCTGAGAGTTCGTACAAATTCGAGAATGATGAATTGATATATGTTATATAAGATAATAAATTTGAGCGTCTTGGTGGGAAAAAAATTATATACGATCCTAAATGGGACGTGATAAACCTTTACAACATGATTTATGATAAGAGAATAAAAGTATCACAAGCGAGTGTGCTAACTATTATATATTAAGAATTTTGGGTATAGGCGTACCACATATTCACTTATGAAGCGAGAACAGAAAATGTATACAAGATCCAAAAAGTTCAAACATGTAGATAAGTTAACTAATATAAATAATAAAATGAACTTCTCCGGCCAACTGGCCGGTAAAAAACTAGTGATATGATTATGATGATGATGATATTATCCATATCTAATACTAATAGTTAAACCCACAAGTTTTGCAAATTGGAATTTGGATTAATATTTTTCTTTGCTTTAAAACCGTTATAATTTTAATTTATGTAGATTGTACTCAAATAGTACACAAATATTCACACACAAAAAAAGGACACAAATATAGGAGGAAGCAAATTGAAGAACGGAACAGGATTGCATTGCACTGCAGGGCAAACAAAATAATTTTCAATTGTGTATGTTCTAATGGGGAACGTGTATATAGTATTGGTAGGATTTCTACTCCTCGGCATTTACTCAAGATAAATTTGTAGTCGTTTTTTACAATAGCTAGAAATGATGGCATCGAAACCTCTCATAACAATCAATGAATCATTCTCATCAGTTCGGGTGTGGACGATATGTGCTCATTTGTACATATTTTGGCCCACATTTATTGATGGTCTCTTGACTACTTACCTTAGAAACCATTTCTTGTTAGCCTATATAGTATGCTAGGTTGTGGTATATTTTGCCATATTTAATGTCCTAGCATACAGAGAAGGTTTGGAAGAGTGTTTCGATGCATTTGAAGGCCGAAACGAGACCAAGGAGAACCACAACCAGAGTCCAGAAGTCAAGGTTAACAATCTCAAAGTCACAGCTGTGAGAATCTCATTCCAGGCCATGAAAGGTGTCTAGGTTTCATATCCCATTTGATCAGGTTTCATTGAATTAGATCAAGTATTGATAATTTTTGCTTTGACCCGAGAATATGTGATTAGATTGATTAGAGAGATCGTTGATTGGAGGTAAGTGATCGGCTGTGCGAAAGTGAGTCGATCAATTACTTTATATTGAGTGAGAATCCAATAGATGGAGTCTAGTTCAAATTTCCTTAATCGGTTGTCTTAGTTGAGGATACAATCCTTCTAAACGACTAATATATACAAGAGAGTCTTGATTGCTTTAATTAAGATTTAAAACTTGTACGTTAAGGACTCTTGTCATTATGAACAAAAAGTGAAAGAAGTTAGAGAATCATTAATCATTATTCCAGATAGCGGATAGGAAGAATCATACCTAAGTGATCTTTCTCATTCCGAAACTTAGTCAAGTTAATCACTTCATTCATAGTCTTAGTTGTTTACCGTAATCATTTATGAACTTGAACCGACTAATAAATAAAATGAAGTTGAGTACTGGTAGTTCCAGAAACTCGTAGCAAAAATGTTATAATAAGGTGAGAGACTCAGGAGGTCGTATCCATAACTCGTTAGAGATCTACAAAGAAGAGGTATGTTATTTGCCGCCAATCAAAAAGAAATCAAAATTGGTAACACATACGTCTTCAGTAGAGGAATTTCACTACCTACAACGTATCCAGCTCTCAGAAAACGTATTGAATCAGAAAAAATCGACGCTCGCCGGAAAACTCATCGAAAAATTATCAGAAAAGTCGAAAATCGCCGTAAACTGCACACGCATCCATGAATCATTACTAAACAGGTGTGTCGATTTTTTGGAGTTTCGAACAATTTTCCGAGGATTTTCAAGGGACAGACGGTGGACCAAAAGATTCCGGTGGCCGACCACCATCTCGTCGTCGCCGACCAACGATTAACATGTAAGGTCTTTTTCCTGACAATTTTTTTCATTTTCCGGCAATTTTTTACGGCTTCTTCCGGCCAGTGCGTGGCTGGGCCGAAGGATTTTTTTGGCCCAGCGAGGTTTAAGCCGAAAAAATCCTTCGGCCCGAGGACGCACCTGCCGTAAAATTCTTTCGGCTTGGCGACAATGTGGCCGACCGGATTTTTTAGGCCGGCGTCGACCAGGCTAGGCCGAAAAGAAGGCCTTCGTCGGTCAGAAAAACCCTTCGGCACGCCCTGGTCGATGCCGGTCGAAAAAATTCAGACGGCGGCGTCGATGCCGAGCCGATAGAATTTTTTGGCCGGTGTGTCGCCGGGCCAAAGGATTTTTTCGGCCTGGCGATGCACCGGCCAAAATATTCTTTCGGCCACCGTAAAAAATCGCCGGAAACTGGGAAAAAGTCGTCAGAGTGCGAGCCGAAAAAATCCTTCTGCCCGGCGACGCACCGACCAAAATATTCTTTAGGTCACCGTAAAAAATCGCCGGAAACTGGAAAAAAGTAGTCAAAAAAAACTTACATGTTTTCGTTGGTCGACGACGACGAGACGGTGACCGGTGATGGAGGGACGGTGCCGGCCACGAAGGCACTGGGCTCGGATTCTTTCGGCCCTGCCAGATTCTGGTCGTCAGGATCTTTTGGCACGCTATCTGTCCCTTGAAAATCATCAAAATTATTGTTCGAAACTCCAAAAAAATCGACGCAACTGCTTAGTGATGATTGATGGATGCGTGTGCAGTTTACGGCGAGTTTCGACTTTTTCTGATAATTTTTCGGTGAGTTTTTTGGCGAGCGTCGATTTTTTCTGATTCAATAGGTTTTCTGAGAGTTGGATACGTTGTAGGTAGTGAAATTCCTCTACCAAAGACGTATATATTACCAATTTTGATTTTTTTATTGGCAGCAAATAGCTGTTAGGGAGGAGTAGGCTCCTTAAATGGATAACAACATTTTAATTACTAATTACCCACCATAAAACCAAAAGAGAGGTTGGAAAATTATTCTGACATATATGAAACTACACATAGGAAAAAGGTAGGGAATTTATATATATATATATATATATATATATATTCACAAACAGCAGCAGAGCTTCTGCCAATTAAACTACGTACAATTGAAGATTGAAGAAATTTTCACTAAACACATTTGGATGATGATCCACTAAATTAGTCTGAAAACAATAGGAAGAGACGTGGAGAAACAATAGAAGACTAATAGGTAATACTAACTAATAATGCAAATACATATGTTATTTTATTTTATTTTATTGTTTCTGTGTTTTGCATGTTGATGGAAGGATCGATGCATGCGTGTACAAATAAATATAGCTAGGCTGGGTAAGACTGATCATATATGTTGGGGAATCAATGAAGCTACAGAAGTCGTCGGCCACGTCGGTAGCTCGTAGACTGATGATCGGTGTCCGGTGACGGCGGTTGAACGGAAGAAGTAGGCTTAATTTAGGAAGGAGGAGGAGGAGGAGGGTTGGCGGCGAGGAAGATCATGTGTTCGGCCTCGGAGATCCGTGAAGCATGGAAGTGCGCGATGAAAGCTGAAGCCTTGGTGTCGATGCGAGGATCCGCCACCCATTTCCCCGCCTTGTCCTCGTCGCTGGCCCACACCCTCCTCCCACCGCCGCCGCCGCCGCCGCCGTACTCCTCCGCCGCGCCGTAGTCCCCGTACGATGATGATGACCGGCGGCCGCCTCTGAACAAGTTGCTCCAGAACGAACCCCCGGACTTCGACTTTCCCATTATCGACTGTGACTCACTTGATTTGTGGGTTTTGTATTGTTTGGATAATCTGTATACTTGAGAGTGGTATGTGTGATGAGGATGATCTGGCTGGAAATATGGAGATTTGGGCTTCTTCTATTTATACTACCACCAACCTGCAACTTGGTAGCTTGTAACATGCATGTATGTACAGTACAATACGTACAATGATCCTGTGAGAGAGAGAGAGAGAGAGAGAGAGAGAGAGAGAGGGGACCTACCTACCAACCTACCCTGCCCTACAATATTGAGGGGATACCCAAATCGCCAAATCGCCTTTAAATTTGGGGTCAATATATTAGTATCTATATCAGAAAGCTAAGGGTAAAGGCAATGGATCGAGCGCCCTTAGTTGTGCCCTGCAGGCAGCTGGCTGTCCAATTATTATGATACGATATGCACGAACGCGGGGTGGGTGGTGGTCTTTGGGTTGGAAAAAGAATGATACAAACTGTGCTGCTATGAATCGGGAAATTGTTGGAATCGAGAAAGTAATAATACGAAAATAGAAAACACACGATATGTGTGTTTGCTAGTCCACGGGCAGGAGAACCAGTTTCACTATATATCGAGGAGATTACAGAATACAGAGGAGATGATAGTCCGATTCAAGTTACATCAACAAAGAATGTTTAATGGGTCTGATTCGTTGGATAATTTGATGAAATTGTAAGGATTCGAGATATTGTACACGAGCACTTCTACTATGCTATATAGCATTGGTGCTTTAAGGTACATCTTAAAGTTGTACCATAGTATTAAATTTGTAAGTTTAGGTTGTACCATAAAGCAATTTGTACCCTTATGTTATGGTACAACTTTTCAACTTGAAGTTGTACCATCACATAAAGGTACAAGTTCAAGTTGTACCATAAAAGAATTTGTACAAAAAGTATAGGTACAATCTGAAGTTGTACCATAACGTAAATGTACAATTTTAAGTTGTACCATAAAAGCAAAAACCTATAGCATCAATACTATATAGCATTGTAAAATTTCTCATTGTACACATAAAAAGATAATAGTAACCATCACATTAACTATGAACAACGATTTGGTCTAGTTGTAATATCACTAGTTTTGAACCTGGAGGTCCACGTTCGAATATTTTTTTTTTTTGGTAAAAGGTTTGAATATCTTAAGAAGTAACTACGGAGACCAAAACTTATAAAAGACAATCTCATTAAGTGCTTTCAACCCAATTATACATATTTTAATATTGACGCTTCCAACATTTTGTTTGTTCCTGTATTACGAGTTCAATTTAAATCCGAACTAAAAAATTGGAAATCTTCTGTCCGAAAACAAGGGTCGTTTGGAAATTGCGATAGTTTTGTTGAGATTGTCATTATGCATGTATTGTTTACAATGCATCGTTTTTTTGTTATTTTAGCAGAAACAATACATGGATTGTTTCTGTGATGTGACAGAAACTATCACTCATTTTGAGTGATTGTTATATCTCAACTTTTAGTTGTGATTGTTGAGATAGTTGAGTTGAGATTGCTTTGTCTCAACTTTTAGCTGATGCGACATACACAATCACACATACCAAACGTTGTATTCTACAATGCATCAAATTCGACAATACATGTATAATATAATACATGCATTCTCAACAATACATCTATTTAACAATCGCAACTTCCAAACGAACCAAAATTACCGAAATCTAATTTGACTCGTACTGAAATGAGTTCGGACAATACCCAGACCAGATATGAAGTCTTTTCTTGCCATCCCACCTCCTCCAAGCAAGGAGAAGAAGAAAAAAAATTCAATAAAGCAAAGGGCAATTACAAGAGACAGGACCCGGTCTCCTCTTTCATTCCCACTTCAGTCAGTCAGTCATGAACGCATTTGTAGTGGTTCCTAGCTGTAGCAGAAGGAATTTTGCTGGTCGTCTCTTTGTTTGTTTGTTGGTTGGACTCAAAAGTAACTAATTATATGCTTTATTATATAATGTCTGCAAATGCCAATGGATGGCTGTGAAGAAATATCCCTCTCCAACCCTAGCTTCCTTTCCACCATGGGCATCACTTCCTCTTCACTGTTCTTCTTGCCTTTTCCCCTCTTGTTCTTTATATAACACGTAACTCGATTTGTACGTATTATTTATGCATACTGCTCTTATACATTTATGTAATGTGAGCACTAAACACGATCGATGGAGATATCTTTTGGGTTAGGTGGGAATTGCTAATAATGAAAGTGATCAACTTAGAGATCGAGGAGGCGATTACGTACATATTTGAAGGCATCTATATAATATAGCTTCTTCCTTTTAGCAAAAAAGACACAACTGTTCATTCATTCTTATCGACTGAACCGTATACAATAACAATGCTGTATACTAATTACATGTATATAATTCTATTATCAAAAGAGATCGATATCATATCAAGGATATATGGCAAAGCCAAGTTGGCTCAAGTGATTATTCTTCAACTGGGTGTCGACTGTCGACTCCTTTATAAAGCAGCACAATTCCGTGTAATTCTCAACTCTCTTAAGAGAAAAAAAAAAGATCAAAGACAGTAACATGTTAATGTTAGAATTTAATGTGGTGCAAGTGTCAAAATATCATACGAAAATCTAAAGAACACGACGATTTAACGTGGTTTCCTTGATGATCAGGACTAGTCCACGAGAGAGGTAGAACTCTCCAAGGGTAAACTCTTATTCGCGTTAGGGTTTTTCTGAGATACATGTTACATATTTATACTAGTATAGGCGGTTGGCTATTTACAAGATAGTACCCAAACATAGATATTTCAACACCCTCCCTCAAATTGATGTTGGGTGCGTAACATCAATTTGGATGAGAGAAACCAGTGTCTACTTGAAGCCAACGCCTTAGTCAAGATGTCTGCAATCTGATCTTCAGTTGAAAGATAACCCACCTGCACCGTACCCTCTGCGATCAGCTGTCGAATATAATGCACATGTACCTCGATATGTTTCGTCATATCATGCAACACAGGATTGATGGCGATCTGTATAGCACTCGTGATATCTCCATAAATCCTCATAGGACGCTGACATACCATATCTAGTTCTCCAAGCAACCGATAAAGCCACTCCATCTCCGAACTCACTTCTGACATCGACCGATACTCAGCTTCTGTGGATGACTTCGAAACTCGATCCTGCTTCCTGGATCTCCAAGAAACAAATGATCTCCCAACACGTATACACCATCCAGACGTTGAACGTCTGGTATCCTTACATCCTGCATAATCAGCGTCTGCAAATGCTTCAATCACTGGTTCACCATTCGCAGGGAAGAACATTCCAACATCTTGAGTCGGCTTGAGGTATCTCAGTAACCTGTGTATTGCATCCATATGCACGGTTCTTGCCATCCCAAAGTATTGACTCACCACCTGCACTGCATAAGAAATATCTGGACGAGTATGAGTTAGATAGATCAAGCTACCTACTAAGCTACGATAGGAGGACTAATATTCCAACAAATCTCCACTGTCTCGTGTAAGCCAAAGATTTTGTTCCATGGGTGTGGAGCATGGAACACACTCGTCATAATGAGCCGCCTTCAACAGATCCGTAATGTATTTCTTCTGCGAAACAAACAAACCTTGATAAGTGCGAAGAACCTGCAAACCGAGAAAATATTCCACATCACCCAAGTCCTTAAGATTAAAGGACCGATGCAGAAGATCCTTGAGAGCCTTGATCCCCTCGCCATCACTCCCTGAAATCACCATATCATCCACATAAATCAGCAAAACAATAATTCCACCGATCGTGCGACGTATAAAAAGAGACAGATCATTCTGGCTTTGAACAAAGCCATCCTGCACGATGGTGCTCTGGAATTTCTCAAACCAGGCACGGGGTGCCTGTTTCAGACCATACAACGAGCTAACCAATTTGCAAACCATATTTGGACCACCTTTGGTATATCCTGGTGGGCGTTCCATATAGATAGTCTCCTTAAGATCACCGTGAAGAAACGCATTCTTCACATCTAACTGGAACAATGGCCAACCCTTCATTGCCGCCACTGCAAAAACACATCGAACTGTCTGCCTAAAGCCCTGAGCTACCACCCTTTCCTTAAATCGTTCAAGAGTACCATCAGAGAGCATATTTACATTGTAAACCCAACGACTACCAATGACAGACATCTCGGGCGTTCGTGGAACAAGATCCCATGTATGATTTGCTTCTAGGGCATCTACCTCGCTCGTCATGGATCCATCCCATCTCGGGTCTCCCTTGGCCTCGGAATAACTAGACGGAATAACAATGGGAGTAGTGGAATACCCCACATAATCCTACATACGAATGGGTGGCTGGCCTAGCGTTGCGCAAGCTAAGCGAAGAAGAGGAACAAGCGCCGGACTAGGAGACAGAGATTGCGCGCTGCTGGAGTGAGTGTTGTGCGAGCCAGAAGTGCTAGGCGATGACCCCAAGCTACTGGAATGAGAAGTACTGGTGGAAGACCCTAAGCTGCTGTGGGAGGACATCGACACATGTTGAGTGGAAGGCGAACTTGAGTCGGACGAGGCTGTCATGGACGAAGAGGAGTCGATGAAGAAGACGAGTCACCCAACGTAGGTGCATGGGGTGCATGGGAGACATCCGAACCAAAGGAGGGCAGCGGTATGAGAAAATCCAAAGACTCTTTGGCAGGCAGATCATCACGGTTCACTGAGTAGTACATAACCTGCTCAAGAAAAATCACATGACATGCAATGCGCATTCGTCGTTCCACCGGATCATAACACAGGTAACCCTTGTGTTTGGAGCTATATCCAATAAAAATGCATCGAGCAGTCTTAGGAGCGAGCTTATGACGCTCTTTGCGAGGAAGCAAGACAAAGCAAAAACATCCAAATACCCGTAGAGCAGCATAGTCAGGCGGTTTACCATAGAGAAGCTGATATGGCGAGCACTGATCCAATAGAGGAGTAGTCTGACAATTGATCAAATACACAGTAGTCTGAATAGCTTCCACCCAAAACCGATTAGGAACAGCCGAATGAAACAATAGTGCCCGTGTAAGTTCCAGAACATGCCTATTCTTGCGTTCCACAACCCCATTCTGCTGAGAAACACCAGGACACAATTCTTGAGGGAGAATTCCTTCATCCTTATAGAAAGCAAGTAACTCCTTAGATGTGAATTCACCGCCGGGATCAGAACGAAGAACCTTGACTGTCTTTGCAAACAGTGTTTTGATCATCTGAACAAACTCCTTAGCAAAGGTCACCAATTATGACTTCTGAGGTAAGAAATAAACCCAAGTGAAGCGAGTGGCATGATCAATAAACAGTGCAAAGTAGCGAAACCCCAATCATGAAATCACGGGTGATGGCCCCCACAAATCTATGTGAATAGGATCAAAAGGGTGCTCATAAACTGTTGTGCTAGGAGAGAAAGATATATGTGATGTCTTTGCCTCGATACAACTAACACAAGGAGAGTGCTTAGCAAAAGCAGAATCATATTTATCCGGAAACACATTCTGACAAAACATAGACATCAATCGAGCGGAATGAGGATGTCCTAACCGACAATGCCATAAATCCCAAAGAGATGGTTTAACACCAAAAGTCAACTGTTGAGCCGAAAAACCAAAACAACCATACGACAACTCAGTAAGAGGATTCACTTCCTCCTCAAACAAATCAATAGTATCAAATTCCCCATCCCCATTATTTAAAAAATCAAAATTCTACAAAGATGACCCCTCGGCAGCTTCGAAAATCCTCTCATCCATGCATCCTGGGGTCCGAACAGCAGCAGCAACCAAGGAGCATACCTCCCTTCGATCGCTTCTCTTGTCCTTGGATGCTTGAAGTTCATCAAGGACATATACTCGGCCACGCTTACTTACTGTCCCTAGTACCTCCCTCGTCTCCCGATCCTGCACAATACAACCCCCCGCATTAAACGTCACCTCACAACCAGCCTTGGCAAGCTGTCCTACAGATACTAAGATAGGCTTTAACGAGGGAACAAAAAAGGTATCGGGAAGAGTAACCAATCCGGAGGAAGCAACACCACGACCCATGACAGGCAGTCGGGCACCATTTGCTACTTGAAGGTGAATGTTCGGGGGAGTATGCATATGAGAAAATGATGAACTAGCAGGCATCATATGATTGAAAGCCGCCGAATCAAGAAGCCAACTAACAGATTTACCTGAGGCAGCCCTAGTCGAGAAAGATGAAGTGAGGGAAGAGGGCAAAACTTCATGGAGAGCATCATGTACCCGTTTTCGAATCAGATCCGGAGAGAAAGCTGGTGACGCAGAGGAGCCTGCCACAACAACGCCAGGAGTCGGCGAAAAATGCTCAGAGGACCCCCCCACCGTCCGCCATCGCATAAGCCGAATTGGAGAAAGGCGAGTAACCTGCTGGTGGAGAACGGAGCTTACCACGTCGGCTTAAGGTAGGACACTCCAAAACAATATGACTGGTCTTCTTACAATAGTTGCAGAAATTTATTTTCTTACAATGGATTTGGAGATGACCATTCTCACGACAAAAGTGGCAGATCACATCCCCAGACCGAGCAGGACGTGAGAACTGAGGCCGCGACGAGGAACCAGTCCGTCCGACCAAGAAGGCAGCTTCTGCCGAGCCTATATTGTCCAGCTTGGACTGAGATTTGAGGCGTGTCTCCTCCCTGATCAATTCCCCTAACACATCCTCCATTGTCGTAACCTCGCTATGAATCAATGAGGCGCGAATCGGCTCAAATTCAGGACGCAACTTGGAGAGAAATTGCATGACACGAGTGCGACTACGTTCCTTCAAAATCGCAGTAGACTCAGCCCCTGTAACCAGAGACGCAGTTAAGAGATCATACTCGGTCCATAAGTTTAAACTCGCCTGATAAAAGCCCCGGATATCGCGATCCCCTTGACCCAAACGGCCCATCTCAATTTCTAGTTCAAACTGCCGGGAAACACTATTCTGAGAATGAGTACGAGTCATATGTGCCCACATCTCAGCAGCAGTAGCAAACCGACGTAAACCCAAAGCCGTCGGAACATCAACACTCGCATCCAGCCATGTAATCAACTGAGCATTAGATGCGGCCCAATCCGCATGCTCCTTCTCCGCGGCACTCGCATCAGGAGCCTTTATATCTCCTGTCAGGACACCCAACAACCTTTTTCCAGCTACAAAGTTTCGAAATTGAAACTCCCACAATGAAAAGTTCTTGCCATCAAACTTGATGGAACCAGAATCAAGCTTCGAGGGATCCATAGTGCCAATCACAAGAACAAGCAGCAAACAAAAGCTTACCCTACAGGAGAATAAGCTGCGGCACCCAAACACAAATTCCACTCAAAGACCAAAGCAACCAGCGAACACCAAAGACAGCCTGAACGAAAACAAGAAGTCCCAAGACAGCAACCCAGAAAGCGCCGCTGCCGAAAATAATCCCAGCCGAAACAGATGTTGTAAGCAACGTGTCGCACACCAAACAACGATTCAGAAGATCGGCTCTGATACCATGTCAAAATAGCATATGAAAATCTAAAGAGCACGACGATTTAACGTGGTTTCCCTGATGATCAGAACTAGTCCACGGAAGAGGTAGAACTCTCTAAGGGTAAACTCTTATTCGCGTTAGGGTTTTTCTGAGATACATGTTACATATTTATACTAGTATAGGCGGTTGGCTATTTACAAGATAGTACCCAAACATAGATATTTCAACAGCAAGGGAAAAAGTACGTACAACGAGTTGATGTTAAACACGTTAGAAATGAGTCTGTGCTCACCAATAAGACATCCGTCTTTGTCTCAATGACCTTAATATGTTCTTTTTCAATAGCGTCTTGCAAAACATCGTTAAAAGCTATGAACGTATCAGTGGAATGTAACATGTTGTTATACCACTTTCAACATATATTTTTTTCCTTTTAACTTCTTAGGTGGTAGGATACTATTTCTCCATGTCAATTTGACTTAACCATCTTGGTAATATTGATTGAAGATCAAGTCAAATTTTGAAACTTTAAAGGAAAACTTCAGTGGTTGGACGGGCCCACGATTGAGCCTTCCTCACTATGGCTCATTCTCAATCTTAGCAAAAGAAGCACATATGAATGGCTCCCCAGAGCCAGAAATTTGAACGAGGGGGCTAAAAGATATACACTTAGGTGGTTTGAACCATGATCATTGGTGGGGGCTAGTTGGTAACTATTTTTAGAATTTGTTACACATTTTCTTGTAAATCTATCGATTTACGAAAGTTGAGGGGGGCTATAGCTCAACCAAGCCTAACTCTACCTTATTGACCTCTTAACATACATGTTTGACATGATAGTTAATGTTAGGGAAGTACTGCTTCCTCGAGCCACCTTCTTCTATCATCCTCGTTTCAGAGAAGAGACTCGTACCACATTGCATAAGACATGAGTTGGAATAAGTTAAAGAATTCAATGTCTTTCATAAACTCAAAGTTCAACCTTTTATGTTAGCTTGAAAAGTTCTTTCTATAAAGTTAACAAAACAACGTTTGCAAGCATTCTTGAAGTTGGTCAATAAATATTCGACTGGTTACTCTGGATGTTGGCACATATATACATGTCAAGTCAATCATGTTGATTTGATCTATATAAATGAGCATGTAAGATTTGATTCATCTATTGCCAAGTACGGATGGAGTTAGATGACAAGTTGATTACCAAATAAAGGTAGCCCTGTCAAAAAGTTGCCAAACAACCTTAGCTTAACAAAGCCTCCCACATCATCACACTAAGCCCTGAAACATCCAACATGTTCCCTAGTGGATTGGTCATTTTGCGAAAGTGGTGAACTCTGGAACCTTGAAGTCACTTAGGAATGGGTAGAATCAATCTACACACTCATGATATGGCTCCTGTTACACATAGAGGCATGATGGGTCTCACTCTCATACCAAATCTCTTGTCGGTGGCCGGTCTGGCACGAGAAGATGAACTGTCGTAGATGAGTCGAGCTGGATCTCGACCTTTCTATGACCTAGTGTCCCACGAGAGTTGAAGGCCTTTGAGCGCACCAATTACTTGTGTGCGAGTGATTGTACACCATCTCAAGTTCATTGAGTACCGCTAAATTAAAGTCCCTTACCAAAACATAACTTTTCATATGTGCTTTAAAGTATATATAAGAACTCAGATAATGACAGCAATGTCCAACTTTCAGCCCTTAGTTTAATTTAAAGTCATTTACTAATTTTGAAATGGAAAAGTACTCATCCCTTGCCTACTCCATGATTAATAGTTTAATGATTACCGACTAATTCTAATTACCCGCAAGACTGCGTTATATGCCTTTATCCTCTCCTACCTAACTAGTATTAGCTATCTAGCCACCCTGCAGCTGGCTAAGTTATTCTTCTCCACTCTTTATTTGCATCTGCAACTTAAGGCAACATATTTTTGTTCTTTAACTTTCTATAGGGAACTTTCCACTTTCAAGCTCGGTTTCAAAGGATTGGATCGGATGGTTTCCCTGCAGAGTTATTTCTCCTTCACCAAGTTTTATAATCATATATATGACCATTACAGTAATCATGAGTATCTTATACAAACCCTCAAAAAGAAGTAATTAACAATTCCTTGCTCTGGAATATATACTATGCCTGCTAGCTGTTTGATACATCTACGCGAAAAAACGTACATATACATCTTTTGGTGATGGTGATGGGAAAGCCCCATAACACGTGATTATGTAGGAATAATGAGAATCATGAGTTCATCCCGAGTTATTAGAAGAGATCTAAAAATAAGTGAAAGCTTTCGTCTATTTTTCTTTATGAAGTATAATAGATGTAGGGTGGAAGTTTGGTTACCGGTTATCGGTTAACCGGTTGGTTAAACCGATAACCGGCTGGTTATCTACTAATCGGTAACCGAAGTAACCGAATTTTGGTCGGTTATCGGAGGCTGGACGACATGGTTTTTTCTCTTAAAAGTGGTCTGGTTAACCGGTAACCTAGATAACCAAAAAACCAAAGGTTATTTCAGACGGTTTTCGGTAGGGGGAGTGGTTATTTCGGTTAACGGATGACCGGCCGATCGGTTACCGGTTATAATCGAAATAACCGAACTGCCACCCTAAATAGATGTATGCAGATATCATACTTTATATCTTTTGATATAATTTGAATCAGACTATCTGATTATGACTAGAAGTCATGAGAGTCTCTCATGCACTTGATGAACCAGCTAACACACATTGTATTAGTGAACCACATTGACAAACATACTAGTGGACTATAGTGTACATATTGGAGTCTTTGGCACCCGATTACTCTGCCAAAATATATGATTAAAAAAATATAAGCTGTAGGTTGGGACATGATCTCCCTTCGGGCACACAATCAATTGTAAATTTGTAATAATGCCAAGCTTTGTTAATATTAGCTACAGCTGTAGCTAGAAAAAAAGTGTCAAAAGAAATTGTATGGGGAAAGGAACACAATAGGAGCTACATAAATTGGTACTCTTTAACATTAATATAATACACACGATAGTGAGCAAATTAGTGCCGCAGTCAAATGGAATTTCAGAATTTCTAAAAGAGACATATGTATTATATATATATATATATAGACACAATAATATTGCAGTTGTACTTGCAAGGGTTCTATCAGTTTTATATACATTTTTATTGGTTTGGGTTGAGGGGGTTTCCAGGCAAAAATAAATTCAAAGAATCCAAGGATTCGTCATTTTTCTAACTAAAAATCTTTTAGATTGGAATTACTTTCTCTCTCGTTCTGGTCTAGGGTTCTGCCTCGATGGCGGTTACGGTCTTTGATGGCTCCAGCTTCCGGTGTCGTCTGAGATGTCGACGCAGTTTCGACTATTCACAATTACCGTACTAGAAAATTGTCTTCGTTTTTTGCCCCGCTGAACTAATGAAGGATGGATTTTGCTTACCTAATGAAGTTTGGGAGAAAGAGATGGTTAGATGGAAGTACTGTTTAATTGGTCAATTTGTAAAAAAAAAGTAAAACGCGAATATGTAAAATAACACAAACGAGATTCCAACGAAATTTGAAAATATAATCCGTTTGTGTTACTCATACCGTAATTACAAATTGATTGTACGAATCTTATGAGTATTGGATAATAAAATTCACGAAACAAAGTGATCCGCATAACTAAAAATCATATTTAAATTCCATAAAAAATTTCCAAATCTTCATACTTTTTTTTCGTTTTTGAATAAGAACTTCATATTGATTGCTTGGGCTCTAATTATGAAAACTTGATGATCGGCCACGGGCCATAAGCACTTATCCCCGCCACCTAGCCCAGCCCAGCCCAGCCCAGCCAAACTTAGGTATAACGGAAGGTACTGGGAGCCCGATCGAGAGGCTGCATCATCTACTGCTCGTCAATTGAAGCCCAGCCCAGCCTTGTCCGGGCTAATGCCTGCAAAGTCGGACGGTCAATGCAGCCGAAGCCGAAGGAGACACTGTCACACTGGCATCTCCAGGGACCGGCTTCCACCGGGATGGGATAACTTTTATAGGGGTTAGCACCGTGATAACTAGTAAAAATCACTACGGATTATTATAAAATCAATACAACATCTAAGCTAAATCACTACTAATTCAAACTAGTAGTAGTTTTTCCATTGATTAGGACGACTAACTATTGTACAATTAGCACCGTAATCGTTCCCGCTTCCACCGTTTCTGATGCTCATCGCTGTTTAGCTCCCGAGTTTGTGAACCGCTGTTCTTTTGCTTGAGTTGGGTCTCTTCTTTGCAAGTCTCGCCACCAATATTGCAGTTCAGGGACTCCGGGGTTCGTCGTAATGGATCACAGGTAGCGCAACAGCAAATATGCTACACAAAGATGTCCCCTTTGGTTCATTTCAGAGGAGCTGGTCTTGGCTCAAGCTTCCTTCATTCATGCTGCAATTCCTTTCCTATGAGTTCTTCCAAGTTCCAAATCCTATACTCATGAGTGTGCATAAAACTACACAATTCATAAGCCTTGTGATTCTCAAATGCCGGAACGCTATAGAACAGCCGGTCCCCAAACCTACGATCTAGAGGTAATTAGAAGCTCTGAGTTTCGTCCAGCAAGGAAAATGACCAAACTTTATCCATATTCTTGGGCCAACAAGAAACATACATGCTAGTAGCAGTTAACCAGCATCATTAATCGACACAGAATCATATTTTGTCTCTAGTCTATTCCAATTACTGGCACACAACTCAACCCACTATTCATGCTGCAATCAATCAGCAGTGCCAGTGGCAATGTCCCTGTTCACCAAGCATCTTAAGACACAATCAGCCACACAGTAATAAAAAAAGAGAGCACTTGGTTTCAAAAAGGAAGTAGCCTTAATGCACTCGAACATATCCTCAATTCAGGAACACCATGGATGGTAAGCTAACCAACGTCATTAGTTGACACAGATTAGCAACTCCACAAGCATTTCTAGTTGTCTCTGCTCCATTCCAACTATTGACAGCCTTAACCCATCATTCATGATGCAATGAATCTACAGTGACAATGCTGTCACTCATCTTCTTAAGAAACATTCAGATACCGGAGCGACAGAATCATATCTCAGCAGCAAACAGAACTAGAAAAAAAACAAGAAAACAGCTTGATTTCACAAAGGCAGTAGGAGCAATGCACTCAAGAACATTTAAGCGTTACTTACCACAAAGGACCTCGAGGAGATGGGATGCCATGAACCCACTAATGCAGATCTCCACAATGCCTTCCCCAATCTTCAGAACATACTGCAAATTTTGCAAGGAATCGATTCATGAATGATTAATGGTTTGCTTCAGTCCACAGCCAAATGTGATATGGACAAAAACCGTTTATCACCTTGTCGGACGGTTCTCCGTCGCTGAATAACGGTTGCCGGTTTTGCTAATGTCTGCCGGTTAGTTAGTCACCGACGGCTACCGAATAACCGAGAGATACCGATTGCCACAGGCCAAAACGACGAGCCCCAAAAGAGAAACTCAGGCCTCGGCAAATCCCTAATATCCTCGAGAGAGGCCGAGACTCGACCTCCTTTTCCACTCTCCGCCGCTCACCTCACCCACCAAAACCCTTCCTTCCTCCTCAGTCCTCTCACACTCTCCGCCTCACCCACCAGAACGCTTTCCTTCCTCCTCATCGTCGTCTCCGCCTCTCCGCCGCTCACTTCCTCCATCCCAGCCCCAGGAAGCAGCAGATCGACTGCGGCTTTCGCAACAGTCGAGACACCAACGACGACCCAATCCCATTCCTTCGTCTCCGCCATTCACGTCCTCCCTCCCAAAGCAGCACCGAGCAGCAGGCAACCAATAGCAGTCCTAACCTGAAAATCAGTAAAAATGTGAGCTTGTGTTCTGTACTTTTATCTCCTCTGTTAATTGAGAAGATGATGGGGAGGATTTCGATTGTGTACTTATCTCCTCTGTTCAATTGTTCAGGACAAGACCTCCTCGCCGAGGACGTGGTCGTTTTGGAGGTAGAGCAGGTGGTCGGTCTTCCAAAGTTGCTGCTTCAACAAGTAAACCTTCCATGGGTGTTACAACTATGGACCATCCATCTGCACCAGTACGTGCATTAGATGCACCACTTGTCTCGACCCCTGTAGGTGCAACGTCAGGTGATGCTGCCACAGAGTCTAGTGGTGTGGCAGGGAGGAATGAAGTTATTGAGGCAAATAAAGGGTACGAGGAGGATGGTGGTCAGGTAGGCACTCTTACCTCGTGGAAGTTTGATCTTACAGAAGCTAGGACTGCATTAGCTATGATGATAATATTGGATCAGCTGTCATTTCGATTCGTTGAGCGCGAAGGGTTTAAGAGTTTTATGGCTATGGTTCAACCATTGTTTGTGATACCTGAGAGGTTGGAAATTCGAGAAGATTGTCATCGCATATTTCTGGAAAAAAAAGAGCTGTTAATTGAATTTTTTAATTCAAAGTGCAAAGGAAGGGTTTCAATCTCCCTGGATACATGGACTTCCGATTCTGACCAGAATTATATGTGCGTGACGGCTCATTTCATTGGGGATGATTGGAAGTTGCAGAGAAAGATCATAAGTTTTGTTCCGATCACAAGTCATTTGGGAGAGGATATTGCAAAAAAATTGTCAGCATGTCTAGAAGAATGGAATGCAAAAAAATTATTCTGCATTACAATGGACAATGCAACAGCTAATGATATCCTAGCTAAGTGTATGAGGACAAAATTGTCTGAGTGGGGATCGGATTTGATGGATGGGAAGTATCTGCAGTTTCGATGTTTAGCTCGTATAATCAATTTGGTTGTTTATGATGAGCTTAAGGAGGTTGGAGAGGCGGTGGAAAAAGTTCGAGATTGTGTAAAATGGGTGAAGTCCTCACCAGCTAGGGGTGCACATTTCATGGCTACTATTGCATTTCTAGAATTGGATGGGACAAAATTGGTATCTTTGGATGTGCCTACTAGGTGGGACTCCACTTACATGATGTTGGAATCTGCAGAAAAATTTGAAAGTGTGTTTGATCTCATGTACCAAAGTCCACAATATTCTTCATTTCGAGATTATCTAGTTTCAAAGAAGGGTCTTCCATCTTCAGAAGATTGGCAGAGTATTAGGCGGTTAATTAAGTACTTGAAATTTTTTTGTGAGCTGATCATTCGTGTATCAGGTATGTGCACTATCAAATCATGTTTGTTTTCTTCATTTTCTCTAGTGTAATCATTAGTTCTAACTTGTTATTTCTAACAGGATAATCATATGTGACTGTACATACCTTCTTCAAGACCCTTGTTGACATTTATGAAGTGATAACAACATTGAAGGCTGATACGAATGAAGAGATGCAAAGAATGGCAGAAAGAATAGAGGCTAAGGTATGGAAATATTGGTTTGAGAGTGAGGAAGTTGAGAACATGAGGATGAACCGATTGATATACATGGCATGTGTGCTAGATCCTAGGTGTAAAGTTGGATATCTGTCTTGGATGTTGGAAGCTATGTATGGGAAGACTAAAGGGGAGGCTTTGACTGAAGAAGTAAGCGAAGAAATGGCTCAAATGTTTGAGGTTTACAAAGTGAAATATGCACCTCCTCCCTCTAAGAGTACTGTTCAGATTACTACTATTGAGAATACTATCAATGTTGGATGTACAAGTAGTGAAACTGTGTTTATGGGTGGGAGATTTGAGGCGGAGTTCCAAAAGAGGAGAAAGGAGGCACTTGAAAGGAGGATTCGAAATAGTACCGAGTTGGACATCTATTTAAGAGATCTTCGTGATGCTATTAATGAAGACGATGATGATCAGAAGTTTGACATCTTGAAATGGTGGTCACGATACAGTGTTAGGTATCCTATTCTTTCGAAGATGGTTAAAGACATCCTAGCTGTTCCCATTTCTTCAGTTTCCTCGGAAGCTGCATTCAGTTGTGGAGACAGAGTTCTTAGTCCATTCAAGTCCTCTTTAAATGCTACCACTGTGGAGGCATTGATTTGTGCTGAGAATTGGATAAGGTATCCAGATTCTGATGTGATCGATGACAAAGAAGATGATCGAGAGCAGTTTGACTATGAAAATGGTAAGTACTTTACTATTAATTTTCTTGCAACTTAGTAATCGATGGATGCTAACACTTTGTATTTTTTTTTTTTTTTTTGTTTACACTTAGTTAATAATACCCGCCACACTCTAATGGAAAGTCAAAGTACAAGTGAACGTAGCTAAAGGAGGTGGGAAGTCAGAGTTTCCTAATTGATGTTGATGATGGAGGATAAGAAGAAACTAATCTTGATGAGGAGAATGAAGACCTTGAGAATGATGATGATTATGGTCATGATCTTTTGAATGCTTTCAATGAGCAAAGTTATGCAAATGTTGGTGGAGATGGAGGAATTAGTTCATGATGTTGGCATGTTGATGTTGGTATCTTGGTGACTTGGAGTTTAATTAAGATTTTAGACTGTGGAGAGTTTAATTGGGATTGTGAAGTTGGTGTTATTGTGTTATGTTGGAAGGAGTTTCTTATGGATTGGACAAACATGCTTTCGTACTTATTTGTCTAGTTGGTGACTTAGTCTTGTCTCATATTAATATTTGTAGACGATGATGAGTTGCAGAAGTTTGACTGTTTGTGTTTAGTTTAGTTGATGTCTTGTTGATTCATGAATTTGTGTTATTGTGTATCTGTGTTCGGTTAGCGTTTAATTTGGAGTTTTATGGATGTTAAATTGGTTTAGTTCAATGATAAAGACTTGGAGAAAAGAAATTAACACGAGTATGTATGAAAAAAATCTTTAAAAAATGCACAATTAAAAATATGAGCTTTTTTTGTTTTTTGTTTTGTTATGTTGTTTTAGTCTTATCGTGCTGAATCATTTGCTTAACGGTTATACGAATAACAGATAAAATAGCATATAACCAACTATACGGATACGGTTAGCTGTCTAATATAAACAGTGTAGTAAGTCCAAAATGTTACTGTCAACCGAGAACCGACTAAACTGATTTGGTTTATGACCGAACCGAATCGATTAGCAGTTCTAGCTAGCTAGATGCATCATGAAGCTTACCTTGCTGACATAGTTGAGGGCTACGTCCTTTATCTCCTTGTGTTTGAGTTGATTCTGGACCTAGATGGCTTAGCATCTCACAAGCAAGCAGACAGAAGGTCATCCGCAACTGATGTTGGTTTCAGACTTCTTTAGAAGATGGGATGGAAAGGAAAAGGAAGGTATGTTTTACTTTACCTCCGTAAATATCATGCCTTACTAGATGGCTAAGTTTGCTCAAATGTAACTTACAATGATCATCTCTCTTTTATTGTTTACATTTTTTTATGGGAATTATCACTTGCTTTGGTAGAAGACTGGGGGCAGGTCTTTCCATGTATTCTGTATATGTTCCTCTTCTGATTGATTTTCGGACATGATGCAGGGCAGATGCTGGTAAACAGCTGCAGCTTCAGCCGCGAGAGGAAGAATCTGGATCTTCATGACAAGTTTCCAGTTCAGTTAAAACTATGGCATCACTTGTTGATTCACTATTATACATTGCTATTATTCCTTAGACAAACTGTACATCTCGTATAGGCTCGAGGAGCAGCAACAGCAACAATAATCGTTTTGGTCAACACCATATGTTACACCATAGACACGAGTATCAGTAATCACGGAGCAGCAGCACAATCGTTTTGGTCTGTTATTCAACGGCATATGTTACATAGCAGACACCAAGTAGAACTATACCCCCGCCTCACATGACATCGAGGTGATAATATCATAGTTATGCAGCTTCAGCAAAACCCAGTTGGAGATTTCCATAGTCAAACACCGTATGATACACACCCATGAACACATCTCCAAGAATCCTGCAATTAGAGAACTCAGGCTCTTGCACCACTTCCATTCAATCACTCCAGAATATTACAATACATCTAAGCATTACTTACCACAAAGGACCTCGAGGAGGTGGGATGTCAAAAGCCATGAACCCGCTGATGCATATCTCCGCAATGCCTTTCCCGGTCTTCAGAACATACTGCAAAGTTTGCAAGGAATCGATCGATGAATGATTAATGGGCTGCTGCAGTCCACAGCCACATGTGATATGGAACTTTCTTCACTTGTCAAGGGTAAGACAATTCTTACCTGCTCCGGAGTGAGGCTGAAGAGTTTCTCCCCTATGGTGAAAGTGACATTGGGCATGGTTGGAAGGCTGTTGCAATCAACTATGGACTCCCCTGATGGGCTCGGCAGGCTCTCACACAGCTGTTATGAAAAAGAGATCAAATTAGCCTCAACCGATGGAGTTAGTTCTCTTTATTAGCTAGCTAGATTCATCATGAAGCTTACCTTGCTGACGTAGTTGAGGGCTACGTCCTTTATCTCCTCGTGCTTGAGTTGATTCCGGACCCAGATGACTAGCATCTCACAAGCAGTGCACAGAAGGTCATCGTTAACTGATGCTCCCACATTACTTTCCTTCTCCACCACTTGCTCAATCTCGGAACTGTTACCATGCACAAGCATAGATAAAATACAACACATCGAACACACAATTACTAAGCGCAAGGGTCAACATTGAACGCTTCGTGCAACAACTAACAGATCAAAGCTTATCACCTCACATACTGAGCTCCATTGAACAGGCACACGCCAAGCTGTGAACATACTTGATCGGGTTTTACCTGGTCATAGTAGTCAGCCATTATAGATGGTTGCGACGAAAACCAACACAGGCAGAGAGAGAGTGTATGTGTGTGTGTCAAAATTAACTCACCCCTGCAATCAAGAGATCCCATATCATGTCCCCATATTGATTAACCACTTCCTTGCACTCTGCACTCACGACCCCTTCAGCACCAATGGCATGATTGATCTCCGTGACAATACTCTGCATGCATTAATTTATTGTGTCATACTAAGAATCAAATGTAAAAGGCAACACTGGATTTGGAACACTCCACTCTGAGAAATAGCTGGCGTAAATGTGTACTAACAGTTGGACCAGCAAGCAATGATGTCCCAGAATCCACAATTGCAGCACAACCCCCTTCGCAAACACCTAATGATTACGTCCGAAAACTTTGTTAAACCCCTTTTCAAAACTCGCCAAAACGGACAACAAGAGAGCAACAGTAATAGATTTAAGCTACTAACCTGTAGAGAGGTTCCCGATCAGGAACTCTCCCATGTTGAACTGATCAAATCCAGAAATAGTAAAAATTAGAGAGTGCAAGCAGATGAAGCAAAGGAAAACTATATTAGAAGCAAACAAGCAAGCCAACCTTACCTGCCAATAACCCTTTTGGGTGACAGGGACATAAGTATGGTTTCCTTTGAAGTGGTTTGGATCACTGCCACCAAAAACCAGCTCACCTCCCTCTTCGGCATTTGGATCTCTATTAAGCCAAAATGAGAACACTTCCTCTTTCACCAGACCTTGTTGCACCATGTTGTACCTGGCATAATACTCAACATGAAAATCAGCATAATTTTGGAGAAGTTTTTACCAAGCTGGAAATGGCATCAGAAAATGGAGATACCAACCAGACAGGGACGGCATCCCCAACAGATATTTCCTGAAAGCCAAGGCCAAGTATTCCATCGAACTTAGCAATCAGAAAAGAAATACTGCCTTCTCGAGTAGCCTCGATAAAAACCTGAAACAACAGTAGATCAATTAGATTAGAAACTTAGCCGTTAAGCTCAAGAGTTGCAGAAGTTACTAATTTGCTGCAGACACTAAGTTGCCCAAGTGTACAGATGAACAACGCCTAGCTATTAGATAACAAAATACTAACTTGGTCCTTGACGACAAGATCCCCAAGTTCAACGTTGTCCTGGCTGAAAAACCCAGATATTGATCCAGACCCATAGTTGATTTCACAAGATTCTCCTGTATTGTGGTGTAATAAGTTAATCAGAGGAGCCAGGAACATGAATGAATGAATCAGGTAAGTTCCCAGCAAATGGAACTTTCAAGGGTAGTTGATAACAAAGAGAAACTACCGTTGGTTTGGTATGTGGTGGAGCGGGTAGACTTATACTTGGAGTGGAAATAACAAGGAATCTGCAAACCGAGGAACACACAGAATTATTGATTAAGCTGCTGATACATGGATGGAGGGTAAAGCCTCGGAGCCGACAGAAGATGCATACAGAGAAGTAGCATTTGGAGGAGGGAACCCAGAGATTGGAGCTGCCGGTGTCAAAGATGACGGTGAATTGCTGGGGAGGGGTACCGATCCCGATTTCTCCATAGTACTGAGCATCCAAGTAATTCTTCAGAGGGAGAGCCTCACTTCCACTTCCACCATAGCCGGTGGCCAAGAGGGATGCTCCTCCTCCTCCTCGAACCCTTGCTGCTGCAGCTGCCTTTGCCTTAACATCGTCAAGACGGAGAGGCCGCTTCCTGAGGCTTAGTCTCACTAAGCCGCCGGCGTCAGTGGAGGAGACTGAATGAGAATGAGCCCCAGCAGTTGGGAGATGAGAGAGTAGAAGCTGCAGGAAGCATGGGATGACGATGGTGATGGTGAAGGCCACCCACCCAACTCCTCTCTTGGACTCCATAGTTCTAGCAGATCAATTGTGAAGGGAAGAAGTGGGCTTGTCCTGTTTTTTTTATCACCAGAAAGGTAGAAAATGGAGGTTGGAAATTTCCTGTTCTCACTTTCAATTGGCCTGAGTGGCACTGGCAGAAAACTCCAAAGACCTGAGACAGTTACCTCGCCCATGGCCTACCCAACCCAACCCATCCTATTCCTAGGATTGAAACTGAAAGCGACATTTATCTTCTTCACAAGGGATCAGTGGAAGACAATCCTTTTTTTTCTCCGGCAGACTCTAGAGGTACAGCATCTGAAAGATAATAATCCTGCTTTCAGACGAAGATTCCAATTTCACCAATTGGGGTAGGAATAGGGAAACAAACAATGAACAGGGGAAGGCAAGAAAGCCGTGATACCTGGCCTCTCGCAGTACAAGAGAAGTCGAGAGCTTTTCTCTTGGGAAGAGAAATTGCCGGCGGCTGGAGTTCTATCAGATGTCCTCGAAGGGACGCCGGCGGCCATCGGTGAGGTCTGTGAGGATAAGTTGTGTCAGTGAGTCCGGTGGATAATTTCCCTGCTTTAGGGCCATGGTTGGCATAGTTGGGCCACGTTATGGGTATTAAGCCCAAAAGTTCTAATAGAGGCTCGGTCAAGGGGGTCGATACCCAACCCAGCCGGATCTAAGTGAGTCAACTCCACTCGGGCCTTATATTTTCCTACTATACGTATAGTTTGGGCCAGAAGTTTAGGCCCGCAGGTGGGTCCATTTACTGCACGCCGTTAAAAAATTATTACTGTTACGCGATGAAGATCCTACGTCAGTGAGAGTAGACGCGTGGGAGTAGCTGACGTGATCGTCTGCCAACACAACATAATGGTAGACCCCAAAAACATTTTGCAATTGGCGCGCCCAAACTCGAAAAAAACTCAAACCGGGTAAGCCTGGCGCAAACCCCAAGGTTCGGGTTTTGTCATATCCACCATTCAAATGTGGGATTTGGAGGCTCGGAACTCCCCGTATTAGGCTGTCTGTTTGTGATTTGTTCCCTAAATAAATTAACTCACTAATTATAATTAAATTTTGTGGCAGAGAATGGGAAAACAGTATTGCCGTCGTCGACGTCAAAAAATTTAGATCCAATCCAAAAATCTGTCTTCTTCATAATTTCCTTCCCTCTCTCCCAAGCTGCGTAGTAAATGCGGGCGTTGAAGGTCTATTCTGGTTGACTGTTCATCAAAAAACGAAAATCAAATTAAACCAAAACTAAATAAATACAAAGCAGTAAAACACGGAGAAGACAAAAAAAATCAAATACGGTAGAGGAAGAACCCTAACAATATGCAGATGCAGTCGACAGAGTAGTGTTTGTCGTCTCTCCCTCTTCCTTCCTCCAGCTGAGTAGAGCCAAAGAAGCTCTCCACTGTCCCGCCGACTTCGATTCTCAGTTCATAACTTACTCGTCTCGTCGTCACCCACTGTCTCTCAATCGGAAGACCAAGAAAACCGCCATTCCCACCGCTTCTTCTTCTTCTTCTTCTTCAGCTCATCAAAGAAGCAGCAGTAAGCAGGTTTGTCTTTCCCCAACTCTTTGATTTGGTTTGTTTTCGCTTCTGGTAATTGGACAAAACCGACCGCCCTGGATTCCCGCCTTTTACCCTTCCCTTTCCAATGTTCAAAGTTTCGTCTTCATTTCAGATTTCCTGGAACCCCAGTTTCCCTTTTCCCCTGCTTTTCTTCCTTTCAGTTGTCTGTTTCTCTTTTTTTTTTTTTTTTTTGTAGAAAAAGGCCATCTTTTACCTTATTTTGCTGGGTTCACTCATTCATTCAGTTCAAACACACGCTACCTGCAAAGAACCCTCTTGTTATTGTACTACCGGCCATGGCCATGTAAATCATTTCATGGGTTTCCCCCTTTTGTTTGTTATTATAATTTGCAGATGGGTGATTAGACTTGTTGAGGGTGGCTGAATTAAATGAGCAGCAACTACTCCCATCACGTGCAGCAGCCATAGCAGCAAATTTCATCTTCAAGAAAATAGCTCCCCTTCCGCAAATCACACCCACAAGTTAAGTAAACAGAAAGAGGGTCAACTTCCTTCCGATCCACATCCTCTGTGTATCAGCAAACAGGAAGGAGAGCTCGTCTTCATCTTCATTCCTCTCGTAGCTTGCTTTATTCTTCTGATGCCGGTTCTTGAAAGAAGTCCATCATCTTCATCCTCCTCTTCCTCCATCTCCTCGATGTCGGTGGTTTCGTGTGATCGAGAGATTGATCCGTTGCTGAGCGATTTGGATGAGAAGAAACACAACTTCAGGCGCAACGTTGTCTCTTTAGCTTCGGAGTTGAAGGAAGCCCGCGCCCGCCTCTCTTCTCAACGGCAGTCATTTGCTAAAGAATCTTTAAGCAGACAGGAAGCAGAAAGCAGAGCCAAGACCATGGAACAGCAGATTTGTAGACTCCACCGCACTTTGGAAGAGAGGAACGCCGAGCTTAAGGCCTCTGCTTCTACTGCTGAACAGGTGCCCACATCCTCACACTACCTGAATTCTTTTTTTCCATTTTTGCCTTTTCCATTTGGCTTTTGGTTGCTTTGATTTTTGTACTTTAGTGGGTTCGATCTTTGCCTGGTTTCTGCTTTCTCCCTTTTGTATGATTTTGTGAATCTTAAGCATGATTCCATAATAATGGATTTGTCTTGTTTATTCTTTGATCCGCATATGCCTCCCTCCTCCATCACCATGATTAGCAATTTTTGCCACTACCTTTTTGCCTTCTTTTGCTTGCAATTTCCCCCACATTTCTATTGCTTCTTCCCTTATCTAGAGGAGCCCACCAGTGTGGAAAGTAATCTTATGATCTAAAGGAACTGTCTCCATAGTTGGAAGTATTGAGGAGGTCTTATCTTTTTCAGCTGATTCTTGTAATCTTATGATCCTTATATATATGATTATGCTCTGATTGAGAAACATTGGTACAAGTGATGCTCTACTCTCTTCAGGGAATGCAACTATAAGTGTTTTCCCAAAAAGGAACCAACATTTTGTCTACTAGATGATTATATCCTTTGCACTAGATAGAGATGTCACTACTAGTCTACTACCACATGCCATTACCTATTCCATTTAATAGGTTCCATTTAGAGAACTCAACCAGATTGTGCCGCAGCCAAATGCCCATTTGTTCATGTCCCTAAAGTCTGTTGCTTTTTGCCTGTCTGTTGCCATTTTTGTCTACAATTGAAGGCTTGAAGTGATAGTTTGTGCAGCAATTAATTATGATCTAGTAGTTACTATAGAGTTGGGAGAACCTTATACAGGCCTAGTGATCTAATTTGTGGTTGAGAAGAACAATCTATTATGAGTGGATCTGATGGAAAATTGATGTTTCCCATTTGGTGCAGTACCTCAAAGATTTGGGTAGTCTGAGATCCCAGTTTGCAGCCACTCAAGCAACTGCAGATGCAAGTGCAGCATCAGCACATTCTGCACAGTTACAATGCTTGGCATTAGTAAAGGAGCTAGATTCCAAGGCTACTACTTTAAAAGAGCAGGAAGATCGTGTCTCTAGACTAGGAGAGCAGTTAGACAGCTTGCGTAAGGACCTCGAAGAAAGGGAATCTTCACAAAAGCAACTCAAAGATGAAGTGTTGAGAATTGAGCATGACATTATGCAAGCAGTTGCGAGCGCTGGGGATAGCAGAGACTGTGAGCTGAGGAAAATTCTGGATGAGGTGTCCCCTAAGAATTTGGAGAAGATGAACAAGCTTCTGATCGGCAAGGATGAAGAGATAGGGAAGTTGAGAGATGAGATAAGGGTCATGTCTGCTCACTGGAAGCTCAAGGCCAATGATTTGGAATCTCAGGTGGGGGTTTAATCCTTTTCTTCAACTACTGTCATTTTCAATTTCTTTCTGCTTTCTTGTTTTGCTTATGAGTTTCAATCCTTTTGTTGCAGTTGGAGAAGCAGAAACGAGCTGACCAAGAACTAAAGAAGAGGGTTTTGAAGCTAGAATTCTGTCTTCAGGAGGCCCGCTCCCAGACAAGAAAGCTCCTAAGGGTAACTTGTTTCTTCAGTGGCTTAATTTCACCATTAGCTGCTTTAACATGAACGTCCCATTTCATTCTTAGATTATTGGAATTTTGTTGGAACAGATGGGGGAGAGAAGGGACAAAGCTATTAAGGAGCTTCAGAACCAGTTAGCGGCGAAACAAGCTGTTGGTAGGGAATTCAGCAACGAAAAGCATAAGTTTTGGGAAACCTCCAGCTTCAAGATTGTAGCTTCCATGTCCATGTTAGTCCTGGTTATATTCTCAAAGCAGTGAGGATAGCGAGAGGCTGGAGTTACAGTGTACATATAGAAATGGCACGTTGTAGAGAGGCTGTGTCTAGTTTGTAGAAATGGCACGTTGTAGTAATGGCCATATATGTAGGTCAGGTGTAGTGTCATGCAGGGCTAGTGTGTAGAATGTGGGTTTGGCTGCTTGCCGAACCCAAGTTATGAAGTTAAGTTTTGAAAAACCTTGAACTCGGTAGAAGCATCCCTCTCTAATGTCAAAAATAATGTGTAAATCAACTAAGGAGCTGTCAGGAACTTAATTAGGCGGAGGGAGTATTGGGAAAAAATCCCAGAATACGCTAGTTATTAAAAAAAATTCCCTAAATACAGTACTTATAAAACTAATTCCCAAAATACAGCAGTTTCAACATCACTGTCTTTGTCTAAGACAGTGATGTTGATCACCGCTTTTGTCCAAAGCAGTGAAGCAGCGGGGTACGCATCACCGCCTTGGACAAAAGCGGGGAATGCATCATCGCTGTGGTCAAAAGCGGTGATACGTTCCCCGCTTTGGACATCAACAGTGAAGCCATCACCGCTGTTGTCCACAGCAGTGATTGCCCCCACGTTTTACACAGCCCTGGTAGGTGGACAGGTAGGTAACAGCTACCTAGCCATCACCGCTGTTGACTAAGGCGATGATGGTTCACCGCCTTTGTCCAAAGCGGTGATTGCCTCCAATTTTTCCTATAAAAAGCCACGCCCCCTCTTCCCTCCTGCTGCCAAACACTCCTGCTGCCAAACAGAAAATTAGTACCAAAATTATCGTTTTCGCAGCTGGTTCCTCCGTAGTTTACTGCTCAAGAAACTCGTCGGGATTCGGTATGTTAGAATTATGTATTGTTTACATTTTGATTATGTGCTAGAATTAGGTATGTTAGAATTATATATTTAGATTAATGATATATGTTAGTTAGTTAGTACTGAATTTAGATTAATTTGTTTAGTTATCATGATAGATCGGGATTGAGTATGTTATAAGTATGTATTTTTTACATGTTGATGTGTTAGTAATTATACTGTTTGTATTTAGTGAATTGCGGTTATTGGAAAATATGTTATGATATTATTTAGTTTAATTATGATATGATAGATGTTAGTTAGCTAGTTATGAATTTAGATGAATTTGTTTAGTTTTCTCATAATAGATAAATTAGTTGCATTTTATTATCGCTTTGGATGATATTGTTTTTGTATCCATAATGTACTAATTATATACTATACTTAATTATTATAAATTGCAGACATGGGTAAATTTAAGAAGTTTCGGCTTATTATTTATTGGAATGGTCGGGTGACAAACTCGAACATTGGGATCGACTATGAAGATGGCGAATCCAGTTCGCTTACAATTGAGTCGAGATTCTCGTGGCAAGAACTCCATGACAGGTGTGCAGAAAGGACTTGTACGGGCGGGCAAATGAGAGTTCGTCAAATTACTTACCGGTATCCCAACATGAGTGCTGACGGAGTCATGTACGAAAGAGTTGACATAAATGACGATGACGACGCGAACATGATGACACAGTTCATATCTGAGAACGGGGTGCGGCTTGCAGAGGTGTATGTCGAGACCGAGCCGGTCAGTGAAACTCATTCTCACCAGTATTCTTATGATGATGGTTTTGCAGGAGGGTATGGCTGGGGTGGTAGTTCAAGTAACTACGGAGCAGGTTCTTCTGCCGGAGGGTATGGTTGGGGAGGTACTTCAAGCAACTACGGAGGAGGTAGTTCTGAAGGAGCTGTTGGGTGGGAAGAATACCTGCCACATGGTGGTGAGACTGCCGTCGATATCGTTCAGCCCGACGGTGATCAATGGCCTGCTTGGGGTCCAGAGTGGGGTGACATTGAAAACACCCTTCGAACTGGGCGTACTTCGCATGACCAAGAAGGCGATGCTGGTTATGCTGCTAAAGATGACCCTCCTTCGCCGAGCTATCCATTCGCCTCCAGTGACGATGAAAGTGAGGAAGATTTGAGATCAGTCAGTGAGGAGGAAGATGCGGACGATAACGACGATATCGATGACAGTGAGGTGGCGTTCCGCCAGGCACCAACGCCTTACTACACAGAGGTTCCTGATCAATTTTTATATGGTCAGAACGATGCCCCTGACTATCGGCCCATGCCTGTGTATAATCCGACTGCTAATTTGGAAGTGGGTATGGCGTTCACTTCAAAAGCCGATGTGCAAGACGCTTTTAGCGAAGAAGCCATGCGGCGTAATTTCGAATGGAAGGTAAAATATTCTGACAAGGGACAACTGCATGTCATTTGTAAGAATGCTGGAGAGGGTTGTATGTGGCAACTTCGTGCTGCATATATGAAGAGAAAGGGGGTCTGGGTCATGCGGACAGCAGAGAACAACCACAGTTGCTCCTCAACCATACTTTCACAGGATCACCGGCAACTGAAAGCAAAAAAAGTGGCAAGAACCATTAAGCACCTTATCGAGGCACAACCAGATATCAAGATAAAAGCTATCATGGCGGAGGTGAAGGATCGACACTCCTACACCATAAGGTATAAGAAGGCGTGGCATGGGAAGCAGAAGGCCATGGCTGATGTCTACGGTGATTGGGATGACTCGTATGCTTTACTCCCCAGACTAATGTCCGCAATGGAGGAGTCCAACCCTGGGACGGTTTCCGTGCCTTGGTACAACAACGTAGAAACTGAAGATCAAGTTCGAGTACAGAACGAGTTGATGTTTCATCGTCTGTTCTGGACATTCAAGCCATGCATTGACGGGTTTCCCTTCTGCATGCCAGTGATTCAGGTATATTACGGACTCAAAATATTGTACTACTTCATTACTTTACTAATTTCAATTTTTACTAACTCAGTATTCATTTTAACAGGTTGATGGAACTTTCCTTACTGGGAAGTATAAAGGAACTCTTCTTATTGCCACTGGGGTTGATGGAAATTTAAGTATTTTTCCCTTAGCATTTGCATTAGTTGAAGGGGAGAACAACCTAAGTTGGGCATGGTTCTTTGACCAGCTACACGCCCACGTCACACAAAGAATGGGTATTACAATTATATCGGATCGACATGCCGGGATTAAACACGCCGTCCGTGGTTTCCCGGACGAATGGGGATGGACATGGCGTTGGTGTATTCGTCACTTCCTAGCCAATTTCCAACACAAATTTGGCAAGAAGAAAGACATCAGAGATCAATTATGGAGTGCAGGTAATAATGTAATTCAGTGCTTGTTCAAGGTTTATTGTTCAAATGACAATTCTTATGGATTAATTATTAATTCTCCGGTCTTGTAGCGGTTGCACATCAACCAAAAAAGTACGAGCAGAAGATGAAGACGATCCGTCAAATACACCGGGCGGGAGCAGTATGGGCAGAAGGTCAAGATCTGCACATGTGGACATTTCACATGGACAACGGGGCTAGATTCGGAATTGCAACTACCAACCATGGGGAGAGCATAAATGGAGTCTACAAGGGCATTAGGGCAATGCCTGTATCTGTCCTAGTGGAGATGACATACTGGAAGGTAAACGAGTGGTTTGTGAAGAGACGGGATGCTGCTATAGGGAGGGAGCGTGCTGGTCATTCAATAGCTAAGCATATATTTGACGGCATGCAGAAGATCGAAGAGAAATCAAGTAAGCACAGAGTTGTTCTGTTCAACCGCAATGAGGGTATTTTTGCTGTGCAAACAGGTATCTGGGGTGGAGGAAGACGTGGGCATAATCGTCAATCCGTAACTCTACACGTAGAAACTCGCACCGGAGAGTGTACATGCCAAAAGTATCAAAACAGAAGAGTACCTTGTTCACATGCAATGGCAGTAGCTAAGTCGATAACCCTCAGCGCTTACAGTTTGGTTAGTCCTTACTACACGGAACAGGCGATCAGGAACTCCTACTCGTCAAGTTTTAGCCCCCTGCCGGATGAAGCTTATTGGCCTGTAGACAATGGGAAGTTGATTATCCCACCGTTACACTTAAAGCGCACCAAAGGTCGTCCTAGGACCGAAAGGATTCACAATGAAATGGACCAATCACAACGTGCCCGACGGGGTCCAAAGCGTTGCTCAAAGTGCAGACAACCGGGTCATGACAAGAGGCGTTGCCCAGGTCCACCTCTAGAGCAAGATTCGGCGCCAATTCCGAACCTACCTTGATGTTGTTGTTGTTCACTTCCTTGTTTTAATCTTGTTGAGTAGTTTTCGTTGTTGTGATGTTTAATTTGGACTTCTTGTTTTAATCTTGTTGAGTGATTGTAATAAAGGGCGTTTGTTGTTCATTTTGGTACAACATGGGGGTAAAAACCAACAAAATTTAGCCGACAGATAGTTAATGGAAAACAACACAATCCGAAACCAAATTTAGAAACATAGATAGTTCATGGAAAACAACACAAGCCCCAAACCAAATTTAGACGACATGGATAGTTCATGGAAAACAAAAAAAGATGGAACTAAATTAGAACGACATAGATAGTTCACTGGTTGTCTTCATTTCCCTCCACTTCCCCTTCTCTTCCTCTTCCTCTTCCTCCACGACCTCCTCGGCCCCTTCTTCCGCCCTCTCTACCTCCTCCTCCTTCTTCACGAGCCCGCTGGACAACTGCGCGCGGATTCCTCTTAACCCGACCACCCACCGGAGTGTAGACAGGTGGTGGGGGTGGAGGTTGCTGAGTTGGACCAGAAGTGTGGTAGAAAGTCGATGATGTATGTTGCTGTTGCGGGGTCTGATACTGAGTAGTTTGTTGCTGATGGTGGAACTGAGGGGTGGCTTGGGTGAACATGTCATGCTCCATCGTCGGGGCATAGCTTGACGACCCTCCGGTTCCCTCAGTACTAGTAGCCCACTCACAATGTGGCCATGGTTGAGGAAGTTGAGTTTGCTGAGACGGACGAAGCTCATCAATGTGTTCTCTCACCCTTCTTCTGCTCCTCCGTGGGGGCTCTTCTGGGGGCACAATCCTCTCATCAGCACGGAATGAAGGTCGGGCCGGAGCAGGCACTGGAGGGTATAATATGACATCCCTCCTTTGCTCTCTGGTACAACAGAGCAAGTTGTTGAAAAGCCTGCGCAAAAAAGATGTCTTCCGCTCATCCATGGTGGGTGCACTCTCGACGGTGTGCTTCGCATGCTCCAAACCGTCAACCTAATAAATTGTTTTACAAAATTAACTAATAGTAAATCTAATAATGATTTCTATCATCTAATATAGGCATGTAATCATACTACAAAAATTAACTAAAATTAACTCTAATAATGTTAATTAACATTCTAGCAAATATAGGCATGTAATTATACTACAAAAATTAACTAACATTAAATCTAATAATGTTAATTAACATTCTAGCAAATATAGGCATGTAATTATACTACAAAAATTAACTAAAATAGGCCAAAATGGAATTCACTTACCACTGCGCCCCAAACAGCACCTTGCTTTGACACCCATCTTAGCGTGAAGTGCCGATACCACCGCATGTAGCCATCGTGGTACCCCATTGGCCTTGTCTCCGGCGCCCCTTGGACCACCCACTGATTTCTATTCTCCCATATGTTGATGTAGAATTCATGTTTGCGGGTCCAATCCTTTTTGTTGTAGCGTAGGTCAATGGCGTGGAGCTCCCTGAACCCTTGAGGTGGGGATGCTGGAATTGGTTGCTCCAATCGATATTGCCTCAAAGATCGATCGGGCAGGTGCCACTCCACCATGTGCCAGCAGATTAAGGGCACCTTGCACAACCATGTCTCTTGATCCTCGGGATGTCTAAGACGATGCAACTCAACCACTTCATTTGGATATGGATCCCATACCGCCTACAATCATTACAATTCACGTAATTAGTAAAAATTATATCCACTCCACCTAATAAATTTAAAATCATGACATTCAATATTTTTACCTGGTTCCACCAAGGCTTATCAAATTCAGCACGATAAAACAGTAAAGAGTGCTCGGCCTGGTGGTCGTTAGTATTTGCTCCGATCCACCTAATTAAGCAAAAGTACATATATAAGCAATTTTTAAATTAGCTAAATACGATTTGGTTAGAATAAATCCAAATTCACTTACTTGGAAGATATCTAAATTCACTAAAATACTAGAATTGCAGACCTAAAATGTCTCTAAATTCGCTTAGTTGGAAGATAGCTAAGTTCACTAAAATACTATAATTGCATACTTAAAATTGCATACTAAGTTCACTAAGTTCACTAAAATCTAAATTCACCTAACTAGCTACCATTGCATATCTAAAATAAATTCAACTTAAATTGAACTTACTTGAAACCATATGGGGGATTTGCTACAAATCGTAGCTCATCATCTGGCAACCAGAATTCCCGAGGGTCTTGAGGTGCGAGAAACGGAAGATGCTCCCATGCCCAGAGTTGAAGTATGAACATCGCACCACCAGCTTGTTTCGCTCCCAACCTCGAGCAAGTACACAACTCTCGGTAGATTCCAGCCAAGACGGCCGACCCCCAACTTTTTCTCCCGATCTCGTCCCAGTCACCGAGGAGCATAGGGAACCACATGCCTTGTATCCACTTATTTGACTTGTCGGGGAACAGAAACCCACCAACCAAGGCAATTAGGTATACACGTGCATACCGCTCCACCTGATCTTCAGGAGTATCCAGGCCTATATTAACCTCCAATTGGATGTGGTCAACAAGCCACGGGATCGATACTTGCCCCGCATTCAGTGGTGGATGCCCAACCCCTTCGACGGGCGTGGTGGTCGGCATGTTGAACCCCAGACGTTCCTGAATCAATGGCCCCCAACCATCTTCTGGTTTTCTCGAGCTGTCGATGATGGCATCTCCGGTGATCGGGAGCCCGGTGAGGATGGCAACATCTTTGAGGGTGATCGTCATTTCACCCTCGGGAAAGTGGAAGGTATGCAGCTCAGGGCGCCATCGCTCTGTCATTGCCGTCAGCAGATCGTTGTCAATATCTAGCCTCATAAAGTGCCTCAAATTGTGCAATCCCGCCCTCTCTAGATAGGGATGCAGTCGAGGATGCCAACGGGGCAATCGACATGTACCTCGATGACTGATGGGAATAAGTGATTCCTACAAAACAAAAAACACAATATTGTCAGTCAATAGAAAGCAAAATAAAAACTTAGAAAGCAAAATAAAAACTTTAAAACTATTGAAATAATTGTAGTGTATCTACCGGATTATTGTTCCAAATTGAACGAGAGCGATGTTGATCTTGCCCGGTTAAATACCTTCGATCCCTTGGGCCAGGATCGATATACAATCTAGGGTCGTATATCTCAGCACCCATCTATAAAAAAATATGAAATCAAATCAATTTAAATTTTAGCACCCATGTAAAAAAAAATGCACAAAAGAATTAAATAAATTTACGTACTCTCAAAGCCTCTTCGTCCATTTTTTGCCGAAAAGCTAGCGAGAGTATCGACAAAACAACAAAACAAAAACTCTAGTAATTCTTTCTGATGCGGAAGATCGGACTTAGCCGCAACCACAGAGCATACTTAGAACGAAACTAGAGTGAAAAATGGAGGGAGAAAGAAGTATGAAGTGGTGGTGTGGTTTGGAATGAGAGGGGGGATGGGTAATTTATAGGGTTTGGGGCTGGGAAAAAACCTGGCCAGTTATCACCGCCCCAAACAAACACAGCGCCATCACCGCCTTTGTTGGACGCGGTGATGTGCAGAGATCGCTGACGTGGCCTCTCCTGATGCGTCGGATTGTGGAGAAAAACCACAATCCGCGCATAACTGCATCCGACGGCAGCGGTGAAGGCGCGGGGTGGGGGGCGGATCGCTGACGTGGAAAGCGGGGCTATCACCGCTTTGGTCTTCAGCGGTGAAGTGCCCGCGCGCGTCCACGTCAGCGATCCGCGCCCCTTCACCGCTGTTGGATCCAACGGTGAAGGCTTCACTGCCTGCCACATCAACGGTGATGCCATCACTGTCGTCCTTGACAGCGATGATGGCATCACTGCTTTGGTTTAAAGCGGTGATAACATCACTGCTTTAGTCTAAAGCGGTGATGTATCATCGTTTTAGACCAAAACGGTGATCAACATCACTGTCTTAGACAAAGACAGTGATGTTGAAACTGCTGTATTTTGGGAATTAGTTTTATAAGTACTGTATTTTGGTAATTTTTTTTAATAATTGGTATATTCTGGGATTTTTTCCGGGAGTATTGTCAGCAACCAGAGACCCGAGAGAGGGAAGGTCCCCGGCAAGAACCTCGTCCTCACCAAAATCGATGCGAAAGGCCGTGCGGCGGAGATCAATCACGTCAAGATTTCCCATCCCGACGTCGTCATCGATGGGTCCCTCGTGATTCACGGCGTCCTCTAGCCATTCTCGTCACTGGATTCCGTCGAGCACGCCGGGAGGGACGAAACCGATTCCGTCGGTTTTAGGGATTTGGGCTACTGGCCCAAAATCATCCGATCGCTGAGCTCTAAGGGATTCGTCTCACAGTCGGATTCAACTCTGTTCTTGACGGCATTCTTGACCATTACCGGCACTTCGATTCCGTCACCGTTTTCAGTCCACCGGATTTCGGGTCCGTCGCATCTTCTTCTCCGATGCTCATCAGGATAATCCGAATTCACATCCTGCCTCGAAGGATTTAGTACAAGAAGCTCGTCGCATTGCCGGATAAATCGCCGTTGAAGACTCTGCTACCGGATCAGGATCTCGAGTTAATAAAGACTGGTATATTCACTAAATTGAATGTCACGGCGGCGAGACTGAGAGTCAACGGAGTTGACATTGTGGCGCCGGAGATATTCTCGTCTGGTAAGTTCGTGGTTCATGTGTTTTCCGGCGAATTGGTTTCTCCGGCAAGTCCTGTAGTTAGTCTCCTCCGCGTGGAAGTAAAAATGTAATTATTGCTCTTTCATGTCCGTTTAGGACCGGAGTGTAACGGACAGAGGCATGGTTAAGGCACTCATTATTTGGTGCATATGAGTCCTTGACTACTCTACTTACTATCAGCAATTCAAGGAAAAAGCTGTATATAATAAGTTTCTTAATGCAATTATTTTGGTTTGCATTTATGTTTTAATGGTAAATGTCATCTTTAATGTGATTATTATTTTTGTTCTAACATATATTTTAGTTCTAAGTGGGCGGAAGCTTAGCAAGTTAACAGTGGCTCTTTAGTCCCATTCTTATTGCAGGTAACAATTAATTGGCCTATTTATTGTTTAGTCCCATTCTTATTGCCAAGAATTCATGTCATTAATGGTATTAATCACATGTTCTACGATCTCAAACGATGAATTCTTCCTTAGTGCATCAACTATGGTTTCTTATTTCTTTAGAAATAGTCAAATAAGGTTATTACCTGCTCATGAATAAGCTTTGGCCTCAAATCGAAAAAGGATAGTCGAGAAAGTATTAAACATTTATTCTTCAGATGCCCCCTAGCCACCAGATTGTGGACTTTAGTGGGATTGAGCAACTTTATTGAGACCGCCCCGACTGTTAACTTTAGTCTATGGTGGCGACATGTCATGGTCTCTAATACCTCCCCATTCCACATTCTCCAATGCATCTGCTTACATTGGAGAATCTGGAAGTCTAGAAATAAAGTGATTTTTGAATTCTACCAACCTCGTGTTCGTTCCCTAGCAGACATTTCTACAACCAGGTCCTTGATATCTCAAACGCTCTCCTCCCTCCCCAACCCCACAACTCTCTTACCGAACCATCCAACCACCACATGGGTCCAGCCGCCAGACGATTACTTGAAGATCAATTTCGACGCTGATGTTTGTGCCACCGGGTGTTCGTTTGGGCTTGTTGTTCTTGGGTCAGACGGATATATGGTGTTGGCGTTCGGGTTACATCATCAAGGAATAGTCAACCCTTCCCTGGCAGAGCTCCTTTCCATTAGAGATGCTTTTTTCATCATCACCTGAAGATCTTTGACTCACGTGATAGTCGAAGGTGATTTCGAAGTGGTCGTCAAGCAGATCCGGCAAGGCTTCATAGAAGACTCGATTGGTGGTCCTGTGCTACGAGAGTGTCGTCAGATCCTTAGCTCCTTGTCCATTTGTATAGACTTTAGGGCGGTACCTAGAACTGCCAACAGTGCTGCCCATAGAGTGGCGCGTAAAGCACTGCTTTTGTCTCATCTAGAGCTAGAATCTTTCGATTTTTTGGGGTGACTTCATTATAATATATTGTAAGGGGTCCTTGGTAGATTTGTATGAATAACTCTTGTCCTCTGTTGATACACTCAGAAATTAAAAAAAATCAACATGTACATATATAACTAGGGGTATAATTGGAACAACAAATAAACTCAACAATCTCTTCAAAACTATCTCAACAATCTTAAGTTTTAGTAGAGCTATTACTATCACTCATTTTGAGTGATAGTTTCCATTACATCAAGCAAACAATTCATGTATTGTTTGTGCAAATATTTTTTATAAAAATGCATTGTGGACAATACATGCATTGTATCCCAGCCAAACAATCACCAAAACCAAACACCCTTGAAAAATACATGAGTTCAATGAGACATTGTGTCTTGTGTGGGAAGGTGGGGTGGATGAGTAGCTCTTGACTTTTGTTATCCTCAAAAGCAAGCAATGCCAAAATAAGTTATATTACTTTTTGGATTAAATGTCACTTTTGCCCTTTGTTTTTAATATTAAAAAAGTAACACACAAAAAAGGTAGGGACATACCCTATGTTTGGCCCGACTTTTAAAAGTGCTTTTCGGGTTCAAAAACTGAAGCAGGGCCAAACACCTGTAAAAGCTCAACTTTTGAAAAGCCGAAAAGCGCTTTTGTATAACATAAAAGCAAAAGCTCCGATTTGGAGCTTCCGAGAAAAGCTGTTTTGAAAATACAAGATTATCCTTACCATATTTTAATTTTATTTCATAAAATATAATTTCCCTTCATTTATATCATTTTAAAAATAAAAGAAATTATAAAATCATATTATTTAATATAAAAGAAATCTAACAAGATCCATTTTGACTACTTTTTATTGTTTAGAATTTTAATTCATATTTTATACTATAAGTCCTTTATAGTCATTTTACACAACCTCTTTGATAGGGCAAAAGCGTATATGCCAACTTCCTATCTTGTAGTAAAACCGGAAAGTCCGGGTATCGTCTCTCAGGGACTGGCACAACCTAATGATTTATTGATTTTATAGAGCAAACTACAGGTGAAAATGGTTTAATGAGACTAATTATCTAAAAGCAAAATAAACTAAACAAATTAAGCAAGTGAAAACTGTCGGGTTTAATTCAATGAGAGAAAGCTCTGGGAGAAACACCGGGATTCACTACCTATCCTATTTAGATTAATTCACATATTCCAATCAATTTAATCCAACTCTCTACAGTCAGGATATCACGAATGTGCTAGCTATCCCTGTCGGGAATTACTACGTACTAAACAATTAATTCAAATCCTACTGTCGTAGCTCAATGAATTAACTATATAGTCTGAAGATCGATATCCTATTTAAGACCGCATAGCACCTTATTTAATCCACTGTCGCTTCGATAAGTTACTATGTCACATGAAATATGTTCAGTTAATAGGGTTTCACTGTCGCTAATAACCTAATCAACTACGATTCATTGTATTGATGGCCAGTCAACACAAAGCATTAAGCAATTTCATGCAATAGAGATTGGAAGAAAAGAATCATAAATCAATCCATCAAATCAAGAAATAGCTACATCCTATGGTGTTTCCCCCAGAAATTGCGGTTTAGTTCATGACGAAATTAAGATAAATCGTTAGGGTTTTGTTCATCATGTTCTAAATCAACAATACACAACTAGTTCGGTTCAGAAAATCCAACCAACTAATCACTCTCGTTGAATTCAACTCAAGCCGCCTGGAAAACTGATCACAAATCGATAATCGCCCGATGCTTTTTCAAGCTCCGCTGCGCTCCTCTGCCTGGGTCCTTTTTCCAAAAAGCTTCCGCCCAAATTCAATTGCCCAGAGAATTCCGCCCAGAGTAATCAAACAAAAGTCTCCTCTCTTCAGCCGCCTTTGCTTTCCTCCCAATAAGAATCCGCCTCCAAAATAATTCATTTGCTGCGCCTGCTTCCCTTCTTGCCCAAAGAGATTCTCTCTTTTTGGGATTTCCTTTCCTTCTTCCACTTAATGACCAACGAGATGGGCCAAATAGAATGCCCCTTCACTAATTAATTAATGGCCCAAATTCCATCCCAAGCTATAGCCACCACTTTTGCCCTCGTTGACTCCTCCAAAAAATAGTCTCTGGCCCAAAAATAATCCCCAAAAGATGACAAAACTCTTCCTGGCCCAATTGCGTCTCCTCTCCGAGACAAAATGATTTGGGCCCAATTAATTGCTTGTGCACTCGCTTCTTTTTCGTGTTTTCTCCACCTGTAACATATCAAACTCATGGCACTAGGAAGTAATGGTTTTTCAACCATTCTCGGGTTAGCGAGCCCTAAAATAGCACCAATTGGCTAAAACATACCATGAGATAATCACATAAAGTCCAAGAATCCGATATGTTAAAGCCGATTATCACTCTTATATTAAAAAATCACTTCTAATAGTTTTACAGCCAAACACTCAACTGCTTTTTTTAAGTATTTATCTATAAGCTTCAACCAGAAGCTGCTTCTGCAAAAGCTACAGCAGGGCCAAACTAAGCTATAGTTGGAACAAAAAAAACCCAACAATCTCTACCAAACAATCTCATCTCAACCAAAACTTGAGATTTAACTATCGAGTTGCAAATAATTTGAATTGTAGTGGGCGAGCAGTGGCCAAACTAAGCTATACTCGTAATATAACATAATAATAATCGTACTGTTCATACTCTAACAAAGAAATGTGGTAAAATTAGTTGTTGGCGGTAATTGGATAGATTCATGGATATGTGGATTGATGCCCGATGGCTCAGATAAATGAATAGTTGTATTGGATTCATGGATCCAAATGACACATAAACATTGGGCTATTATGTAAATTTTGAAAATATTAGGTACTAAAATATCATTATGGAAAATTTTAGAGACCTAATTTTTAATGATATTGTAATTAAAAAAATTAAAACTTAGGTATCAAACTGTAAAATATAAAAAGTGTAGGTACTACTGTAATTTTTCAAATATAAAATTTATGAACCCAACATTCATTTGGAATTAAATAAAAAAAGATTGAATTTAAATAGATTGGATTAGTTTGATTATTTGTTGGACGAATTGAATTGGAGAATTTGAAAGCTAAATGTATATATATGTCTTTGATTATTAATAAAAATGGGAACTTGAAAGCTAAATGTATACAATTTTTTATTTAGTGACTATTATATGTGGGCTAATCTATACCGTGTTGATAATAACCGTATGAAGAATAAAATTTGATGGCTAATTTGTTATTGACCCCAAAGTTTAGTGGCCATTTGCAGAAACAGAAAACAGTGGCCATTTAGATAAATTGAGCCCATAACTCATTGTGCCCAGAAAGTACAAAACAATTCAGCTGAGAATCAGTGGGCCTGGACATGGAGATGTCACTCAATCAAGAACCAAGTCGTCCAGTTTAACTCTCTAATTTTGAGTTAGTAAATACGGTATGGAAAGGTACGTTTAAAAATAGTTATTTTATTTTATATCTAACTTAATGTTATGTTTAATAGATAACATATCCAAATTAGAAAAAGCCAATAGAAGCGATAATTGCGGAATTTAAACCTTCCCATTTTTATTTACTCGGAATGGTTATTTTATTTTATAGCTAACTTAATGTTATGTTTAATAGTATATTTTTTTCCCAAAAGATCACTCTGATTAACGAGAAAACAGACAAATACAAGAATGTCAAATGGCCGAAAACAGCCAAGAAGTAAAATTGAACCCCCCAAGCGGAGGAACAATGAAAGGGCTTTTCGTGCCACCAGATTTATAAATATATAAATAATGGTAAAATTAACAATTTAATTCATTAAATACATATATTAAATGCGCCATACAGGTTATATACGTGTTTAGTACCGGAATCATCAAATAAACAGAAAAAATAAAACAGTTTGACAATAATACAAATTTATAAATTTTAAATAAATAAAATACGTGCGAGTACATATACGTGTATTAAATGAAATATTTACTAAGTATATGATTTTGACTATAAATTAAAATTAGGACTTTGCTACGGTGACTTGCAAGTCACCGTAACGTGCACTTTTCGGTCGACCTCATATAGGAATAGATTCGACCTATCATGTTGTTTCAGTGTAAAAACAATTCATGGTTCCTACTTTGGAGATTCATATCTTACAATTGGCTGGATGAAAATTGAGGATTAATGGCTTGTTTTGAAGCTAGAGTGTCCCTCTACACATTGATATATTTGGGAGCTCGATAGGAAGTCCAGAAGACTATTTTTGAACCGGATCAAAAGGCTATGCCAAACTGGGAAACTACCTGGAAATGGCTTAGTCCGGGAACGTATTTTGTGATTTGTGAAGCCTACTTTGGGGCTCCATTCGAGAAGCATGATCAGAGTCGAGTCCAGGGGCCCCTACCACATGCAATTAGGTATGTTTGTCTACAAATGCAAGGCATTGGATGAAAGATTGGATATCTGGAAAACTTCAAACAAAAGGCTTGAAGTTGCTACGAAGGTTGTTTTTCTGGCAGCTTGAAGCCTTTTGTTTGTAAGATATGAATCTCCAAAGTAGGCACCATGAAAATGTTTTTACACTGAAACAACAGATTAGGTCGACCTAATCCTAACTGAAGTTAACCGAAAAGTGCAATTTACGTTGACATGCAAGACACCATAGGTGCGCACCCTTAAAATTATTCATACAATTTTGTTAAATGATATTATCCAACACAGGTCTCCAACTCCAATCCATTGTTTTAAGCCAATTTGACTTTATTCTTGGCTCATTAATTACTAATTAAATTTTAAATAAAAGAAAAAACATACTGCCAAGCTGCAAAATTCAAAACAGCATCTTGCCACATTAGAGTTGTGTTATCCTAAAATTAGTCCTGTATTAAAAACTTGATTTTTTCCCTTACTCATAATTTGTTATATAATAAAAAATTATTATTATTACGACCCCTTTTCTTGGATCATGACAAATCGAAGATGAAACTAATTGGAGAAGGCATGCTAAATGACTTTATTCATAAAACACGCCAAAAGCCGGCAATGTATATATCCATTTGTTAGATCTTAATTAAAGAAAAGGAATTGGTATTTGTTTGTTAGAACCAAAGGATGATATGAAAAAGAAAAGGTCAAGCTATAAGAGAAATTTTACAATGCTATATAGTATTGGTGCTATAGATTTTTGCCTTTATTGTACAACTTAAAATTGTACATTTACGTTATGATACAACTTTAGATTGTACCTACAAATTCTTTTATGGTACAACTTGAACTTGTACCTTTATGTGATGGTAGAACTTCAAGTTGTAATGTTGTACTGTAACATAATGGTACAAATTGTTTTATGGTACAACCTAAACTTATACATTTAATATTATGGTATAACTTTGAGTTGTACATTAAAGCACCAATGCTATATAGCATAGTAGAAGCGCTCCAAGCTATAAACTAAAGGAACAATCGTGGTATGTTAGCTAAGGGACAATGCGACTTTTTTTTCTTGGGTGAGGACTTTTGTTTTGCTCCCTTTTGATTAATTAGTTAATAGGAAATGGTCGGTTTGGAAAGGAAAGAGTGGTTAGATTAGGTACAATCGAACACATGGAAATAAAGGTTTGTCATGGATTTGGTTTACAGGCATCCAAATTTGTCATATTTAGTATCATGAATTTGGCTAATTGACATACAACATAAAATATGAGTATGATTGTTAATCACGAAAAATCGAAAAAATCAAAACATTCACCTTTCAAAACTAGGGTTGGAAAAATAGACTGTGTTTGTAAAAGCTTACTATATCAATGGTCCGGTCGAGAAAATTTACTATTGGAGCCTAAGTCGATAGTCTATGTTTAGCGCGGGATGCACGATTGAACCGTGGTTAAACTACAGTTTCAGCATAAAATATACTGTCGTTGATTTTTCTAATACAACCTCAGGTACAGTTTTACATTCTTTGAAAATAGACCCGATCGTTTGGAAAGTTGTGATCCAAATTGAATTGCACATTTTGGTTCCAGATCATAGAGGATTAAGAATGGTCTGGTCTAGTTGATGGTATGTATCATAGAATGTATTGATCTCTTGGTCTGGTTTGGTTTGGTTCGAGACTTATCAGACCAAATCGTCGAGCCAACCCACTTCCCAATTCTTGTTAGCAACTCACTCTACTGCTCTCCCAACTCTTTACCGAGACTAAGTCTCAACCCTAATTTTGTGAATTCCATCCCCTTCTTCAATTGTTACTTTCCGTCAGTCTTTGTTAACAATGTTAGTTACTTGCTGATGTGGCTAGCAGAGATGTCCAATCACCCAAATTTAACCGGAAAAAACTTAAAACCCGTCTCGCCACATTAGATACTCAACCCATTGACCCTGACCCTAATATATTAAGCTGTCTAAGCTCTCCAGATCTACTCCTTCTCTCATCTCACCTCAAAGCTGTCACCCAGACCTGCCTTTCCATCTTCTACCTCCCGAAATCCGTCCCCATCCGGCATCGCCACTCCTTCCGCCCACAAGCAGTCGCCCTCAGGCCTTACCACTATTGGATCCCCGACCTCCTACGTCCGGAAACTTTCAGATCCCAGTCACCAAGTGTACTCGCTCTAAATTGTGAGTCCTCCGCCAAGTTCAAACAGTTGGTCTACAAGCAGGTCGTCCCGGCTCTCCACATACGCTCGCTATGACACCCACTTACCCATAAGAGATGTCGCTCTCTCCTAGATTATGGTTGTGGACGATTGCTCCTCCTCAATTTGCTCTACTTCGTTGGAGGTCTGTAGGCATTAGAGATGTTTGGTTTCTGGATAATCAGATCCTGATGTTGTTGTTGATGGAGAAATGACGATCCTATGGAACCAGGAGCTCAATTGGAGTAGATGGGAAGAGTTTCCCAGCGACAACAGATGGGAAAGGATTTTGGGATGTGAATAGGGTGTTGGTTGAGTCGAGCGCGAGACTCAAGTGTCAATCTCCTCTGGTTATTTGATGGGAATCTGAAAACCCTAATTTCGATTTCGACAAAGCCAAGTGAAGAAGATGAAATGAACCGAAAAACCAATCGAAGAGAAAAGTAAAGAGACTTTTCTATTTGGTGTTTATCAAAACGACAGCGACTCTGGTGATTGATCTCGAAGTGGGTTGGGCTGAGGTTGTTATCAGATTGCCACTGTTAAACTGACCCAAATCACTTGAGTACAACACTGCGTTTTGAGAACACAGTTTCCTTCTTCTTTGCTCGAACATATAGATCAAACCATGTTCTGCACACAACTCACACTCGCACCAAATCAAGAACTCTGATAAGAACTGGAAATAAAATGGAACGCAGTAAAAACACAAGTAAGCTCGGACACTATATTTTTACGTGCTATCCGATACTGATGAATTCAGTATCGACTAATCCACGGTCAAAGGTACTCTGCTTGAGTCCTTTGACGTTATACTACGTTCTTGTGATTTCGGATTACACAGTACAGCTTTGATCTCTCAATGACTCCCTGTCACTCTGATCAGAATCACTCTGAACCTACAGCTCCCTGCTGCAATTCGAAATTACACAGTACATCTTTGATCTCTCAATGACTCCCTGTCACTCTGATCAGAATCACTCTGAACCTACAACTCCCTGCTGCAATTCGAACTAAACCCAACCTTTCAAGCTCTCTCCCCGACAGCTCACTCCTTCTCTAATCAAAACCCTGACAATACTCTTTTGCTCCTGTTTTGATTCTCTTGAAAAGGATTGCCTCTATCTACCCAACCCTTTCACTCTTTATACATACATTCTCCTAGCCGTTAACCCTCACACTATCAATTAGGCTGATTTTGCTTTAACCCTGATTGAAGACACCTTCCTTAATTGTTTTACCAAGAGTGGAATTTTCTTTTCGATCATTTTCTTCAGGTTTCCTCAATTGGAGCCTGACACAAGCTTGCCTTCTTCCAACATTCTCCCCCTAAGCTTGTCAGTGGCTCTACTCAGAAACCTGCACGCATTGAACAAACCATAGGTGCAGCCTGTCCAAACACACTTGTATACTTGTTGCACTGAAAAGGAAATTCATTCATTTATTCTTCTTTCAAATCAATAGCCGAGAACATAAATCCAAAGACTCGACAGACAACTCAGAAAGATCAAAAGATAATGTCCTATGGTTCAACTCAGCCTTCAAAGTCATTTCTCAAAATGGATAGCTAGGAGGTGAAGCATAGCCTGAAACTCTATCCTCATCACCAGAGTCCGAATCTGGAGTAATCGGATCATTGATCTGATTTGACTCATATACAAACTTTGGTAACATCAAATCCTTTTCAAGAATTAGCTTCCGCTTTGGGCCACTCTTGGTAGTAGCGTCTTGTTTAAATGCTGCAGTAGCTCCCAGGACCACATCCCAGGACCACATCGAAGATTAACATAGAAGAGACGAACAGCCTCAGGACACTGACTGAATCGCAGATTGGTGACCAGAGACTCCCATACTATATTCTTAAGATATGCAGGTATATTCATATCATATTTGGAGAAGGTGGCAGGCTGAATGGAGAAGGAAGGATAGAGAGGGCGATCACGAAAACTACGATGATACCTAGAATAGGTAGCATCATTGCGAAATCTTTGATTTTTGAACAGCACTGACGACTGCAGCTGAAGATTGTTAGGAGCCATTTTTGAGGAGTTGAGTATGTTTTTGTTATGTGTACAGAGAGTGTATGAGGCAGTGGGAAAGAATGAAGCGAAGGAAGAGATGGGATTAGGTTTATATGCAGTAGACTGCATTAAATCAGGGAAACTCTTCAGATGGAAGGGAAAGAATCAGAAGATGAGTGGAGGAAATCAATGAAAACAAGGCAAGAGAATATGTTAGGTGCAATCAAATCTCATTAATGTCTTCTTGAGTAAACATGCCAAGTTCATTTCGAATTGGTAATAATTTTTCAGCACCTAAAGGTTTAGTAAAGATATCGGCCCATTGCATTTCTAAGTTAATGAATTCTAAATGAATTTTTCCATCTTGAACGAGATCACGAATAAAGTGATAGCGAACTTCGATGTGTTTAGTTCACGAGTGCTGAATAGGATTTTTGGTCATGTTTATAGCTTTCGTGTTATCACATAAGATGGGGAGGGATCCTATACTAATACCATAGTCCTGAAGTTGATACTTCAACCATAGTAGTTGAGTACAGCCTAACCCTGCTGCAATATATTCTGCCTCGGCAGTTGATAAAGCAACATAGCTCTGCTTCTTACTAGCCCAAGAAATGAGTGACGTGCCAAGAAAATGACACGTTCCAGATGTACTCTTCCTATCAGTTATACAACCATCATAGTTAGAATCGCTATACCCTAGTATTTCAAGACTTGATTCACATGAATACCGCAACCCAAGAGAGACAGTACCACTGAGATAACGAAAAATACGTTTTACTGCAGTTAAATGACTAATCTTTGGATTACTCTGAAACCTGGCACAAGCACATACACTGTACATTATGTCAGGTCTACTGGCAGTTAGATAAAGAAGAGAGCCAATCATTCCTCGATATAATTTTCACTAACTGGTTCTCCTTATTCATCCAAGGAAAGTTTTACTGTAGAACCCATTGGTGTAACTGCAGATTTCAAATTCTTAAGGTCAAAACGTTCGGGCATGTTGTTCAAGTATTTAGTTTGACTAATAAAGGTGCCTTTGCTAGTCTGCTGAACTTGCAAATCCAATAAATAAGTTAGTTCTCCCATTAAACTCATCTCAAATGCCCCTTTCATTACTGACTCAAACTGTTTACACATCTTTTGACTAGAAGAACCAAAAATTATGTCGTCTACATATACTTGAACAAGCATAGTATGAACATTTAGGATTTTGATGAATAAAGTTTTATCTACAGAGCCTCTACGAAAGCCATCCATTATTAAGAAGTTACTAAGTTTATCATACCAAGCCCTAGGAGCTTGTTTTAAACCATAAAGAGCTTTGTTCAGTTTATATACATGATTAGGGAATTTGTGATTTTCAAACCCAGGAGGTTGAGCAACATAAACTTCTTCTTTCAAATCTCCATTGAGGAAGGCACTTTTGACATCCATCTGATAAAGTTTAAATCTTTGAGATGCAGCAAATGCACACAACAACCTGATGGCTTCCAGTCTAGCTACAGGAGCAAATGATTCATCGAAGTCTATTCCTTCCTCCTGATCATATCCATGTGCTACTAGTCTAAGCTTGTTTTTAGTTATATCACCAATTTCATCAGTTTTATTCTTATAGACCCACTTGGTTCCAATTATAGGTTTATCCTCAGGTTTTGGAACAAGTTCCCAAACATTTAATCTTTCAAAATACCCCATTTCATCTTGCATAGAAGCTGTCCAGAATTCATCATTCAGAGCCTCCTTAATGTTCTTAGGTACTAACAGAGACACAAAAGCAGTATGCACATTTGACAGTTTAGATCGAGTAACCATACCTTCTCTCAAGTCACCTATGACCTGAGATGGTGGATGCCACTTTTGAATGTGAAGAGGTACTTCTTTGACTCTGTTTGTATCAGTTTCTTCCATTTCTCCTTCACCTGTCTGTACTTGTGACCCTTCATTCCTCATCTCCTGTTCACCTTGTTCTACTTGACTGGGTTTATGTGATCTTCCTAATCCAAGATCATCATCCTCATCGATTTGATCTGCACACTTACTAGGAGAATCATCAAATACCACGTTTATGGACTCCTCAACTTTGAGTGTCTGTTTATTGTATACCCTGAAGGCCCTGCTATGAACAGAATATCCTAAGAAAATTGCTTCATCTGACTTAGAATTGAACTTCCTTAGATTATCTTTGGTATTGAGAACAAAGCATCTGCACCCGAAAGGGTGAAAATATCCCACATTTGGTTTTCTGTTCTTCCATAATTCATAAGGTGTCTTATTTAGCTTAGACCTGATTAGACCTCTATTAATAATATAGCAAGCAGTGTTTATAGCTTCTGTCCAGAAATATTTTGGTAATCCATAGTCATTCAACATAGTCCTAGCTATATCTATTAGGGTGCGATTTTTTCTTTCTACCACTCCATTTTGCTGTTGAGTTCTAGGGGTAGAAAAGTTATGAGATATTCCTGTTTCTTCACAAAATTTATCAAAACTGTCAGAAATAAACTCTCCTCTGTGGTCACTTCTTATACTCACAATTCTGGTACCCTTTTCATTCTCTAGCCTTTTAATCAGATTTTTAAAATGCACAAAGGTTTCCCCTTTATTCGAAAGAAACAACACACATGTAAACCTGGAATAGTCATCTACAACTACACAGGCATAATATTATCCACCAAGACTCATTACATTACTTGGACCAAAGAGATCTAATGTAATAATTCCAATTGTTTAGAAGTAGAGATTACAGGTTTACTTTAAAAAGAAGATCTAACCTGCTTCCCTCTTGTGCAGGCTTCACAAAAGAATTCCTTCTTACTACTTATTTTTGGTATTCCAATAACACTATCCAAGCTAATCAGTTTAGCCAAAGATCCACACTAATATGACCCAACTTTTTGTGCCAATCTAACTGTTCATTTTTGTTCACAATTATCAAACACATTTCATTAAAATCATTCTTGTTATTTAGATTTATGCAGAATAGTTTTCCTTTTCTTCTACCTGTGAACAAAATTTTCTTACCGTCAATATTCTCAACGTAGCACTTATTAGGTTAAAAAATCACCCTATTAGTTTCTCCACACATTTGACTTATTGAGAAAAGGTTATGTTTAAGACCATCGACCCACAACACATTAGTTATGATTGGTCATGTTCCTATTTCTCCCTTGCCTAGAACATCAGTACTATAATTATCTCCAAAGTAAACCTTACCTTTCTTACCCTTAATCAGTTTAGAAAAGAGTTTTTCATTTCCAATCATGTGGTGTGAGCACCCACTGTCCAGAATCCATTCGTTGTCTTCCATGCTCACTTGGAAGCAGACCTGGACACAGAAACACTTTATTTGTTTTTCGGTATCCAAACCATTTTGGATACTCCAATTCTTATTTTTACATCACTGCAATTATAACTCATATGTCCCTTCTTGTGACATGAAAAGCATACTGTTTCTTTTAACCTAGCTTCCTTAGCTATTCGTTTTTGACAGTGTGAGATGTAGTGTCCTAGACCATGACAATAGAAGCATTCGGGAGTTGCCTTGTTATGACTCTTTTATGTTCTTAAAGGCTTATTATGTTGTGCACATAGATTCCTACAAGCTTTCCTACTTTTGGCAATTTCTGCCTCTAGTTCTGCGTTTCTTCTTACAACTTCTTCCAATCTTTCATATGTTTCCAGTTTTTCCCTTTTCAGTTTGTTGTAACTACTAAGCAGATCCTCAAATTCAGATTTCATTCTAATATGTTTTGATCTAACAGTTCCGAATTCTGACTGAATATCTCTTATAGTTTCTATTATTTGACCATCTTCATCACATGAATCTGAATAGTAGTTAGAATTCCTGACCTGTGATGCTTCCATATCATCTTCGCTCTCATCAATGGCCATATAAGCTTCATATTTGGGCTCGACCTCTTCCTCTTCATCTTTACTGCAGCTCCAGGTGGCTATGTATGCTTTCTCTCGCTTCATTTGGGGGCAGTATGCTTTGATGTGCCCACTTCTTCCACACTTGAAGCATCCTGCTGATGACCCAGCCTTGCTGTCATTGCTGATTAACTCTCGGCTGACTCTTGGATTGGCCCTGAATGTTTTTAATTGCTCCTGTTCGGAATCACCTTCCCTTGTGCTATTGGGAAAGCCTCCTTTTTTCTTCTCTCTTCGCAGTCTAAGTAGCTTGGCCACATGCTTACTCAGCATGGCCAGTTCTTCATCCTCCATGTCTTCCAGGCAGTCAAGTTCTTCTTCTGATGCAGATACCTTGAACGCAATGCTCTTCTTTTCTTTACGAACCTCCTCTCATTCTTATCTTCTGAGTTTTTCTTCGTGTGTCACTAATGAACCCATGAGTTCATCCAAACTCAGCTTAGTTAAATCCTTCGATTCTTCGATTGCAGTAACCTTGGGAGTCCAACGTTTCGGGAGAGCCCAAAGCACTTTTCTCACCAGGTCAACACTACTGTACTCCACATCCAGATTCCTCAAACTATTCACGATAGTAGTAAACCTATCGTGCATCTCTTTGATGGTTTCCTCTGGCTTCATCACAAATGACTCAAACTCTTGCTTCAACCGATTTATTCTGGATATCTTGACATGAGTAGTACCTTCATGAGCCACTTGCAATTTGTCCCAAATCTCCTTAGAAGTTTTGCAGCCTCAGACTCTATGGTACTCCTCCGGACCTAGCGCACAGTACATGAGATTCGTCGCTTTGGAGTTCAACTGGAAGTTCCGCTTGTCTTCGTCCGTCCATTTTCCTTGTGCCTCCTTCACTTCAAGTGGTCCATCCAGCATGATACTCCAGATATCAGGGTCAGTTGATCGTATGAACAATTCCATGCGATTGCGCCAGTAACCGTAATGAACCCTTCGAATCTAGGAGGTTTGGTCTGGGAAAAACCATCTGCCATGAACACTCCGCCATTGCTTGTGCTCGAATTCATTTCCTCCACAGGTAGTTAACCCTTGTTTGCCGGAGCCGGGCTTTGATACCACGTGTTGGTTGAGTCGAGCGCGAGACTCAAATGTCAATCTCCTCTAGTTCTTTGATGGGAATCTGAAAACCCTAATTTCGATTTCGACAAAGCCAAGGGAAGAAGATGAAATGAACCGAAAAACCAATCGAAGGGAAAGTAAAGAGACTTCTCTTTTTGGTGTTTATCAAAACGACAACGACTCTGGTGATTGATCTCGAAGTGGGTTGGGCTGAGGTTGTTATCAGATTGCCACTGTTAAGCTGGCCCAAATCACTTGAGTACAACACTGTGTTTTGAGAACATAGTTTCCTTCTTCTTTGCTCGAACAGATAGATCAAACCCTGTTCTGCACACAACTCACACTCGCACCAAATCAAGAACTCTGATAAGAACTGGAAATAAAATGGAACGCAGTAAAAACACAAGTAAGCTCGGACACGATATTTTTACGTGCTATCCGATACTGATGAATTCAGTATCGACTAATCCACGGTCAAATGTACTCTGCTTGAGTCCTTTGACGTTATACTATGTTCTTGTGATTTCGGATTACACAGTACAACTTTGATCTCTCAATGACTCCCTGTCACTCTGATCAGAATCACTCTGAACCTACAACTCCCTGCTGCAATTCGAACTAAACCCAACCTTTCAAGCTCTCTCCCCGACAGCTCACTCCTTCTCTAATCAAAACCCTGACAATACTCTTTTGCTCCTGTTTTGATTCTCTTGAAAAGGATTGCCTCTATCTACCCAACCCTTTCACTCTTTATACATACATTCTCCTAGCCGTTAACCCTCACACTATCAATTAGGCTGATTCTGCTTTAACCCTGATTGAAGACACCTTCCTTAATTGTTTTACCGAGAGTGGAATTTCCTTTTCGACCATTTTCTTCAGGTTTCCTCAATTGGAGCCTGACACAAGCTTGTCTTCTTCCAACATAGGGATGACAATGGGTACGGTCGGGTGCAGGTATGCGCTATCTATGGCTTACCCTTGTCGGAGTTTGCATGGGAGCTTCCAGAGGAGGCCGGGTCGTTGAAGGTGCGTGGCGGAACTCGTGTTGAATGGATGGAGATTGGAACGAATCATACTTGCGGGCTTTCCTACCCGATAGCTTGATTGAACAGATAAAGCTCCAACCTAGCTATACCGAATGGTACTGGGCACGACATCCCGGTATGGCGGCTCCACTCCAAATGGACAGTTTAGTCTGAAGTCGGCGTATGAGCTCACAAACGAGGAAGAATGACCTGGTGGTTCTCATCCAGTTTTGGAGAGCGGTCTGTAAAATTCTGACCACTCAGCGGCTCCGATCCTTCTTTTGGTACATGTTCTTCGCCATCCTACCCGTCGACACAACTAGGATCTTCAATGACATTCAAAGGTCAATGACGACAATGGGGAGGATTGGATGGAATATCAAACGATGAAGACAGATTGGGTGGGAACTCTCCATGTTAATCTCTCCCTTCCCTTAGTCGTTGATTTCCCTCCTCTAGTGGTGGCATTGAGCTTCTCCGTCGGTGAGATATGGGCCACAAAAAAAAAAAAAAAAAAAAAAAACAGAAGGGAAAAATAAATGGGGAAGATGAGAAGAACGAGAGGGGTGTTCCTCAAATGGTGATAACTGGTGCTTTCATCAGGAAGGAAAGACAGAATGCTATCCGCCGCTGGCTATTGCTTTAAGTTTTTGGGGGTGGGGAATTTGGAGAAATGAAATAAATGAGCAGGTTGGCTGCCTATTGCCACTTGCCAGGGTTAGGGGAGGGTATTAGATAGCCGGTTGGGTATTTGTAATTACCATAACCGTACCCTACCCATTATCTTGAAACCAGGTATTACTCGTACCAGTGGCGTAGCCAGACATCGAGTCCACTAGGGTCTTTAAAATTTTACTAACATAAATGCTTGTGTACCTAATGAATTTTGAGTTAACCGGGGTCCTTGAAGAGCTAACATCGTTGAGAGTATGGGGTCCTAAACTTGAATTATCGTACTAAAACCTATGTATTTAAAGGATTTTGTTGCCCAATTATTTGCCAAGTGGGGTCCCTCTCCTCCTTACCTCCCTCCGCCACTGACTCGTACCCACCCCTTAACCCGTCAAAACGAGTAATTACCCTCGTTGACCGGTTACGATCGCGTAGGATACCCATGATTACGGGTTGGATTGACATCCCTAGATGTGAAGTGACGATGGATAACTAAATATGGAAGTTGCAAAATGGAAACTTTTTTTTTTTGGCTAACAATGATCTAGCGGAAGGGCAGTAAGGATTTGGCAAGTGATTCATCGAAGGAGATATGGATATGGGGTTTTTGTTCTGATTTTGATTCATTACGAGTGCGGGCAACTTGTCATCAGCTGGAAAGTGATGGAGGAAGGACTAATCTTCTTCTTAGTGGCGGGTGGCAGAGGAGAGGGGTTTCCAAGGGTCATGGGTCAGGTTAGGGGTTGAGTTAGAGATTGGTTGGGTGCTTATGACGTGGCAGGTCGAGTTTAAACCTTTTTGGATTAAAATAGGTTGATTAGGCGATTCTATTGGCCAAGTCGGCAAAAAATAATGGTGTTAACGGAGTTGGACGGAGACTAACGAAGAGTGACAAAAAATGACATGTTCTACTAAAATTAGTGACCATTATTGATATTAATTTTTTCGGCAATGCCTATTTATTATCCAAACTTTTTTCAGATTCTTTTTTATTAGTCAAACCTATCGAAATACTAAGAATGAGCCAAATGTTAACTTTCATTTAGCAATTTTGTTAGTAATATTGACTTGGCAACATGATATTGACTTGGAAGAGATATATGAAAGTCAACATTCAATTTTTTTAGTATTTTAACTAAGAAAAGAGTTACAAAATTATAAACAATAAAGTAAAAATGACTAATATTTTATGCATTACGAAAGATTTGACTAATTAATAGCAATTTAATAGGTTTGAAGAATATAAAAAGAATCTAAATAAGGTTTGAATAAAAAATAGACATTACCCTAATTTTTTTCGGTGACTAAACATATCACGTTTTAGTACTCAGTGACCAAACTTGACATTTACCCTTTGTAAACTATACTCCACCACAAAATTAGAAATGATCACGTCTTCCTATGATATTATTTTAACTGTTATGACGTAATTATATTATCACATAATTTTGACATAAATTGTCCCTTTGGAAATTAGAACATAATTTCCCATTAAATATGTTATCATCTTTTATAAAGTTTCGAACTCGAGTAGGATTTTACAATGACGGAGGGAATCAAAAGAATGTACAAAAGTTGTTGAATTCAATTGCAGGGCCCAATGGTAGTGGGTCACACTTTTTGATTTATGGAAAGCCAAAGAAATGGCAAGTTGAATGGTCAAAAAGTAAGTGCCAAAACCCGTCATGAGACTTTTACACACTGGACACTAACCAATTAATTAACATCTAACCAGGCTTTATTAATTATTATTAGTCCTGTAAATCCTTCTCCTTTGCCAACAGATTTGTCCTGTAAATCACTGATTATAATTTGGTCAATTTGGAAACCAATCTTAATTAATGAGAAATTAATTCATCTTAAAATCCCGGAAAGAAGAAAGAAACCGACAAAAATCGTCCAAAATGATTTGTGCCCGTCCTTTGACCGCCTGCCACCTGGCCATTCCTGCATCCCACATCATTGCACCGCCCAGTCCCCAGCCAAAAGAAAGCGGGAAAGAAACAAAACAGAAAACGGAAGAAAAATAATAATAAAAAGCCGAGAAAAAAAATTGAAATTGAAAAAAAAAAATTAACATGAAATGAAAAGGCGGAAAAAAGAGGGAAAAATAAAAAATAAAAGAAAACAGAGGGAGAGAAGAGAGAGAGAGAGGAAGGCGATGAATTGATGCCATTATACGCTTAACTTTCCTCCACCACCACCATCAACGTCTATGGATCTATCGTCTCCTCCTCCTCCCTCTCTTTCTCTCTCCGCTGTCTGATCGCCGCCCACTCCTCGATTTCCTTCCCCCCTCGTCGCCGGTTCCGCCACCGCCTCCCTTCTCCCCGGAGATCGTTGCCCGCCTTCATCGGTATGTCCTTGGAGCTCCCTCCGATTCACCACTCTCTCTCTCTCCGTTTCTCTTCCTTTGACTTTTGTCCTTCCGTTCCTCCTCCGTCCTCTCCCTCTCTCTCTTCCCTCTCTCCCCGGTCGGTGTTTAAGGGGTTTAGATCGGCTTTTAGATGGACAGATCTTGTTGGCGATTGATTCTCTCGTTCCTTTCCTTCATGGGTGTGGCCTGCTCATCCTGTGCTTGCTGCTACACGAAATACCTTCCCGTTGTTCAATTCGTTTCTCTAAGCCTCCGTTTCTCAAGTTGATGTGTTTTATGGCTGTGTGTTTCGTGGTTGTCTGCAGATCTCTCGTGTATTTCCTTCTTTTTGTGGCGTCTGTATCGGCTTCGCCGGCGATTTGGTTTAGCCGGGTCAAAGGTGGAATAGTGATTTTTTTTTGGGAACAATTAGGGGTTGCTAAACCAATCGTTGGACCTTTTTTTTTAAGAGATGGAATTCCATACTTAACATATGATAGGTTCATGGAGTTTCTATGGAAATTAATGCCCTTGCTAATTTGTGTGTTTTCTGCTCTCAGAGAAGAGGGGGTTTTTTTTTTTTTGAAATGTTTCTTGAGACTTGAGAGGTGTATGGATTGGGTCAGTCAGGTGTGTTAGGGTACACAAGTTTTCCAAGCTCGTTTTTGCTAATGCTTTTGATGTTATGGCAGGTGATGCTATGTCCTGTTGAAGGGGAACTGTAAGCGCAAATCAAAGGACATTGTTCTCAGGGTGTCCAACCGATGGCTTCTGTGGGTATTGCACCTACCTCTGGTTTGAGAGAAGCTACTACTCATAACGCAGCAGGTGTTGACAGGTTACCTGAAGAGATGAATGACATGAAGATTAGAGATGATAAAGTAAGACGTTGTTCTCTTGAGTTTTCATTTGCTTTTCCATCACCTTTTTTTGTTTAATCTTACTTACTAGATGTTGTTACTCTGGATGCAATTGTCTTCAGGAGATGGAAGCAACGGTGGTTGATGGAAATGGAACAGAAACTGGTCATATCATTGTTACAACAATTGGTGGTAGAAATGGGCAGCCAAAGCAGGTGAATTTCTGTTCTGCTTCTTTGTACTGCACCTCTACATAGTCACTGTTACATCGTTGCTTCCGTGCTTCTTGCTTTCCCGTTCTAACTCTGTGGTCTTCTCGTAATTGGAATGCAGACTATAAGCTACATGGCAGAGCGTGTCGTAGGCCATGGATCTTTTGGGGTGGTTTTCCAGGTATGGCTGCAGTTCTGGTTGAAATAATATTGGAATCTCACATGAAGTTGAGACTTTTCAGCCTTTAACAATTGAGTTATCTCAGGCAAAATGCTTGGAGAATGGAGAAACTGTTGCAATAAAGAAGGTTCTTCAAGATAAGAGGTACAAGAACCGTGAGTTGCAAACCATGCGCCTGCTTGACCATCCCAATGTGGTCGCTTTGAAGCATTGCTTCTTCTCAACTACGGAAAAGGATGAACTTTACCTCAATCTGGTTCTTGAGTATGTCCCTGAAACTGTGCACCGTGTGATCAAACACTACAACAAGCTAACTCAGAGGATGCCGTTGATCTATGTGAAACTTTATGCATACCAGGTGTGGCCCATGTTACTTTACCTTGGACTTGGTCTTTTAATATATTCATTTACGGCTTGCATAGTTGCGAGACCTATGGTGCATTGGGCCATATGCTATCCCCTCCTCAACCCCTAAGCTGGCTTCTTCCTCTGAGCTTAAATTTTGATGCAACAGCTTAGGGTATTTATTTCTGAAGCTACGCCCGGGGCTAATCTTGACCTGTGGTTGATCATATTTGGCAGATATTCAGGGCATTGTCATACATTCATCGTACTATGGGAGTGTGCCATCGAGACATTAAACCCCAAAATCTTTTGGTATGCACAATGTGTTCTTTTAGATTGTATATGTCATGTGATGAGATTATTTCCACCTTTCATTTATCTTCTACTTAATCACTTGAGGGTTGACCAATTGGCGCAAGTCCTTTGTTTTGAAAACCATCCTTGACTATTATTCATTCCAAGGGTCTTCATCTGATCTCAATATTGTGTTGGTTCAGGTAAATCCACACACACATCAGGTTAAGTTGTGTGATTTTGGCAGTGCAAAGGTCTTGGTAAGTCTTTTTGGTGCTTTATTTATGGGTTTGCCTTCACTTTGGTAAGAAAGTTCCAGTCTTTTTAACTTCTGGTTCGGTCTTATCAGGTGAAAGGGGAACCAAATATAGCTTATATTTGCTCAAGATATTATAGAGCGCCTGAGCTTATATTTGGAGCGACTGAATACACTACAGCTATTGACATTTGGTCAGCCGGTTGTGTTGTTGCTGAGCTGCTACTTGGACAGGTGTGGTATTTTCCATGTTTTAGGCTTGCCAAATGTCCGTCTGTGTTATCCTACCACTGAATTTATCATCTATGATTTTTGCAGCCTCTATTTCCTGGCGAGAGTGGAGTTGACCAGCTTGTAGAGATAATCAAGGTAACTCGGTTGTTTTAGATTAAATCAAGCGTTCAAGATCTATCAATTGAGTTGTTACACTGAATTCGACGTGGTGCTGTTTGTTTTTCAGGTGTTGGGTACTCCAACTAGAGAAGAGATCAAGTGTATGAACCCAAACTATACGGAATACAAGTTCCCTCAGATCAAGGCTCACCCGTGGCACAAGGTAAGCATGAAAGCTATTTTTGTTTTTGCTTTTATATCTCCCCTGATGGCCTGCTTACGAATCCCATGGTACTGCTCCTAGGTATTCCACAAGCGCATGCCTCCAGAGGCAGTTGATCTTGTCTCAAGACTCCTGCAATACTCCCCCAACCTACGATGCACAGCTGTAAGTATCTCTTTGGATCTTTGCCTGACATTAATTGTCTTGGAGGTTCTTCCCGGTTGTGGTATTATTGTGTGCAACTAAACTCTTTACTAATCTATTGGTCTGGCTCTGCAGCTGGACGCCATGACACACCCGTTCTTCGATGAGTTACGTGACCCAAACACACGCTTGCCAAATGGACGATTCCTTCCACCGCTATTTAACTTTAAAGCTCATGGTACGTTGGAAAATGCCACATCTTTACTAGCTCCAGTCCATGCTTGAATCATTTGGTCATTAAGTTTTGATCAGCGATTTTCTTACTGCAACTTTCATGTGACAGAGATGAAGGGGGTGCCCGTGGAGACTTTAGTTAAGTTGATACCAGAGCATGCGAGGAAGCAGTGTCCGTTTCTCGGATTATGATCTCTGGACTGTAACAAAGGCTCAGCAGGTGTTTCCTGGATTGTGACGCGTGATGTGCGCTACCTACATTGTCACACGATTGGACAATCGTCTTAATCATCATCGTCATCATCTTATTATATAATGATGTTAAAATTTGTTTCTCTGTTGTGGGTTCGTTTGATATAATTTTTGTTGTTAAGAGAAGGAAAAAGAACAACAGATTTAGTGAATTACCTGCTTTTAATGTCTGTGCAAACCCGATGACAACCCCCTCAGCGTCTTATTCTTCTACAACCTGATGTATTCTGACTCTGTTTCTTGTGTCTCGTCGTGTGTCATAAGTAATTTGTAACAAAGCTTACTGTAGTGAACTTAAAGGACGGATGGACGAATCTCATTTGTTATCTTCTTCAGTGTAATGTAACTTTTGCTTTCATGGGTAAAGGGGGGTAAAAACAGGGATGAATGGAACTATGAGCACTTGTGTGTGGTTTGATCGTTCTGGTTTTCACATTGTTGTTGCGGTGTAGGAATTTTGATTGACAAGCTTATTGGTATGATTTGGTCGGTTTTGTTTAAGATATTTTGTTCTAATTTAATTTGAATGGACTGATCATTGTCTCCTGTTTTCCATTAGTCATTAATATTGCTACTGTGACTGTCATCTACATTCTGATCGGCCTTCAGCTTAATGGTCCATGGTAGCCTGTAGGTGTTTCTGATATCGACCCTCTGCTTAATAAAACTATTGCCTACATCCTAATTTGTTCGTACCTGGATCGTACTAGGCGGTTTTGCGAGATTTTACTGGCTTCGAGCGGCTTTCGATCGTCAGAGGCGGTCTCCGAAACCCTACAAGAAAGGTCCTCAAGAGGGAATCCTGGAACCTTCTCCGATGTCAAAGTTAGAGAGCGAAGTGAATGAGTTGTGAATAAGGGAGAGAATGAAGTAGGTATAACTGTATAAGTTGCTATAAATGTAGCCCATCAATGGGTATTTATACTAGCTGTGGCCGGGTTGTGCGCATTTAATGGCCTGTCGGGCGTCCTAGGAGATAAGTTGCTATAAATGTAGCCCATCAATGGGTATTTATACTAGCTGTGGCCGGGTTGTGCGCATTTAATGGCCTGTCGGGCGTCCTAGGAGATAAGTTGCTATAAATGTAGCCCATCAATGGGTATTTATACTAGCTGTGGCCGGGTTGTGCGCATTTAATGGCCTGTCGGGCGTCCTAGGACGCCTCTTAGCAAAATCGGTTATGCAATGCCTTCCTTGGCCAACTCTAGAAGAGGATGGCCGACCATGGAGTAGACTAGAGTCAAACGTAGCCGAATGGGCTGGTTCTCCGCTATGGTCCAATCTTCCGGCCCATTTCTCCAGCACTGGTTTCCAAATTGGACCAGGAAAAGGATCTAACCAGTCGTTACCTTCTACTTGCCTTTCTGGAAAGAAAGAACTAGCAAGTATGAACTCGTTAAGGGCTGAAAATGATTCCCTGAACAGCAGCCATGTCTCTAAGCTCAAATCATCACAGCCAAGTCTCAAAGTGGTCACCACGAGGGAAGTTAACGTACAAAGAGATCTTTCCCATTCTCCCTCCCTTTCCCAGAAATGTGGACAGCATTGTTGCATTGTTTCCTTCTTTACTTAAAAACTTTTCCTCCCACTACCCACTCCAATTTTGGCTGCACACATCTGCATGCGCATCAACAGCAGGCCTGCAAACTTGAAACTTACAACTTCGCCATTCCCCTCCCCCCTCTAACTAGCTAGCTAGCTGCGCGCTACGCTTCGTCTACTGTCTGGTTTCGTAGCTGCAACTTCATTCCTTTGGTTTCTACTGTTATAAGTATCTAACACGCATGGACATTCCCCTTTGCTCATCACTCCAAGTAACATGGCATTCCCTCTCTTGGCTTTAGCCTCCACTTTCTTCTTCTTCTTCTTGTCGACCTTCCAAGGGACAACCCATTTCTCCACTTCACAACCAAATGAGTTTCAAGTTGTCTCCCAGATCTCACTCCCGCCCGAAATCCCTCCCACTATGAGTAACACGTCATCTCCAACTTCATCCCCTTATGAGCCTGCTACAGTTTTCAGTGTGCTCTCTTACGGTGCAGTTGGCGATGGTGAAGCAGACGACACGTCAGCGTTCAAGATGGCATGGGACATTGCCTGCCAAACACAATCCGCGCTCCTCGTAGCACCAGCTGGTTATCGCTTCGTCGTTCAGCCTACTGTCTTCCCAGGACCTTGTCAAACTGGCCTCCTGTTTCAGGTACATATATAACATTAACTTCTCTTGCTGATAAATAATAGCAGCTCCTGCATTGATTTGGATTTGGGATTTTTATTGTTTTCATGTGTCATTTCCATGTGACAAGAAAGATTGATGGAACCATAATGGCACCGGATGGACCGAGATCATGGCCGAGTTACTCGAACAAGAGACAATGGTTGGTGTTCTACAATGTGATAGGCATGACAGTGCAGGGTGATGGTGTTGTGGATGGGAGAGGACATAAATGGTGGGATCTTCCCTGTAAGCCTCACAAAGTAATGCTCCAAACTTTGGTGTAATTTCAGTTTGATTTCAGGCATCTGATGTAATAAAAATGTGGTTGTTACTAAATTCCTGCTGCTAAGTTACTCTGGCTGAACTGAGTTTCAGGGGATTCATGGAGCAACAACAGTAGCTCCTCCCTCATGTGATAGCCCAGTTGTAAGTAGTATAACAGAAAAACACACAAACTTTTCCCTTTCCTCCTTCCTGGAAACTGATTGATTAGAGAAATGTGCAGGCAATAAGGTTCTTCATGAGCTCAAACCTCACAGTTCAAGGGCTGAAGGTGCAGAACAGTCCTCAGTTCCACTTCCGGCTCGACCACTGTCAAAATGTCGTGGTGCGAATGCTCAACATCCACTCACCTTCTTTGAGTCCTAATACAGATGGGATTCACATTGAGAACTCCAACAACATCATAGTTCACAGTTCTCTCATCTCAAATGGTAAAGAGAAAAAAGAAAATGAAGCTAAAAGTTACATGCTCATCGTATTCCCATCTCTCTCTAAGTTACACCCAGAATTGGTTCATGTTAGTCTTTCTCGTTCTCACCATTTCCAGGAGATGATTGTATATCCATTGGAGCTGGAAGTTATAATGTTCACATACGGAACATTACCTGCAGCCCAAGCCATGGAATCAGGTACAAATATTAAGAGTTATGCCCCCATAACAAAGCCTAAGGATTTGGTTTGTTATGATTCGATGGAAAAATCTGTTTCGTTTGGTGTAAAACAAATCAATTAAAATGACTTTTTTCTGCAGCATTGGCAGCCTAGGTTACCGCAACTCCGGAGCCTGTGTATCAAACATCACAGTGTCTGACTGCTTCATTCATCATTCTCAAAACGGTGTACGAATCAAGACATGGCAAGGAGGGTATGGCTCAGTATCTCAGGTCAAGTTCCACAACATCTGGATGGAGGGCGTCCGAAACCCTGTGATCATAGACCAGTACTACTGCCTCTCCAAGAACTGCTCCAACCAGACCAGTGGAGTCTACATCCATGATGTCTCTTACTCAAACATCCGGGGCACGTACGATGTCAGGAGCCCTCCGATGCATTTGGCCTGCAGCGATTCGGTCCCCTGCACGGACCTCGAGCTGTCAGATATAGTGTTGTTCCCCGGAGCTGACCATGGTGGAGTTGCAGAGAAGAACCCATTCTGCTGGAATGCTTATGGGGGAAACCAGACGCTCATTGTCCCTCCTGTTTCTTGCTTGATTGGAGGGAGTCCAGATTTGATCATGGAATTGAAGGAGGATCTTTGTTGACTTAAAGCAGCTATTTTGGATTCCAGCAAACACAAAAAAAGAAATAAAGACTAGCTCTTGGACTGGAAACGGGGTGCTGCCACATCTACCAAATGGCAACATTCAGTAGTCTGATGTACAATATTTCTCCGTGCAAAATAGAAACTGCAGACTACAGATTCTTAGCTATATCAGGCAAGAGAGGTCTTTAAAAAGAATACAAGCGGAAAAGCATGTGAAGGTTGGTACAAAATGCAGATGAAAGAAGTCGGGACAGGGTGGCCAAACTTGTCCCTCCACAATCCAACATAAGAGTGCAGTTTGGCCACTGTCCTAAATAAGGCTTTAACCAGCACTAAAACTTCACTAAAATGTAAAGATAACTGTACCAAAGAAACTGTACAATTTATTCCACAAAGTGGAAGAGCATTTTGAACACTAGTCGCAGGAGTGAGTTCATTTTCTTTGTTCCTATCCTAACAAGCCATATCCATAAAGATAACACACCTTGCAGGCTTTTTCTATCAGTTCCTTACAAATTGTCATAAAGAAACTAGTAAGAGGAACTGAAGGACTGCAGCTTTATGAAGACCAAGTTGAAGGAAGAGATTTACACTTCGAACAATCATCATAACACTCTTCTGTTTATAGAACCATTTCCACACCTTTTTTTTTTTTTTTTTTTTTTTTTTTTTGCATAAACAAGGCCAATGGGCAATACAAGCTTATCATAATGTCCATAACAACATTCGAGACACACATATGGATGTAAATAGACCATGTTACTACAATAGAGAAGCAAGTACCTCCAATAAGGAAGCAGCAAACTGCATTTGGGTCTCCTCATCAATGGTTAAGAATAGAGGTACATGAACAAATAGTGATTTAGTCAGGTTCTTCTCTGCAAAGCGAAGCGAATGGTAGTAAACATAATTACACACGAATCGGCCAGCATCATCCGAGGTCATTACTTCAAAACCTTTCTTTGCCAAGGCATTTGTAATCTCCTCCACAGGAAGAGCGGTCTGCAGGCAGATGGAATACATAATTGTTTGAGGATGCCAAAAGCAAAGGGCAGTGTTAGAGAAATCACATGACGGCCAACAAGAGAGCACTTGTTGCATATTTTATAGTCTATACTCAAGCAAACATACCTCTCTAACTTGTGAAATCTCACCATCTGAAGGAATAATGGGTAGTTTCTGCAAGTCAAATACTGCTTCAGATCAATTGAAATCACTTCCTTCACACATTCAATGATCAAGTAGGGTTTGGTAGTTATCAAACCTGTGGTTTCCATCCCATCTCATCAGGACATCGAAAAGTAGCTTCGTTAACAGCTCGATTCTCGATTGCAAACTTTGTGGCCCCACTATTCACCCCGAAATGCACCTGCAACAGTCAATCGTATCAAACCATTAAGCTCATGTCCACACTACAACATCCATACAAAGAGATACCCGAGATGGAAAGCGAACTAACCCAGATAACTTTCCCAGAATCACAAGGATTGGAATTCTCAGAAGGTATGGCAGATTGCAATGTCTGGTAAAGAGGAGCAACTGCACCTTGTCCTGCAGTTTCAAGCACATGACAATTCCCTAAGACCAGACCTTTCGGCATCCCGTTCTTGTTCATGTACTCCTGCAGGTTGCAAACAATCGTCTCCGTGGGATTCTCGGACACTCCATGGAATTTCTTGAACCCCGTTACGTGGACTGTTACGCAGGAAGGTCCATCAGAGGCTTCAGAAGCAGGCACAGTCCCTTCTGATCCCATTGAAACTCTAGTTATTTGACAGAATGATGACCCAAAGTGTTGTCACTTGAGTAAGTTGTGAGGTTGAGTGAATATGTTAAAGCACCTGTCATGATAAACAAAAAGGAATATGAAGCTGTAAATCATATGCGGAGAGCAATCACATACTGCAATCTAACTACAGTAATCTTCTCTTGAGACAAACCCATGTCTGAACTTGATTGCCTAACAGTGAAAGTACCCAATTTAAGTTTCCTCCTCCCTTCTCCCCCTCACAAAAGTGTAAGATATGGAAACTCTGATCGGAAAGAAAACATAATAGCGGGAAAGTCTAACAGCTCAAACACTAACTAATGAACAAATCGAGGCAAAAAAAACACCCAAATTGGAAATCAAGAAGCTGCCCAAGTTGCAGCAATCGAAATTCAAAGAATGAGGAAATGGGAAATTGCGAGGGAAGAGAAGAGAAGATCAGCCATGACAAGCAAAAAGGTCGGATCTTTTAACATGTTCTCGGAAGAAGAGGAATTCTCAAGTAGATTGATTTACCTGTGCGAGAGGTTTTTGCAGGAAAGGGAAGGAAAAGCAAAGCAGAACAGAACAACGAAAAGGAAAAGACTCTTTCCCTCACGACGAGCTTCCACCAGTCTTTATCTAATGTGCTGCTGCCTGCCTGTGTTGAAAAGTGTCATCGCCTAATAGCTGATTAAGAATCCATTATTAACTCATTTTCCATTAAGAAAATGAAAGGTCAGATTAAGGGACAATTAACAATTATCCCTGCAAATGTTTTTGTTTTTTACTTTTTTTTACCCCTGCAAACGACCCCTAAGCCTAAAGCACCATTATTGAAAGAAAAGGTCCACTCTGCTGATAAAGCCCAAAGTGGCATTTGTCTGCCTGACCCTTAAAACGTATCAAACCAAATTATTCTCTCGGGAAAGAAGGAATACAAACATTTTCTATAAGTGGGACCCAGCCAATTGGCCGGAGGAAGGTGAGATTTGAAATTTGAGATTGTAATGGGGTGTATAGCTTAATGTTGTGTAGGTTTTTTTTTTTTGAAACACATGATAAAAATAGTGAATTGTAGCAGGAAAGATGCATGGATGATGCAACGAATCAAAAAATCAACCTTATGAACCAAGTTCGAGTACATGTTACCTTGTGAAACAATATTATTTTTGGTAATATGATGAGGTGGAGTAAATTTTATAGAAATCGAATTCCAGAAAACGAATAAAAAATCCCCTATAAAATACACTATAATTTAATCATTAGGATATCAAATAATTACATAATATATATTTGAAATTATAAAAATTGAACTAATCAGGTTGGTCAAGGTTGGACGATTTAATAACTTTAAAATACATTATATTTTAACCACTAAGATATAAAATAATAGAATAATATATGTTATGCTAGAGAAAATAGCACGTTTTAGGATGACAAACCCATGATGTTCATTTGTTTTACTTGAAACTTGATGGTCAAATCCCGTATGAGTCAGACCCATTTAACACTTTTATTCTATGGTTAGCGGTTAGCCCATTAGAATCCATGCATTAGTTTATTGTTAAATTTTTTCTTTTTAGCAATAAAAAATGAGTATTGTTTTGCCCTTTCACATATATCTTACCAACACTGAGAAATCAAATGGCTTAAAGAAAACCCTACATCCCCTAGAAAAAGCTGCTCAGTGCTCACTGGCTCATGATTCACTTCTCTCTCTCTCGATCTAAATTATATCGCCACCGGTAGCCACTTCTCCTCATCCCTGTTTTCTTGTCCTTAATTTTAGCTTTGCAAACCTTTTTCCTGCATGTCATCCTCCCCCCGAACGTCAATTTCCACCCCCTCTCGGTCTTTATTTTTATTTCTTAATCTTCCATTCTCTTATCACTTGTTTAAACCCCCTCTTTGTATATCTTCGACGCTAGTTTAAAGAAGAAGAAGAAGAGAAAGCCACCAATCTTCAATTTATTGTATTGTTACAGTGAAGCGATATTGTGGATTTCTTTGTCACTTAACTGTTAGAGCTTACAAATGATGGAAAAAGGGGTGGTTGATTATGATTTGATTAAATGACTCAATCTTTAAATTTTACTTGCATGCAATTTATCATCCTTCTTCATGAGCATGACTGGATCTTTTTAGTATGCTTGGATTTCATTTCATAGGGAAGGGATTAGGCGATTAGCACACGGAAGAAGGATTGTGGTAATTATTTTGTAAACAATTATGAAGCTCTCTTTCTCCAATTATCTCATTTATTCTCGGCGTTGGTGAAGTCTAGATCCATCATCGGAACAATCCAAGACTCGGTTATGGTGATCGCTATGGAGGATGAAACAGATGCGACCGTGGCTGGAACCTGTTCTGTTTTTGTGGGCTGCAACAATCCCTGGGCCAGTTCAAGTCCGCACGTGTACGGTAAGTTGGCTCGTTCCACAGAGGAAAGAGAAAAAAATTGACACTCCCTATTATACTCTTCCTACAAACGCTCATGGAGCAGGAAATTTGAAATGAGGGAATGGTTTTGTCCTTCTTGCTATTATATTATGTGTAGATTGTAGTAATTAGAACCCCACTTTTAAATCTGGAAGCAAGTAAACACTATCACAAAACATCATATTGTAAAAACTTATCTGCAATCATGAGGTTGTTTCACTCAAAATAAACTATGTTTTATATGTTGAAGATCAACATTATAGTTTGAATAGTTCAATTCGGCAATGATCTCAGCTCTTACATAAAAATTTTGTGTAAAAGTGGTATGATTGAAGCTATTCCCTATGTTAACACTAATCAGAATAGTCTTTGTTTACTGGAAACTAACCACCAAAATATTTCAAATCAGAAAAATGATGATACTGAAAAGGAGTATCATAACAAGAGCAACAAAAAGTATAGTTATTTATCTTTAATCAGCTAAAAAGTCAACCTAGAAGATCAAACAAATTAACAGCTGTTAATAGATCATACATTACTATCAAAGAAACTAAATAACCCATCAGTCAGCTCTCCAAGCAAGAACACTCAACCTTTACATATATATATCCCTCCAAAAATTCTTTTGTGTAACATTATAGGTGGAGGAGGATAGGCAGTTGTCGAGTCCGATGGGAAGGTTTGGAGAGACAGTGATGGTTGAGCCTTTAGAAGGACGGGAGCCCAGAACACTGTTTATCTTTAATAAACTCAAAAGTCAACCTAGAAGAAAACCAAATGAACTGATGTTAAGAGATCACACATTACTGTCAAAGAAACTAAATAACCCTCCAGTCAGCTCACCAAGCAAGAACACTCAATCTTTCCATATATACCCCTTCGAAAATTGCTTTGCTTAACAATATAGGTGGAGGAGGTTAGGCGGTTGTCGAGTCCGATGGGAAGGTTTGGAGAGACGACGATGGTTGATCGTTCAGTACGTAGGTCGGGACACCATTTAGACCTATTTACATTAGTTGCGGCTTTTCAATCCGCATTCGACAAACCAACATCACTTAACCTTTCCATATTTACCCCTCTCTTAAAGACACATGTGCCACATATTAACTCAAAACTTCTATGTTCAAAAATATTGCTGTTTTTTGGTAATTATATTATTTAAGTCTGATGTGCAATATTTGCACCAATGACATTAGTTTTGCGATTTGAAAATTATTCTCCTTTTATAAGATAAAGAGAGATATAATTAATTGTTAAACTCGAATTAAAATAATCAAAGTATGAAAATAGAAGTATCAAATACCAAAAAAATATTTAGGGGAGAGTTAGTGGCTTAGCTAACTGTTAAGTAAAATTCCAATGATTTTTCAGATTTAAGCTTCCTGTATGTTTAATTTAAAAAAGTTTAAACAAATTTGTTTAGTGTAACTGATTATGTTTCTTGTCTTTTCTCAAAGAGACAAAATTCAAATCCAATCACTTATGTATTTTTCCTGTGAATAAGAAAATAATAAATGATTGTGAAGACGAATCTACCCTTCCTACTTTTGCTATGGATGCTGAGATTTTGTAATGGGGGAAGCACATTTCCTATTTCACTCTTTTACAAGGTGTAGCGAAAGTAACCTGGTGGTTGAGTGTATAGTGGGTCGGAAACTATTTAGGTATGTTTACATTAGTAGCACATTTTCCATTTGCGTTAGGCAAACCAACAACACTCAATCTTTTCATATTTACCCCTCCAAAAATTGCTCTGGCTTAACAATAGAGGTAGAGAAGGTTAGCCGGTTGTTGAGTCTGATGAGAAGTTTGGAGAAACGGTGATGGTTGAGCGTTTAGTGGGTCGGGGCACTATTTGGACCCGTTTACATTAGTAGTGTCTTTTTCATCCGCGTTTGGCAAACCAACATCACTCAACCTTTTCATATTTACCCCTCTCTTAAAGACACATGTGCCCCCATATTCACTCAAAAGTTCTGTGTTTAAAAATATCGTTACTTTATGATAGTTATAACAATTAAGCCTATGTTAAGAATTCTACATCGCTTCTACACATTCAAGAGTCCAATTCAATATATGCAATATTTGAATCAATGACATTTCGGTTGCTAACCGTGGTGGAAAAGTCTTATATTTTCATATTTATGCTTCTGTATGTTTTTATTTGAAAAATATCACACAAATGTGTTTATTGTAACTGGTTATGTTTCTTATCTTTGTTTGAAGAGACCACGGTTCAAATCTCATTACTGATGTATTTTTTCTGTAAATAAGAAAATAATAAGTGATTGTGAAGACGAATCTACCATTCCTACTTTCACTCTGGATGTAGGAAATTTGAAATGGGGCTTCAAGTTTTCTCATATGACTTTTATTTATTGTGTAGATAATGCTACTTGTATCTTCTCACTTTTAAATTATTTTTCACCCCTAATATTTACAATAAATATTCAATTATATGCATTTTTTTTTACAAAAGATAATCTTGCATTAGATAAAAAAAAGATAGACAGTTACACCTTGGAGATCAACCAGGCATGAAAATCAAAATAACGACTCATAGTCGGGTACAAAGAGAGGGCCTTTCTAGCCACCATGTGGGCTAGCCTATTGCTACGCCGACCTATAAATCGAACACTAAACCCAGGATTGCAGGCAAAATAATGTAGCACCTCCTCTAGTATAGCACCTAGCCTGCTATCCCTTGTATCAACCCGCTTGATTTTATCAATGACCACCTTGGCATCCCCTTCAAACCCCACGTTATATAATATGTGGCCCATGCACCAAAGGACTGCCTCACGCAGGACAAGCAATTCCACCACAAGAGGGTCATCAATGACCGGAAACTGCACCCCAGTAGCCATAAGGATATCTCGATTAGGGGTCATAAGCACCACACCTCCTGCTGAATGCGAACCCCTTCTGGTAGCCCCATCCCATCCACAGATAACCACTGGCAACCCTACATGATCTGGTTGGTGGTCTGCAGCGGCGGGGGCCTGGAAAGGCTTATCTACCGGGAGTCGCACCCATTCCTCATACGGCTGCGTAAACTGGCGCATCAAAGTAGGGACCCTATACTGTTTACCCTCAAAGACCACCTAATTGCGAGATCTCCAGATTTGCCAGAGGATGGTCACAATAGCCATAAACAGAGTAGGTTGCTGGATTAACGCCATTAACTTTTTGAGAAATAGAGGGAATATGTGACGGGCAACCCCTCCCCTAGATGTTCCAGCCCAGTTGCTCCCCAAAGGGATCGGGCTACCGGGCAATCCAGGAACAAATGTTCCATAATTTCCGCACACTCCCAGCACATCGGACAGCGAGGATGAACCAGGATCTTTCTCTCAATTAATACTTCCGTTGTAGGGAGGATCTTGTTGAAGACTTGCCAAACAAATACCTTTAATTTTGGCGGTATATTAGCCTCCCAAAGGCGGATCCAACTGGTACGATCCATCCAATCTACCTTAGCTTTCCACCGACCCCTTCTCTTATCTAGGGTGACAACCAAGTGGTACGCAAATTTAACCGAAAAGTCACCGTTAGCCGTATCATGCCAGATGAGCCTATCCTCCACATTTGCCAGCGGAAGAGGAATAGCCTTAATATTACGACAAGTAGCAGGGTCAAACCATTGGCTAAGTTTGAGGTCACACCAGCGACCCTCCCCTTGACAAATCAACTCAGCAACCGGAGGGTCTCCCCCCGCTGGCAGAATCCGCGGGTTATACCAGAGAGGCATAAACTAGTTTTGGGGAACCCGAGTGGAGTGAAGCATGGACGGTGCACGACCATTCCCAATTTTCCATTGTAAGCCCATCTTTAACAGCCGCCGCCCAAACAGGATGCTTTGCCATCCCCACGAGGGACGAGATCGAGCCTTAGCATTTAGGAAGTGTCCATGCGGGAAATACTTCCCTTTGTAAACTTGGGCAAGAAGCGACTGGGACTCACTAAGGATGCGCCACCCAATTTTAGCCAGGAGGGCCTGATTAAAATGTTCAAAACGTCGAAATCCCATCCCCCCACCATGCTTACTCCGGCACATGTCCCTCCAGGACATCTACCGAACTTTCGAATGGTTGTCACTTATTCCCCACCAGAATCGGGCAACATGCTTATCCAGAAGGCGACACAGAGATAGTGGTAGCTTGAAACATGACATCACGTGTAAAGGTAATGCCATGGCAACCGATTTTATCAGGGTTTCCTTAGCCGCCCAGAACAAAGCTCTCTGCTTCCACCCCTGGAGCCGCTCCAAAAGCTTATCCTCCAAATATCGGAAGGTCTCCATCTTCGATCTTGCTACCAGAGACGGGAGTCCCAGGTATTTATCATGGACCCCAACTGCCCCCACCCCCATAATTGTAGCTAAGAATTCCCGATCCGACAATTCTTACTAAAGCACACCACAGATTTTGCCAAGTTCACTCTTTGACCACTAAGCTCCTCATACTCATTCAAAACGTCCATTAAGTTTTCACATTCTTGGAGCGTTCCACGCAAGAATAAATATGAGTCATCAGCAAAGAATAAATGCGAGATTCGTGGGGCCCTGGGGGCCACTTTAATCCTTGCCAACTTCTTATCTGATATAGCCTTCCGTAGGAGAGCCGCAAACTCCTTTGTACATAGTACAAACAACAGAGGAGACAAGGGATCACCCTGGCGAAGCCCCCTATAGGGAGTGAAATAACCTGACGAGGTACCATTCATCATCACCGAAAAAGACATTGATCTAAGGCATTCTTGGATCCATCCTATCCACAAAGAGTTAAAACCCAACTTTTCCAAAACCGTAAGGAGAAAAGTCCATTCGACTCTCATACGCCTTTTCCATGTCAACCATTAGAGCCATGTATCCTTTCTTCCCACGTGTTTTGATTTTCAGGTAGTGCATAAGTTCATGTCCGAGGAGGATATTCTCGACGATTTGTCTCTCCCGTATAAACGCATTTTGACCTTCGGAGACAATGTTTGGTAAGACGCAAGCCAGCCGTTCAGCCAAAATTTTGGTTATAATTTTATAACAAATTGGCATAGGCTGATGGGTTGCAGTTGCCTCATCGATTCAACATTATCCACTTTAGGGATTAAAGTGAGCCAGGTATAACTGAAGTTACGGAGCATCTTACCCGTTGTAAAAAACGAGCAAACGACATCAATCACAGATGGCCCCACAATTTCCCAGAAAGCTTTGAAGAATTTGCCCGTGAACCCATCGGACCCTGGAGCCTACTTTGATCCCATAGCAAATATAGTTCTGCGCACTTCCTCAGAGAGCATTACCGCTGTTAGGGCGTCATTCATAACCGGGGTAACACTCTGGGCAATGGGCAGGGCATCTACAAGCTCTCTCATATTTTGGACCTGATTTTCGGACGTGAAGAGATGGCGATAGAAATTAGTCGCAACATCCGCTTTACCCTTCTCATCAGTGATCCACTCCCCGTTATCAGTCTGGAGCCCAGCCACAAAGTTCCTTTATCGGCGAGTTCTAGTTGTTGTATGGAAGTAAGAGGTATTTTTATCACCCTTCTTGAGCCAGTGGACCCTGGATTTTTGCTGCCAGTATATCTCTTCTGCTTCCCATTGTCTATTCAGTTCTATCTCAAGTTCACGGATCGCATCCCAATTAATCGGGTAGTGATGCTTGATCCTTTCAATCTCTGCTTGCAAAGTTTGGATATTACGCAAAGAGTTCGTGGTCCTAGCTCTGCTCCAGTCATAAAGAAGATGACGGAGTTTTTTTATCCGCTCCTAAAGGCGAAACATAGGAGTGCCTTCGATGTTCTCTTGCCAAACGTATGTGACCATAGCTTTGACCTTCGGATTATCCGCCCAACGAGTGTCAAATCAGAAGAGAGGGCGACTATGGCGGGCATACGGTTTATCCGATAACAGGAGTGCCCGATGGTCCGAACCTTGGTCTGTAAAGTGTTTCACCAGAGTTTCAGGGAAGCGATCCTGCCAGGCTTGGGAGCATAGAGCCCTGTCTAGACTCTCACGAATACTGGCCGCCCCCATTCTTTTGTTCGTCCATGTGAATGGATCCCCTTGATACCCCGGGTCAATAAGATCCAAATCTTGAACAAGATTACGAAGGCTAAGGGATTGCACCACATTCCATTGGTTACTCCCATCCTTCTCACTCTCATGAAGAGTAGTGTTGAAGTCCCCAATGATAACATAGGGATCAAGGATGCCATTACAGATTCCCTGCAGCAGATCCAACTGGGTGGCGCGAATAGCATCATTACAACTGATGTAGACAAAAATCACCACATAGGAAAAGTTTATTTCATTAATTCGAACACAAATACAAAAATTCGAATGATAAAACACCGAAGCATTAACTTCGGGGACCAAGCGACAACCAAGCCACCAGATGCATCTATCGCATCAACGAAAAAACAACACGAAGAAAGGAAACCTAAACCCCACATATGATGGGCAACTACTCTCCGACTCGTTCGTGTTTCAGAAAAAAAAACACGAGATCCGGTTTATTAGAATGCACTAAACTAAAAGCAGTTTGGAATGTGAGGGATGGTCCAATTCCTCTCACATTCCAGGCTAGTAGTCTCATTTATCCGGTTGGGGCCACTCCAGGCTGGCTTACTCCACCTTATCCACTTCCTCTTTATCTTCCACGAACTGTTTATTTGGGGTCGGTGTTTCTGCTACCTCCCCAACAATCTCATCTAGGTGATGTTTTTTAGTCCCCCTCTCCCGGTAGAGAATATTGGTGCCATATTCATTAATGTCGAGAATTGGGTCATCGACCATAGGTTGCTGCTGAGGCACGACAACCGTGGACTCAACCTCAGTCATTAATGGAGTCTCATCTTCCGAGCCCGTGCCATCTGAATCCCAAAGCTCAGGGGCAAGGTTTGGTTTCTCCACCTCCCTCAAAGCCAATAGGGGCTCTTTATCTTTCTTTTTCCTTCCCTTCTCCTTACCTAGCTTCACTTGTTTTCTAGCCAATTTCCCAGCACGGACTGAACCTGCCACACGAAGCTGCCTCGGTGGGGCATGCGTCGCTCTGGGGTAATGACTCGCACCTTTATCACTCCTAGGGTCCGGTATAGACCTTAGCCTGGGTCGCTCTGGGGTAATGACCGCAACGGAACCACATCCACAATTTGAGGTTCAATCGGGCAGTGGCGGGTATAGACCTTAGCCTCTTTCGAGTCTTTCCATTGTATGGGAGACGGGACTTCGCGTACGACGAATTCCTCTTCCGATTCTTCTTCCAGGATCAGTCTCCTACGTCTTGATACCCCTTCAACTTCTTCTATTGGCGCCGTCGAGACACTCGGAACAGATGAGGCAACCCGCTGCCGATTAGTCCTACGCCCGCCCTATTTCCGACCCAACTAACCTGGGCCTGCAGCATACACCGGTTTGGCACCGTTTGACCGGCCCACCTCTCATTGGGCTTTGCTTGGGCCATCCACTTCCATTGGGCTAGCATTACGCCCCTTCCTCGATGTGCCGCGGCGAGAGGGTTTCCCTAGGGAAATCCTGGGGCCTTTGGCAACCGAGAAACGCAATGGGCTTCTCCCTTGCGAGTTATGGGATTCAGTAGTGATGAAAGGATCCATTGAGGTCCCCATCCAAAGTGGGCTGCCCTCAGTGGCTTGAGGCCCATTAATGGGCGGATCAATTGGCTTGGGCTTATGCGAGCCCGAATTGCACCTGCCATTTTCACTTGTGCTCCGCGTGCTGCCGTATTTACCCAAACTGAATTCGAGTGGCGGCGAGACTGGTTTCGTAGCTCATCACCATCGAAAACTTTCCTCACCATATTTTTTGTTGACATGTGAGGGCCAAACCGCTCCTTCCTCATCGGGGGATAAAAAATGCAGGTCTGGCGAGCATGTCCCCCCCGTCCGCAGTTGAAGCAAAAGCTGGGGAGGAATTCATATTTGAATCTAATCCAAAAGCAGCCCGTCTCATCATTTGTCGCCATGATTTGGGACCGCAGAGGTTTGGAAAAGTCGACAAGGCCCTTCACTTTGATAAATTTCCGCGCCTTAGTAGAGCACGAGAAGACACCAGCTTCTAAAATGCGGCCGATCGTGGAATTTGATATCTGGCGGCTAAATCGATGGGTGCAACAATCTTCCTGAACGTCCAAGAGCTGGACGCGGAAGGGAGAGATTGCGAGTTCCTCAAAAGTACGATGAGAAACTGACGGAACCCATGTCCTTAGATGCTGAATCCTGTCCGCAATGATCCATGGAGTTCGCTGTAGAACCCATGTTTTGGCTGCCTCAGACGGAAGAGTGAACTCCAGGAGCTCGTGCGGCAGTTCACGCACAATAATTTGTTCTTGTCCTTGCCAAGGTCGATTGACCGCATCCCTCAGCTCGGTAATTGAGAGTTTGTTGTCCGAGAAGAGGCGGCCGATGAGCATCGTGGATTGCGGACACGGGTTGCTTGGATTTCCTCGAGAGAGAATTCCACCACTTGGTCATTAGTAACGCGAGCCATGGAGTCCACCTGCGCAGAGAGCGGATAAGAACGGCTATTCGAGGAATACCCAACAGGTCCCCTTACTGACCAAGGGAAGCTCCAGAGGATGTTTCATATATTATGCATGGGAGCAGAATCCATCCAAACATGGAAGTGGATATCAATAGGAGAAATCAACCACTTACCGGAGAGTTCTCGTTTTCCTCGCTGGGCTGTCTTTCTTTGCAGCTCCAAACAGTTGTCAAGCTTCTGAGAGCATATGGAAACCGAAGGGCAGAAAGGACGGGTTAAATAGCACAACGAGGGTTGGGTTATTAACGGCCTGGATAGGCCAAGTTGAGTTAGGAATCTCTTATTACGGTTTTTACACTCGATTTGCGTAGATATCCCAATGCGTTTTACGATGCACTGGAGGTTAGGAGCCGTGTCACCGAGACGAGAAGTTAGGGCCTCATTGAGTTTGGTGGGAGTCCAACTCCAAGTAGGTATACTAATGCACGATGGCCGTCGACCCACGTCGAACCAGACGGAGCTCACCGGACGGGAGCCGCTCGCACCGGCATTCGATAACCGCCCGTCTCTCCTCTCCCCAGACTTTGCCCCATTCCGGGATCTGAATCCTGGCTTCCTCCTACCTCCTTTCACATCAATTTCCAATACCGGGGCAGAAATAACACACGGGAGCATATCCGTCTTCTCTTCCCCATCGAACTCATCGGACGACGGGAGTTTGAATCTCCACACTTGCATTCCGACCGACCTCCTCTCATTCCGGGATCTAAATTCAGTCGACGCAGGGTCATCTCGCATATATTTTTTTATGGCAGGATCCCTACTCTCAATTGCAGGAAAATCCCACTCCTCTCCTTCTAATTCACCGGGAGAGGGGATATTGAATCGCCATCCTAACGTTTGCAGTACCGACTTCGTTTTTCTTGAGGACCGGTCTGCACTGGATCCATGGCCGGACGTCTTTTCCGTTTGAGGTGGCCAGGACCCGGTTCACCTTTCGTCGCCTTAAAGCTGGGTAGTTTACTTGGAATTGGCAACACAATCTTATTCCGGCGAGGGTGTAAGTTGCACTTTTCTTTACTAGTAGCGCAGGGCCCTTGATCACCATACTGAACACCGTGAAGGCGCACACTATAAAAGAGATCTTGGAAGCCTTGGTTCGCAAGCGCCACCTCCAGGGAAAGAGCTAACGACCATGCTATAGTCCTGCCGGCCGTCCTCAAAAGCCATTGGATCGTCGACCACCAAGCTTTGAGGAGAGAGGAGAGAGCTCCTCGCTCCATGTTTTTTTTTGTGATGCTAAGTATTGCTTTCTACATTCAATTATATGCATCATCAATGATAAAATCAAACTTTTCAACACATAAGTCATAAAACATTTCAAATCTTTAAGTCTAAAAACAAATATAAACATAAAAATCCACCATTTGGAGCTTGCAATTATAGTATTTCAGTTTTTCGGTCAGAAATTCGGTTCGATTGAAAGAACCCTGGTTTCCAAAATATCCATATTTTCCTTATGAATTCCGAACCGAATAGCGTTATTTCGGTTTCGGTTTAATTCGGTTTGGTTCGGGTGTACCGAACCGATTGCCTACCCCTACCAGGACCTCACACATTCTGGAACGACCTACGCGGCTGCACCGCTAGGATATCTTACCATTGTCAGGTTCTACTCAGTGTCGGACCCAAAAATATTATCAAGGGTATTCAATAATAGACCAAAGCATTAAGGGTTGTTAAATAATTTTGCATTTGAATACTATCATTGCTAAAACAAAATCTTACAAAGGCTTTTTGTCCCAAGTTTGGATCCAAGGCTTGTCAATTGACAACCCTTCCACCAACTTGGGTCCGCCCCTGTTTCTACTCTAAGGATCATCGTTGTCATTGAGGAGCCAACTCAGGACCTTGTCTGAGATGCTCCACCAGCTACGCTAGCCTGGTTTCGCAGAAGTTTAAATTTTAATCTAAAGAACAACTGTAACACCTTAGGCAAATCTCAAATTGATAAAACACGAGAGAGATCCATAGTTCATAAGTAAGAAACCGATCTTAACTGACAAGACGCATATTGGGATGAAATGGACGAAGTTCAACGTGCTCAGTATGGAGTACAACAAGGATGTGTCATGTGTGACCTTATGGAAAGTTACTCTGAATTGCACCACTAGTCATAAACCGTGAGAGTCGAGACCCAAAATAGACAATATCTTGCCCGGAAAAAGTTTTGGTGTTAGAACAACCAATAAAAAAAAAATTAAAAAACGCCATGAGGCGTCCCATCTCTGTCATTTTTTTATTATTAATTGTGAAACTTTATTTAATCGGGGAAATGAATTGGTTAAGCGTCACAACAAACAACAAACAAAACCCATTCATCCATCCATTTGATTCCAAATGATATATCAACAGACGATGCTTGCTGCCGTCCAGCCTTGCAAATTGCAATTATTATCACCCCCAATTTATTATTTTTGCAAATGGTATGGGTCATTGGCACACTCCACGAAAATGATTAACCATCCACCGTTTTTTTATTGTTTTATAGGAATCATATTTGGTAGAAATTTTATATTATTAATGAATGATATTATATGCTAACATTTTTTCCTGCACTTTTGTTGAGAAATTTTAGTGAGTTAACACCCGAATTTGTTAATATTGTGCTAACATTAACTTCAGTCGCGATGGAAATATTTCGTTTTGATAGTATTTTAATTTCAAAGAGTTGAGCACAATTAATGCAAATTTATAAAGGGAGGGACGTGCTTGTCATTTTTAAGAATTAAGTGGGTTATAAGGAAGCGGTTAAGTATCATACATGAATTCTCATAACAACTCGAGTTATTGAGACCAATTGGTTTATGACATGATGTTAAGAACTAGTTTGTCCTTAAAGTTACGTGTTCAAGTCCTCACAACCTCCACTACTAACCGTTGTCTAAAGCACATGGTAAGGTGGACATGTGCAAATTTGAAGAACATGAGTTGGCTTTCGTTTGAGGGGACAATGTAAGAAAGTTGTTAAGTATCATACATGGACATCTCCCAAATACTTGAGTTATTAGGACCAATTGGTTTATGACACTCACGTGGTGATGTTGAGCATTAATTATTTATCACCAGTTCACCACAAGTATTCATGAAGCATATCACAAACACATCTTAGAAACACAACAAATCACACCACAATTACCATAAAATATACCAGAAAGGTCATAAAATCATACCATAACCTTGCCACAACACAAAATTAAAGCATACCATAAACTTCAAAGCAAATGACAAGTTTGTTGAAGCATACCAGAAACTTCATTACTACAAATTCGCTGAAGCAAACAACAAGTTTCTTATAATAGACTACAAATTCTCTAAAGCATACCAAAAACCTCATAAAGCATACAACAAGTTTGTTAAAGCCGACCACATGTTTCTTAAAGCACACAACAAGTTCATTGAAGCATACCAAACTTCATAAAACATACTACAAGTTTGTTAAAGCAAACTAGAAATCTCATAAAAGCATACTGAAAACCTCGTAAAGCAGACCACAAGTTTATGAAAGCATATCGCAAATCTCATTAAGCATACCACAAGTTTATTAAAGCACACCACAAGTTTCTTAAAACACAACACAAGTTTATTAAAGCATAGCACATGTTTCTTAAAGCAGACCATAAGTTTCTTGAAGAAGACCACAAATCTCATAAAGCACAACGAAATTTTATTAAAGCAGACCCCAAGTCCCTTAAAACATACCATAAACCTCATAAAAGTAGGAATGACAATGGGACAGGTCGGGGCGGGTATCTTGATACCCATACCCGCCCCGTGGCAGGTCGAATTTAGGTCGGATAATTTATCACGAGACGCGAGGCAGGGCAAGTCGACCCATATGGGTATGTAATTTTGACATAAAAATTTAAAAACATTCATTTTGCCATTAAAAAATCAAGAAACAAACTATGACATGGTTAAATTACTCGTGAAATTGAGGTTCTTACCTATTTACCACTTATTATAGCTAAAATATGAGATAATAAAAGTAAATTACTAAGTAATTTGAGTAAACATACACGTGATTGAAGGAAGAATGGGTAAAAAATGAGGTGGGGTCATGGCAAGTCATGTCGATACACTACCCATACCCGTCTACCCTCGCACCAAAACAGGTCAAACAAGTTGGGACCACGTCGAAATTGCCATCACTATATAAAAGTATACCAGAAACCTCATGAAGAAGACCATAACTTCCCGAAAGCATACAATAAACCTTATAAAACAAATCACAAATTTCATAAAGCATATTAGAAACCTCATAAACTTTAACCTTTTGTAACTTTTAAAAAGTTTAGGTATCACAACGAAAGATATAAATTTTTAGGTACTACCATTAATTTTTTTAGGACTTATATGCAAAAAAATTAATTGCTAAATCTTAAAATCTATTAATATCAAATAGTAATTTTCATATAAAACCCAAATCCATGTGAGTTAGCAATGACAATTCCGACCTTACCCATCCTACCTGACTAATTTTACCTATTTTGGGTCGGGTAGGTGGGGGCAGGAAGGGCATTGGTAATGTCCTCGACTTGACCCGTCCTGACTTTCCCCATTCTCGAGTAGTTATTGTCTAAATTATGTATAATTTTACAAATTACTTAGTATCGTTTTTTATACATAATATTTTAGCTATATAAAGCTATAAATAGATGAGAACCTCAATTTCTTGAATAATTTAACTATATTTATCATGTTATAGTTTATTTCGCAAAATTTTAATGCAAAATCAATTTATAAACTTTTTCTACCTTTACTTTATATACTCTTATGGATCGACATGCCCCAATCCGCGGCCCATAAAAAATACCCAACCTACAGTGATTACGTGTATGGATATCGAGATTCGAGATACCCGACCCGACCCGACCCGACCTGTCCCATTCCCATATCTAATGGAGTATGATAATGGGACGAAGAGGAAGGAGTTGTTATATGGGTGGTAACTATAGACCCTTATAAATAGTGATAATAGAGTGCTAACACTCACCTATGTTATCAGTACCTTACTAGATGTTGAATCAGAAAAGTTAATGATTTATGGTTCAACGGTTAATTGTATAAAATCATTGGTTAACCATTGATAGAATATTCATACGCTATAACACAAAAAGATATATAGTACATAATTTAGGAATGAATTTATCCCTAACCAACAGTTGTTTTTCATATAATCAATTACCAAAACTTCTAACAATCCATTCAAACTATCTCACAACATAAATCATATTTTTTAATTAAATTCAATTTAGTAATTAGAGGGGCAATCCGTAGTGGACCACATAATGCCAAGAAGAAGGTTGGAAAATAAATAAAATTAGTAATCCATATTGGATGGTTTTAGTTTGCGTTTAAAAAAATTCTTAATTTTTTGTGATTAAAATAGTGAACTAATGGACTAAACAAACTAAGTGATTCATCTAATTTCATTAAAACTATTAAAAATCATTCCCATCTGTAAGTGTCTATGCAAATGAACTGAACTGTCATTGTAATTGTTTGGTGATTTTACTAGTCCATCTTCTGTCAAGCCTCTAGACGTTATAGACGTTGCACTCCAGGTCAACTTGCAGGCATGATTCTCTGAGAGTGATTCTAGGAAGGTCTTTTTTTTCCATTACACCGAGTTCATCTTTATATATAAAAATGTTGTTATTGGAGTTTGAACATTGATAACTCAAGTGAAAAAAGAGCATTATAACCAAATAGACTACATTGTATTTATTGATATTTCTTTGATTAAGCTCTAGAAATATGTTGGGTGATGATGCTTCTATATTTATATTTTATCTTAAGTTATTTATATTTTATAAAAGAGATTAGTTCTGAAATTGGAACTTAAGTAACATTGATTCAAACATTAATATTAAATTATATGTGTTGTTTAATTTAGACAAAATACAGAAGTGTAACCAAAACATGGGCCTTTGTGACGGATATAATCATTTTTTGTGACAAATCTACACATAATATAATGAAAAAATGAGAGTCTAATTTCAAATTTTGTGGCCCGTGAGTGATTATAGGAAGATATTTTTCGTCATAGTGCCCAATTTATCTTTATATTATGTGTAGATTTGTCTAAACAAAAGTACTATATTTGTCAAAGATCCATACTTTTGCTAAACATATGTATTTTGCATAAATTGAACCACATATACAATTTAATATTTAATGTTATCAATGTTACTTGAGTTTCGATTTCACAATTAATCACTTTCTACAAGATATAATAATTTTAGGTAAAATATCCTTCCTACTTGGTTGAAGAAGCTCTTTCTATAAGATATATTCAATGTTTAAAAAATTTTCATTTCAAATTTCGTGAAATGAGAGTGAAAGTAGGAAGAGTATTTTTGTCATCACAATTATTTATCTACTTTATATAAAAAAGTATCAATATCAAGATTTGAACCATGGTCTCTTCAAACAAAAACATAATCACAACAAATTACACTAAACAATTTGTTTTTATCTTCTTAAATTGTAAATATACACTAAACAAATATTTGAAAAACAGAAGACTTTTCTATCACGGTTATCTAGCCTATTAAATCTTATGAAAAACAAAGTTTAATACGTGATTTATAATTTGTATAACCTATAAAATGACGGGTAATCTTAAAATTACAACACAAATTTCATTGCTTGAAATATTGCATATCAAATTGCGGTATTGAATATGCAAAAGCGATGTAGAATTAATATAAATTTTCAGAACTACTACAAAGCAATAATATTTTGTACAAACTATTGGTGACTGGTTCTCTAAAATTTTAGCCTGGTTAACTGCTAAACGTTAAACCTGTCGCTAATCTAGCATTAATGGACCCGACAAATGAGACGATATTGGGTTTAATGTGATGTTTATTTTGCCATTTTTTGGATGTGTTGATCAAGCATTAACATATAAGTGAGTTATAATTAACCTCATTATACAATTTTTACGCTTTACAATAATTAATTTAGAGGTATATTTATTATTTGTGATATCAGTGGTAGTTGGTTCAAATGTAGTATTTCAGCAGGTAGTCAAAATCGAATACTGGGTGCATTTATGACTTTTTTTTTATCTTGATGTTGTGAATAAGTAGAAACTTAATTATTAGAATGCATATAACTATACTTAGGCACATGATCGAGCAAGCACGACACAATTAGAGCATACCATAAAGACAATGTATATGGAGCATACCATAAAGACAATGTATATGGATCGACCCTGTACAAGCATAAATGCTTCATGGGTCGTACCATACTTAAACTTCAAGGGCTCGCGCACAAGTGCGAGCACCACGCAGTCTATATTGGTAAACTCATATTTTATGGAGAAATGCGCCATTTGATAAACATAAAATAAAATATTCTAAAAATAACATATAAAATTTGAATTAATGAGTAGTTTTTCACATCAACGTGTAGCAACTTATATTCTAAAATGTATATATATATATATATATATATATATACATTCATTTTTATTTTGAGACTCACACCTTTTTCAATGTATACAACTCAACACTCATTTATGAAATCATTCTTAATTAACTTCAAAGATGCAAAGTCTTTTTTTACAGCTTGCGGTAAGCCAGTAATAACAAACAACATCAACAATAAATTTAGAAGCAAGTAAAGTGAAGAAGTAATTGAGATTTATTATTTCTTTGCAAATGTGTGTGTGTTTGGGGAGTGGGGAGATTTTTTTGGTCTAAATTTTTTGAGGAAGAGTTGAAACTAATATAATTTGTTTGAGTTTTGTATATTGAATTGGAGTATTGAACATTTGGAAGCGATATATAATTTTTAAATTTGTATTAATTTCCAGCCTGGTTGACCAATAGCCTTAGACCTTTTGCTAATGTAACATGGATCCAATAATCACAAGATGAGATTAAGTTTGATATGTCTGTTCAAAACCATTTTTTATGTGTAATGAATTTGTACGACAAATACATGTAAATAAGTGAAGATGAACCTGATTATGCATTTTGATTTAAAGAAATAAAATGTTTTAAACTATGTACTAACTAGTAACTATAGACTCACTCGATTGGTTTAACGAGTTCTGTTTTTATCACTTTTAGTAACTAGTTTGTTCACAAACTATCAAACTACTTTGCTTCATTGAGGAATAAGCAACCATTTGTTTGCCATGTTTCAGGTGCTCTGATTCACTATCGACTGTGTATGGAGAAGAAGCATTTCGAAAACAAAATTGGAGAAGTAATTGGAATGTTTCTACGTTTCTCTCGATTCCATGCGGTGGGAAGAAAGAGGAAGGGAAAGGGGGAGAGTGGTGAGATACAAAGCTCATAGAGAGATGGAAGAACAAACAGAAAAACAAAGAGGAAGACAAAGAGAGAGTGAGAGGACACATTAAAAAGAGAGGAAAAATGAGGTAGTGTTAAATAATTGCTCTTCTGCTTTGCTTAGAGGGTATTTTTGGCCCTCATCTCTGGAGTTTTGATTTATTTTAGGAGATGACATTACATTTGATAAATTTTTTATTATTTCAATTTAAAATCCTAAATCAATATAATCATTTGGATGATTTTTTCCCTTAATACGATTATTGTAATTTATGAGATTTAAGGAGTATTTGATAATGTCAATATTTTAGTGGTTTTTTATTTAAAGTTTGAATTGAAAGATCGTACGTACCGGCGGTTTGACCATAAAACTTCACACAATAGGTTAAATCGATAGGTGATATTTAGCAATATGAAATGGTTAAACCACAATTAAATTATGACTTCAATTTAAAATACTCTACTACCAACTTTTTCGATATGATTTTACAACATTTTGGTTCAAAAAATTCTTTTTGCACGGGTGGAAGCAAAAGTTTTAAAGTACATTTTAAACTATCTATTGCAAAAAATCATAAGTCAGTTAGCGAGAATGAAAATATGCGATCTCATTCAACCCAAAAGACACTTTGCAACTTCTATCCTTTTAAAATAAATGTATGCTACTCATACCTTCACTTATTTATCAACTTAATGAGTAACATACTAGTTTTGTTGCTAGACATGTCTGCGATATGAGAATAATTTGGGAAGTCAGTATACAACACATTGTCCAACTAACTATTAGCGACAACTTAGCATCATGTCCTATGTATATCTCACATCAAGCATATTGAGATTCATGACCAACGGCGTGGTAAAAAATAATGCTCTTTATTGAGAAAAACTTAAAGAACATACTAAACTCTTTGAGAGACATTTTCTTTGATCCTAAAGGTTGATTATGTATGTATTATGAGAAGCAACTCTAATATTCAGCTATATGGTTTAATTAAGTAATGAATGACAATTAGTTTTTATTTATTTCTTTTTCCATTCAATAATTATATGTACTGCTTGCTTATATTATTTTTTTCTCTTTTCTTGGTCTAAACACATTATGCATAGTTGGATCACTTTAAAAAATATTATGGGCATAACTAAGGTAGAAAACAATCATTTCATGCATCTCAAATCATATATTATATCTATTATTATATAATATATTCCTTGATGAAATTCTTCCGGCCAACGGGCCAGACCTGTGCTAGTGAGATTCAAGGCTGACTGTGAACAACTCAGTGCCCCAAAACAAAAATGCAGATTTTAGTACAATAGCTTTTATACACATATTATAGTAATGATTAATTTTCATATTTGAAATGTAACCGCTGATGATAGTTGATGACAATTGTAACTTGGAGGAATTGGTAGTTTGCAACTACTTTCCCAATTGGATCAATCCAGAATTCACAATTACTTTCCAAAGAAGTAATCTCAACGCACTTGAAGAATTCTGATTTTTGGCTAAGTGTTGAAACAGTTTCAGGTAGCCTATTTTGGAAGCTTGTATCTCACAAATGGCTCAATGGAAATGGGAGATCAAGGATTTGTTTTTCAGATAACGTTTCCATGTTTCCAATGGTATGCTTTGTGGATCCAGATGATGTCATTAAGGTTGTTTTCCAAGGCCTCAAAGTTGTTACCTCAAAACTGGAAAACTGTCAGAAAATGGCTAAGGCAGAAAACTGTGTTGAGATACCAACTTTGAAGGCCTATATCTGGAGTTTGGAGAATGATCTCGGGCTGTTTCAAGTTTGAGGTGAAATAGGGAGTTTTCTTCTATAGAGGAAAGGAATTGGTTGAGTTCGAATAAACCTAGAAGACTATTTTCAAAGGGCTCAAAGATGCTATGAATCCTGTTTTCCTAGGCAGACTTGCTTGTGTTTTAAGTCAGTTTCTTGGCTTGCATGTTACCTTGTTTTACACAAATTCTTTAGTCTTTCCCTGTTATAATTAGTTTCCTTGTTCATGTAGGGTTGTATTAGGGTTTATTGTCTTTAAATACCTTTCCAATTCACGTTGTAAAGTAGAGTTGATTAATCGAAAAGAAACCGTTGGGTTTGTTCAAGTTTGCGAACTTGTTTTGGGTTTGGTGGATTCCAAACTTGCTGAGCTTGTGTATCGATTGAATAGTCACTTCAATCATGGTCGAGCAACTACCATTCTATACCAATCGAGCGTTCCCCAGGTGTGGAATCGACCTTTTGGTTCCGTTTTATCCAAGTTCGTATTAAGAACGCTTTGTTCTTGATTCGAGCTCAATCGATTCTTCGATTGAGTCGTTAGCTGCGTGACTTTGATAATATACACCCCCCAAGGAAAGAAGTTCGTTCTGAAACCTCTTTCGCCGGACGAAGTTTACGGCGATCTCAAGCAAATGGAGTCGAATCGAATCATGGGAAAAGAATCTCGAGCTCAGATGTGGGTGCAGAGGCGTATTGGATTCAATTTTATGAGCTTTCGAAAGCTCCAAAACGCAGTGTTGAATTCGGAATCAACTGCCGTACCCGACCCCTGTTTTACATCGCCGAAACAGAATGGTGACTTATGTACTCTTGTCGACGATGAAGGAGTGATACCGGAGCATGATGCGGCCAGCGAAGTGTCTGTGGAGGTTGAAGGAATGGCTAACAGTGAAGCAGCAGCGTCAGCAATTCCTGAAGTTGCTCGAATCGAGCTGTTGACGAAGAAGGTATCTGGCTGTCCCACGTTGATAGAACATAACAGGGCTCTCGTGGGCAGGCCAACTTGGCAAGAATCGCACTTTGACACCGCTAGAGACACATTCAGAAAGAGTCCATAAATGAATTCTCAAACAAAAATCGGGCTAGAGAAGCTTCCATCTCAAAGATCAAAATTGTCTGAATGGTTTCTGCAACTCTGTTCGCCGGCGACGATGGAGCAGATCAGGAGAGAGAAGCAATTGGTGGGGACACTGGGGAGTGCGTTGAGACTCGCCGCCGATGCCGATACATTCCTCCCAACCCCAGGAACGTCACTAGTAGCTCCAACGAAAGAGGACGTGCTGAAAATTGCAACGTTGTATTCGCCAGAAGCACCTCTGTTTGCGACGAAGAAGGCCGATCAAGACCCCTTATTGCGCAGAGTTCTCCATCTCGTTTCTAGCCGAATTCGTGCTGCAGAAACATCAAGGGAGTCTTTGGGAAGGTGTAGGAGTGCTCAATTCAACACGAAGATGATCGAATAAAAAACGCCCAAAATTGAATTGAAAATTCTGGGTTCTCAATTTTTGAATTTCGGGAACGGCGGGAAGGAGAGTATCGCAGATTCGAAGGTGATGGTGATGATTCGAGACTGGGGACAGGTCCAAATCTTCAATTGGAAGCTTGGAGAAGAGCGCGGAGTGGTTGAATTTGATTGGGGATCCTTGAAACAAAAACCCCCAATTCCTTCGAGGAAGAACATGTATGAAAGTGACGTCCGATGACCTGGGCATTTTAACGATCGCTTTTTGGTAAAATTGGTCATTCCTACAGGTTCTAATAAGTGTCAGAAAGTGTTCTTAGCCTCGCTTCTGTTAAGGGATCTTGTTAAATTAATCTCTTTTCATTTAATTGTTGTACTTAGTGGAGTAGTGGCTAGGTTGTTAGCTGTTACCCTCTTGTGGTTACGTGGGTTACGTGGGTACATGCTACTGTTGTAGAGATTGGTATTTAAACCATTCTCTTATTCAATAACAAATCAGGTCATTCAGCTAATTACATGGTATCAGAGCTAGGACTCCGATCTCCTTAACTCCTTTCTCCTAAAAATCCGACTCAAATCCTCAAGATCTTCTCCCTCTATTTTTCGTCAATTTCTTTTCTTCTTCCCTGTTACAGACGCAGCTGCATCATCCTCCTGCCCACCCAAATCACAATCCTCTCATCTCTATTCTTCTTCTTCAAACATGTCAGGTGAAACTGTGATCAACCTAGATGATACAAACACCATCATCACGTTAAACCCTGCTTCTCAGTTGCCCACTAAACCTACTGGTGACAATTTCCCTACCTGGAGGGCACAGCTACTCACTCTTCTTCGTGGACTCGACCTTCTCAAATTTTTGGATGGCACTCATCCTGCCCCTGCCGATGATGCCGTTGCAGCCGTTCTGCGATCTGAGAATAATTTGGAAAGTCCGTACACAACACATTGTCCAACTAACTATTAGCGACAACTTAGCATCATGTTCTATATATTTCAAATCAAGCAACTTCGGATTCATTACCAACAGTGTGGTAAAAAATAATGCTCTCTATTGGGAAAAACTTAAAGGACATACTGAACTCTATGAGACATTTTCTTTCATCATAAATGTTAATTATTTATGTATTATGAGAACCAACTCTAATATTCAACTATATGGTTGAATTAAGTAATGAATGACAATTAGTTATATTTATTTTTTTCATTCAATAATTATATGTAATGCTTATATTATATTTTTTCTCTTTTCATGGAGGTCTAAACATATTATGCATAGTTGGATCACTTTCAAAAATGTTATGTGCATATAGATAACAATCATTTCATGCATTTCAAATCATCTGTTATATCTATTATTATATACCATATTACTCAGACAAAATTTTTCCGGCCAGCGGCCGAGACCTGTGCTAGTATTGTGTAGTACTCTTCACGAATATGATCATCTCCCCTTGCTACGTTAATGAGATTTTGAATTAGTTGAAGAATTTATGTTTATAGTTTTGGCACTTGTTCCTTTACTTTACAGAATGGTGCTTTTCATTTTTCTTAGAACACATTATGGTTCATAAGTTCAAACTGCTTACGTGATTCACTACCATTGTTACCCACGACTCCATCCGTGATTATTTGAGTCTGTAACGTGTAATATTAACAGAGTACCAAATTGAAGGCTCACTATGTTTGTGGATAAGCAACGAGTTCGGCCCAATCCAACTCACCAAGCAGGCCCGACAAAATGGCGCCTTCTTTCTTCACAGTTCCCGTCGTTGTCCCCGAGATCTTCGATCATTGTCAACCTCGCTTGCTTCTTGCTCCGGCTGATGTTGACTTCGGCAGCTCCGTCATTCTGACTCACCGTTCTCTTCAAACACCGAACAGAAATATAACTCAACGGCGAGAAAGGATTCACCAGTATCACGGCGGAGACGGCGATGATGTTCTTACCTGCAGCCTCCCTCTACCGCCACTGCTGATTTTTTTCTCACCTACACCATTCCAAACTTCGACTAGTGATTCCCTCACCGCCGGCGACAAGTACGATGTCAATTTCATCTTCCCTATGCTTAACCCCCTTGTCCCGAAGTTCCAGAGCCGAAATCGCCTCGCCGTCCTCTGCTGCTCTCACTTTTCCCGCCACCGTGAGAGTTGGAACCGAGCTAGGATCTCTTCGGAGTAGAGGCGGCCTCGTAGTCACCCATGGAAGATCATCCAGTTTCTGCCGGAAGCTTCGTCGGTTGAAACTCTGGCAGATGCTCAACGTGGGACAGTGGTGGACTGAGCCTTCTCCCGCTAAAGAGTTGAAGAGGAAGAAGAACATCATCACCAACAACAACCAGACATTTCCTGCTAAATTAGGTCAAATTTCTGATTATCCCCTTAGCGTTAACCTGTTCGTTCGTTACTAAATAACTTGAATTTTTATCAATGAATTGAGCCTAAATCAATTTAACCATGGGGTTTTTCCTCACAGTGGAGACTCCATTGAGAAGCTCTCAAGCTCACTCCTTGGATAGTCCAGTTAAGGTTGGATCAGGAGCTTCTCTCTGCATTGCTGTCGTCGGAGCTACTGGTGAGTTGGCGAGAGGGAAGATTTTTCCGGCGCTGTTTGCTCTGTACTACAGTGGCTTCTTACCTGAGGTCAGAATATAGGGTCTAGTTCTCCCAGTCCAATGCTTTTTTGGTTTGAAATTCCGCTGCTATGTTTCCATTGCTGTACACTACCATCAACTGAGAATGCAAATCTATCCTTCAGTTCTCCATCGTCAATCATGACTGTTCCATTCTTTCAGGATGTTGGAATATTTGGCTACTCGAGGAAGGAGTTGACTGATGAAGACTTGAGATCCATCATAGCATCAAATTTGACTTGCCGCATTGATCATCAGTACAGCATCTCTCTAGTTCAGTTGTTCCCATTTATTTCCAGTTTTAGGTCCATGATATGGGGCTACTCACTACTGTTTCTCGATTTACTTGCTCAAACTACTTATGTTTTCCCACGATTGTTTCTTTCGAAGTGCTTCTTCTGATATGCTAGGAACTGAAGATAAGAACCAAAAGCAAATGTCTCGGCTTATAATTTTGCCCCGTATAACTTCTGCTTATGAAAATGTCTTTAGGGAGAACTGTGGGGACAAGATGGACGCTTTTCTTGCTAGAACATACCACCTCAATGGAGGTTTCGACAACCGAGAAGGGATGTCAAAGTTAAATGCGAGAATGGAACAGATTGAGGTACTCTATAAGTTGACAACTTGCCTGCCATCTTTCTACGTTCATATTTGGTTTTGTGGAGGATTGGATTCTTTTGATCATCGATTTTGTAACCGAAAAATGCTTTACTCGAATGCAGAGCGAGTCTGAAGCGAACAGGATATTCTACCTTTCTGTGCCTCAAGAAGCCCTAACTGATGTTGCATCTGCTCTTGCTGATTATGCTCAAACACGAAAGGGCTGGAACCGTGTCATAATTGAGAAACCTTTTGGGTTTGATCCACTGTCTTCTCATCAGTTGACAAGAACTCTCCTTTCTAAGTTCGAGGAGAATCAATTATACAGGTATTTTTTTCACTTAGTTATATTTGCATTCATTTGCCGCTTATCGAATGTGTTGATGTGTTTGTGCCTATTTTAGGATAGATCACTTATTAGGAAGGAACCTCATTGAGAACCTCACCGTCTTAAGGTTCTCCAATCTGGTGTTTGAGCCATTATGGAGTCGGAATCATATACGAAATGTGCAGGTAAGTCTTGGTTTTGGTTGTGTGTAATTCTTTTTTGTCCATTTACCAATTTCTCAGACATTAATATGCCCACCTGATCAATTTGTTCTGTTTTATAAATATTTCAGATCATTATGTCAGAAGACTCAAGTATGCAAACTGGAAGGTAGACGTAGAGGATAAATCCGGCATGGACATTTTCTGTGAATTTTGTGTAAATTTGTCCTCACATTTAGTGTAAATTATAATGCATAGGTACTTTGATGGTTATGGGATCATCCAAGACATAGTGCACAGTCATGTTCTCCAGACCATAGCCTTGCTTGCCATGGAGCCGCCCATAAGCCTAGATGGTGAAGATATTCGGAATGAGAAGGTTCTTTAATATCCTATGCTCAAAACTAGTACGACTCATGTCATAGATTTTTTTATAAGGTTCAACGATAAAGCTTTCCCTTCCTTTCAGGTCAAGGTTCTACGATCAATTCGCAAGTTGGATCCTACTGATGTAATTCTCGGCCAATATAAAACATCTGATGTTGGCAAGGTCAATGTAGCTCTAAACAGTTCAACCCCCACATACTTTGCTGCTGCATTGTACATTGACAATGCACGGTGGGATGGTGTGCCTTTCTTGATTCGAACCGGCATGGGACTCATTGAACACAGGTAAAATCTTGAGGAGTGTGTGTGGTTCAGTGTGCTTTGTAAATGAATGTTATTTGTTTCTATTGCATTTATAATGTGGATTGTGGTGTATTTTCAAAAATATAGTTTGAATATATCTTCTAAACCCCTATGTACTTAAGATTGAATATCTCGACACGTTAGAGATTACTTTCCCGATTTGAAAGACACTCAAACACACACACAAAAAAGAATAACAAGAATGTCAACTGTAAACAATATTTGTTCAATTGGGGATTGTTTTTCTACTGTGGATAATTCTTTCGGGTAAACATTTGTCTGCAGAATGGAGATACGAATACAATTCCACCATGTCCCAGGACTCTTATACCGAGAACGAATTGGACACAACATTGATGCAGCCACGAACGAGCTGATCCTCCGGGATGTACCAGACGAGGCAATCCTAGTGAAGATCAACAACAAGATTCCAGGGTTGGGTTTGCAATTAGATGCATCAGAACTAAATTTGCTCTACAAGGACAGGTAAATAAAAACGCTAAAGATGTTTTTTTACGAATTTCGACCTCGACACGATTAATAACCATTTTTTTTATCCCATGGTAGATATAACTCGGAGGTGCCCGATTCGTACGAGCACCTCCTCCTGGACGTCGTCGATGGCGACAACCATCTGTTCATGAGAAGTGACGAGCTTGCAGCTGCATGGGGGATCCTTTCTCCTGTGCTCGAGGAGATGGACAAGAACCATACAGCGCCGGAGCTGTATGAATTAGGAGGTAGAGGTCCAGTCGGAGCATACTATCTGTGGGCGAAACACGGTGTTCGTTGGTTGGATGACTGATTGACTGATCGAGATCGTTTTTCCTCAGGTTGGGGGAAAACAGCTACTTGACTTGGCACATGGAGTATTGGTTGGCGATCGTACCGAAAAGAAACAGTTTGGGTTGTGTATGTATAATAAATATCTCTTACCATATTGTGGCTGAATCTGGTCCCTAATCAAGGCTACTGGTGTTCTGTGTGACTAATCCCATCCTTTAATCTCAATGGCAGCCCAACCATCTTCTTTCCTTGTGTTTGTGATTATTATTTTCTTACAGGAAGAGGGAGGTACCTAGTCAGTTTTACTAATTCAGATCATCAAACCTACAAGTCCAAGAATTCCGAGCTGCTCGTCCTTTGTCGGCGGGAGTTCATGTTGAATTTACTCAACCCTTGGCTTCGCCTGGAAAAAAAATTCATTAAATTGCCCAGCAAGTTCAGTTGGCAGGCAACACTCTTAAATGAAGGCGGGCAGCAGACACACCCACTTTCTTCTTCTTCTTTCATCATTTATTCTTTCCCTCTTTTATTGCCACCGGACCGGACCGTTACTATCAATGGACATCAATGAATCCATCCTCCACCGTCAGCCAGAGTGAGTGTAAGCCAAGAGAAGAGGAGGAGTTGACACTGCCTGACTGAGCAATCTAGCAAAGAGAAGAGGAGGAATGAAGATGGAGCGAGTTGACAAGGAATTGGCGGAGCTGCGACACACTTTCAGGAGTGGGAAGACGAGGAGCCTCGCCTGGAGAGAAACTCAGCTCAAGGCTCTGCTTGATCTTGTGCATGACCATCAGGAAACCCTTTTTGATGCTCTTCATCACGACCTGGGGAAACACCCTGTTGAATCCTTCAGGGACGAGGTAACAAACAAACACACCAACGAACCCAACTCTTCACTGTTTTTTTCTTCCTCCAAATTCCCAATTCCCTTCCCTTGTAGATTGGAGTCGTCAAGAAATCCGCTACTCACTCCCTCGCCCATCTCAAGAACTGGATGAAACCCAGAACGGTATGCATGCATTCAATTCTTTTGTCTTCTACTTCCCCCACTATGATCCCAGCAAGGAAGAGTGAATTTCTGACAGAAAGTTCATCTCTTGCTTTGAAATTCCTTTTGGTGAAGGGTTCAATACCGCTGATTTTCTTCCCAGCAAGTGGGAAAATCGTGTCAGAGCCATTTGGGGTTGTTCTCATAATTGGATCATGGAACTTCCCAATATGTAACTCCTCAACAACCTCTCTAAACCCTCTTTTCTCCAATTAGACGGAAAACAAAAATGGAACAAAATGGTTGATTTTCCTTTTCTGCAGCTCTGGTTCTGGATCCATTGATTGGGGCCATTTCAGCTGGGAACACAGTACTTGTGAAGCCTTCAGAACTTGCACCATTATGCTCTTCATTCCTCCTCAATACCATCCCAAACTACTTGGATCCTACTGCCATTAAAGTCGTTGAAGGCGGGGTTGAAACCTCTCAACACCTTCTCAACCAGAAATGGGACAAAATTTTCTTCACTGGTTAAACCATCCCAGATTTTACCTTCTTTACTCTTGCTTTTTTATTTTCCAGTTCTCACAGTTTCCTCCTGCCTTTGCAGGGAGCAAAGCTGTGGGCCGGATTGTACTGGCCGCAGCAGCTCAGCATCTGACACCTGTGACTCTGGAGTTGGGTGGAAAGTGTCCTGCCATTGTTGACCTTACTTCAATCTCCAGCCATTACGATACTCGGGTTCTTCCTTTCTTCTTCTTCTTCTTCTTCTTCTTCTTCTTCTTCTTCTTCTTCTTCTTCTTCTTCTGGATTTGGCTCAAAATGGGACACAGTGTAATTACTCTTTCTTTTATATATTTCTTACGACAGATTGTAGCCAAGAGAATAGTTGGAGGGAAATGGGGGCCATGCAGTGGGCAAGCTTGTATAGGAGTAGATTATCTGCTTGTGGAAGAAAAGCATGCCCAATTCCTGGTAAGGAAAATCGTCTATGCAGCTATTGAGTTGGATGGGTTTTTGAGAATGAAGGGTCTTGTTCTTGCTTTGCAGATTGATTTGCTGAAGAAATATATCAGGAGATTCTACGGCGAGCATCCCAAGGAATCCAACAGCATTTGCAGAATTGTCAACAGAAGGAACTTCGAAAGGGTACAGCGTCTGCTCAAAGATCCTGCTGTGTCAGCATCCATTGTTGCCGGCGGTTTCATTGATGAGGAACGACAGTAAGGCCTCTCCCACCAACCAAAACTTGCCATCTGGATTGGAACAAGTTGTTTCATTGATATGCTGATGTTAAATTTGCAGGTTTATTGACCCAACAATCCTGCTGAATCCACCCTTGGATTCTGAGCTAATGACTGAAGAGATCTTTGGTCCTTTGCTTCCTATCATCACCGTAAGAAAAGAAAAAAAAAAAGTAAAACTCAGTGTGAATCAGTTTTTTTTAATTTGTTTAACGGCAGGCATGCATTTTCTTTTCCTTATTTTGGACAGCTGAATGACATTGGGGAAAGCATAGAGTTCATAAACTCTGGCCCAAAGCCTCTAACAATTTACCCATTCACCAAGGATGAAAAGCTGAAGAAGATGATTGTATCAGAGACATCCTCTGGAGGTGTGACATTCAATGACACAATGGTCCAGGTAAATGTTGTAAATGGGTAATCTGTGCTGCATCACATTTTCGATTTCTCTAACTTAGGCCCCGCCGCGGCGCGTCGAAATTCGCAGTTTCTGTGCGATTCTCTGCCGTTTGGAGGAGTTGGAGAGAGTGGGTTGGGAAGGTACCATGGGAAGTACTCTTTTGACACTTTCAGCCATGAGAAAGCAGTTATGGAGAGAGGGTTTTATCCGGAGCTGGAGCCCAGGTATCCGCCATGGAATAGCTTCAAGCTCAAGTTCATCCAGTTGGCTTACAACTTCGACTACTTTGGACTCGGGTTGCTGTTAATGGGATTGAAGAAGCATTAAAGTTGTGGAAGGAAAAAAAGAATACATGTCGACTCTCTAGAGAATGTGAGGAACATTAAGTTAATCATGTTCCTTGCTAAAGCTTACAAATGTACTAGATTGGATGCGTCTTTCATGATCAACGGTCTCTATTTACTAATTGGATGAATATAATACCACATAGAATAAAGGTTATTTCATAATTTTCTTTTTATATTTTTAGACACACTTGATAGAATTGAAACACAAAATAGTGTAAATAGGATGGAGGGAACAAAACAAACCCAACCTCAAACAAAAGCCAACCTGACATCCTAATTGGTTGAATCATGATAAGTACATATAAATTGTAAGAACAGTAGGGATACTGCACAGTGGCTGTGGTAAGTTATTCATTGTACCAACTGTATTCAAGTCTCTGGAAGACCTCAACTTTACATAGCCCTTAACTGTAAATTTTCAAAAAGAAATCAGATTGAAAGAATAACCCCTAAAAAAATTAAGCAAACAACCATGTTGTTACCATACCTGCTGTTCTAATCTTCATGTGCCAACTTCAATTGAGAGGTGAAAGGCTGACCGACCTTAAGAATTTGACAAAAAGAGTCAGTTATAGAGAAAGCCAAGTTCAGGTTGATACAAAGTGTGAATATGCTATGCCACGAGATGAGAGAGGTTTGGGATTCAAGGATCTGAGGAGTTTTTTTTTTTTTTTTGACAATTCATCTGTATTCATAAACTCAAAGTTCGGTGACTACATTGCTTTCTTTAGAAAGTAGAGTGACCAAACAAGCAGGAGGCCTAATTGTCCACACTTCAGTCTCTTCAGCTCTTCCTCTCAATCGTGCCAACACATGAGCACATTCATTTCCTTCCCTTTTCCAGAATCTCCACCCAGGATCTGAGGAGTTGGAATACAGCCTGTTTAATTAGGCATTTGTGGGCAATTCTCTTGAACTTTTCATCACTTTGGGCAAACTTAGTGAGGCACTACCAACTGACGTATACAAACATCTGGTCCATTCCATCCACCATTAACTGTTCCTGGGCTTGGCGTAAAGTGTTAAAGATCCGAAGCACAGCAGAAGCACATCTCCAAATCAGAAGTTCTGGAGTTTTCTGGAATGATAGTCAAATGGAAAAAATTTCTGTTAAGCGTGTTTGGGAAGTAATAAGGGTGAAAGCTCCTAGAGTTCCATGGTATCAGCTGGTATGGAAGTCACTTTGTCCTCCTCGAGACAAGTTGCTGGTTTGGTTGATTGTTCAGAACAAGATTGCAACTCTGGACAAGGTTCATCAGTGGAATAGCTCAGTCATTTGGCGCCGAATTGACGAAATCTCGAGAAAGGCCAGAGGGAAAGGGAAGTTGAATTGAACTGGCCCCCACTGGGGAACGTCCGATTCCGACTTCCGACTTCCGACTTCCGACGCTTGCAGCGACTGCCGACCCGACTGCGACTCCTCCTCCACAGCTCCACTGCCCGAGCCCCGAGCACGGCGACGTCAACACTCAACAGGCACTGCTCGGCGCTCGCCCTCAACCTCACTGCTCGATCCTGCTCGCTCCCCTCTCGCAATCCACCGGCTGCCGAGTCTCCTCCCGTCTCCCGACGTCGACGCACTGATTCTCAATCTTCTGCCGACTCCAACTCCGAAGTCAGACTCCAAAGTCCAAACTTCCAAAGCCACAATCGACATGACTGCCTCCACCAGTCGGAAACCGAGCAAACAAAAGAATACCGGCGGCTCCACCAACACCAGTCAACAAATTTGATGTACTAGGTTGGTGGAAGGTTAACAGCTCAGTTTCCTGCCCTTTCCATGATGGCTAAGGATGTTCTAGCGGTACCAATCTCTACCGTTGCATCTGAATCTGCCTTTAGCGCTGGTGGGAGGATTCTAGATGATTTCAGAAGTTCATTGACTCCTAAGATAGTAGAGGCTTTAATTTGTAGCTCGGATTGGATTCGAGGTGATTCTGCACCAGCATCAATCGAGGAGGATCCAGAAGAAGTTGAGAAAATAGATGAAGGTGAAGTTTCAAATTTAGCATTACATATTTTCATAACATGATTAATTTTTATGTCATGACTAATTTTGAGTCTATTTAATCATACAGAATTGGACAAGTTGATGAATACAATCTCTATAAGAGATAATCTAGTTTCATCTACCTCGACTTCCAATATAGCGAGTGGGAGGAGGAACGATGGCAGTGCATCTAGTAGTGCTTGTGGTGATACTTCTGATGTTTAAAAATTTGAATGCATTCTTGATGACTTCAAAGGTAAGAACTAATGATTTTATTCTACTTGGTTACTTGTGATTAGCTCTAAACTTATTAATCACTAACCATCACTGTTTCGTGTTTATTGTACTATTTTGGAATTCAAAGGTGTCAATTGTCCAAGAGGGAAGAGCCAAGAAGCAAGATCTTTGGAGTTTGTACAAGTTATACTTGGAATTTAGACATTGGTTACCTTTCTTTTGTTAGTTTGAACTTAGAACCATTTGTGTTGTAATGAATATTTGGATTTGGAAGAACTTGATGCAATGTATGAAACTATGAATGTAATGTGTTTGTGTTGAATATGCTTGAATGTAATATGTAATGTATGAATGTAATGGATTTGGAAGAACTTGGCAGCAGTGACCAATGAGCAGCCATCTCATGTCAAATTTTCACCAAAAAAAAAAAAAGAAAAAGGCAGCAGGGCAGCAGGGGTACTTCGGTTTGAGCCTCCGAACCGAACCGAACCGAGTTGTAATTCGGTTCGAATTCGGTCGGGGCGTTGGGGAGTTCAGAAATTCGGGATAACCTGGTTCGGTTCAAACCGAACCGACCGAACGCCCACCCCTACAATTCTCCCCTGAGTTTACAGACCAGTTATTTGTGCAGTGCAGCTATTCAAGGAAGAATAAGATACTGAAGATAGTTCCATGTCCCCTTGTCATTTATACCTGCCCCTTTGTCAGATACGCGTCCTATTGGGGTTTTTATTATTATATTAGGTAGGATAATCATAATTATGGTTAGTAGAGATTTAGTCGTATTAGGATTATTATTAGGATTTTCCAGTATTTCCTATATATATGTACTTTGGGTTTACGTCATAATAAGTCAAGAATAATATTACAGAAAGTATCCCTCAAACCCTAGTCTCTAATCCCACTCAAATCTCGTCCCTCTCTTCCCTAAAGGCCGCCGGCCATTCTTCTGTCTCAACCCCAATTCTGTTCTTCAATCCTTAATCCCCAATTCTCATCTAAATCCCTAATTGCTACGATAATTACGGGTGCCGAAGATCAGTCTCTAGAATCCTTAACAAGAGGGTTCTTTCAGTGGTATCAGAGCCCGGTTGCAGGCACTCGTACCAGAACCATGTCGAGATTCGAAGAGCTCTCGGTCAGAGAACTCACCAAGATCTTGAAGTTGAAGCTGGAAGAGGCAAGGAAGAGCGAGATTACCTCGTCCTTGTCGCTATCCGGGAACACCGCGCGGTCTGCTCCACCCAAAGCCGCGGCAGTCGCGGCAAAGAAGCTGATGAAGAAAGACCCACAACCATTATCGAAGGTCGCAGCTGCAGAATTGGATTTCGAGGATTGGTTGGTACAACCTGCGTTTCCAATCGAGCTTGAACGATGTGGAACCACCACCGCGGTGAAGGCCGAGAAAGATGCTGCGACAGCAGCTGCTTTGCCTGAGACACCACCACCATCGTTGGTCGTTTTCCCACCAGCCAAGGACGAAGGCTATGCAATACTAGCATCACCATCATCGCCGCTGTTAACCCAGGATCTCGACGCACCAGCCAAGAGCGACATCGTTGCGGCAACGTTTGTCATGTTGAACGAGGAAAGAAGGAACAGTGCGGCGGGAGGGAAATTCCCTCGGAAGGAACGGCGCCGGATCTTTGCAAAGAACGCCCTTTCCTGAAAATTCCGAAAAAAGATGCAAAGGCCGAGAGATGGCCTTGATAGTCGCTGTTGGGAAGACTCGCTGGGGTCGAGGATCTCGCCAGGAGCGTGGCGATCGGCAGTGACTCTCTTCACGGTGGCGACGGCTAAGAAGACGGAGCAGGCTTCAGCTGTCATGGTTCCGGAATCTCCTCGCAGTCGTCGGGAAAATGACGCGTTGATAAGGAATGAGATGAGCAAGGTGTCGCATGCGAAGGATTTGAAGAAGAGGAAGCACGGCGGCGCATTCCTCCACTCGTCGAGGAAGGAGAGGAAGACGAATGGGTCGGAGATGCGGTTGGGAGTGCTCTCATCCCCGTGTAATCGGCTGGGCGGGTCTCGCCTCCGAGGCGTGGCAGGGGTGCCGCTGAAGAAGGAAACGTCGCGGCAGGAGCAACCAACGACGGGGGCGATCAGGGGGGTAAGGGCGGCGGTGAGCTTGCCGCTGGAGAAGAAGCAGAGCGGTGGCGAAGGCGATTTCCCTCCTCTAGCAGCCCTAGGTGGCGCCTCCAAGTGGATCTCCGGGTCGGTTGGGCCAAGAAGCTGGGACTGCGGAGCCCAACAGCATCAACTCTCTCGTTTAGGCCAAAGGATTCGGGTCATGTCTTTAGATGGACCACTCGAAGTGGGTCGCGCTCTGTGTGACCAGCCAAGCGAGCTAGTACTTGAATGGAGGTGGGCCGAAGCAGGCCTCAGTCCCGGGCTGGTCGTTGGGAAGAAGAATCTTGGGCTCAGATTGTGTCGAACTGAGCAGCTAAGCGGGCTTCAAAGGAGCCCACTGATTAAGTCCTTTATGTATGATTGTGGGCCGAAATTTGAAGAAGTTGAGCCGAAATTAGGTTTTGTCTTGAAGGAATCATATGTGGAGGAAGTTGTTAAGTTGAAGGGCGCAGGCTTATATGGAGTGTATGGGTTGTTCAGTGGGCTTTCAAATGAGCCAAGCCCAAATGAAGTTGAAAAGAAGAAAACACCAATGAGGTTTAATATTGATTTGGGCTCCAGTTATTTATTGCAACCAATTGTGGGCCAAGTCCAAAGAAGAGAAGATTGGCTTGTCTTCACCATCAAGCCTATGATGGACCTTATAGATAATTTCATTGAAGACCACAATCTAGAGCATAAAGAAGAACAATTCCCCGATTCATATTTCGTCAATTTCGAAAAGGAAGAATTGTTCGGCTATGGAGAACATGACATATGTCACGTGGGTGGAGGAAAGTCGAGGAAAGTTGAACTGACACGAGAAGAGTTCATTCGTGGAGTTGAGCGCAATTGGAAGCGGAGAAAGCGGAGGGTTAAGAAGGCGAAATGCAACTACAACCTTGAGGGCAAGGTTGGTTTCAAGAGGGGTGGAATGTCAGATACGCGTCCTATTGGGGTTTTTATTATTATATTAGGTAGGATAATCATAATTATGTTTAGTAGAGATTTAGTCGTATTAGGATTATTATTAGGATTTTCCAGTATTTTCTATATATATGTACTTTGGGTTTACGTCATAATAAGTCAAGAATAATATTACAGAAAGTATCCCTCAAACCCTAGTCTCTAATCCCTCTCAAATCTCGTCCCTCTCTTCCCTAAAGGCCGGCGGCCATTCTTCTGTCTCAACCCCAATTCTGTTCTTCAATCCCTAACCCCCAATTCTCATCTAAATCCCTAAATCCCTAATTGTTACGATAATTACGGGTGCCGAAGATCAGTCTCTAGAATCCTTAACAAGAGGGTTCTTTCATGTTCTCATTCCTTGATTGGGAGAGACTGGAATGAAACAATTCTGAAAGCTACAAATTTGTATTCTGCAGCAAATGATAGAGCTAGCTCCGGAAGATTGATTTGGACAATGGTGATTAGTGAATTATGGAGAGAAAGGTGTAGATGCCTCTATGTTGGACAGCTTCTCACAGAGAAGCAGTTTGTCAAAAGGATCAGGGATCTCCTGAGGCTACTTAAGCATAGTTTCCCTGCTGTTGCATCTGTTATTTCGGACATTTTATTAGCTAGTATTGGTTTTTAAACCTGTTTGTAGTTTGTAGAGTATAGCTTATAGCTTGATGTGAGTAGAGGTCTTGTTTAGGTCTGTTTTTGTAAGGTGTTTCTTTTGAGAATGTAAACTGGATTTCAGTATGAGTGGCGCTTTGTCACTCTTACTTGATGAATAAAATGGGGGTAAATTGCAAGTTTGGTCACTGGAATTACTAAAAAAATTCACGTTTGCCACTAAAATTAGTTTATTCCATTCATGGTCACTAAGATTTGTTTAACAGTTCAAATTTGGTCACTCTCCGTTAACTTTATTCAACGTGGCAATCAACTCTGAGAGTTGACCGTTAAATAACTGACGTGTCAACTACAAAATAATAAAAACATAAAATTTAATCTTTTTTTATTTCCACCTCATATTTATAAATTACAATAAACTAAAATAAATAAAATAGAAAAAATAAACTAGGGAAGGAAGACGGTCATACGTCGGCCGCGAAATCCGCCGGCGGCTGCTACGATACCCAGGAGGAGACTTCTTCTCTCCGCCCCAGCTTCAGGGGTTCCTGCTGCGTGATTGGGGATAGTAGTAGGCCAAATACACTTGTGTAGCCAAAACTTTGACGGTTTTGCCAAATATAGCCACTTTTGGCGAAATACCAAAAATAGCCACTTCCGTCCAATTCTTTGACGGTGTCAAGTAACGGGCTCACTGGACTGACGACATTGCTGAGTTGGCGGCCGTTAGTCAATTAAAAATGTGAGGTGGAAACTAAAAATAAATAAAAATAAATTTTTTTTTATTTTCTCTCTCCATCTCTCTTCTTCCCCATCCCTCCCCCAGTCGAAACTCACGTTTAATTAAAATCTGATTGGGATTTTTCTGATGTTGAACCCTCTTAATTCTTTATTCTTCCCCATCTATCGATCTTCCACCTCTCTTCTTCCCCATCGCTCGATTCTTCCATCATCGCTGGAGAATCGCCATTTACAGAATCTCCGAACTCGCCATTAAGATCGAGGATAATACTCGAGCCGAGGGAGAAGGAAAGGATTCTGCTTCTGTCTTACACCGCTAGTGCTCCCTCGGGCCAATCAATCGAAGGGCATCAACTTCCTCCCGTCGCTGCAAATCTGGGTTTCGGAAGATAGATCTGGAATCTGGGTTTCAATTGAGAAGATGAAGTCAGGGGAAAGAAGATGAAATCTGGGTTTCAGTTGGAGAAGATGAAGTTAAATCTGGGTTTCAATCTCTCTCTGTCCTCCGATCTTCCCCTTTCTTTCCCTCCGATCTTCCCCTCACACCCACCATTGTCACGCAGATATTTTTTTCTATCTCCCATCTCTCTTCCTTCCCCTTCCCCAGCGCAATCTCTCTCCCATCTCTTGTTCATCTCCTTCCCATCTTCCGCCTCAATCCATCATTCCCTTCCAAATGAAAAATCCAGAACAAGCTAAAACAACTCAGAACCGCAGCTCCACTATCGATCGATGTTGACGGTGGCGATGTTGACGGTGGCGATGATTTGGGGGATTAGGGATTTGGTGGCTCCATGCGCTGAGGTTAAATCCTTAATTCCAGTCGACTACTCCTTCCTCCCCACGAATCGACTGCTCCTTCCTCCATTTCCATTGCTCCATGCACTGAGATTAAATCCTTCTAAATTCTAATCGACTGTTTCCCTCTCCCAAGATCGCTGTTGTTTCTCCTCCAGCGTTGTTATCTTCTTTCCATACCTCCTTTGCCAACCGATATGGAATCAACAGTCTCCGTCGGAGATAGTTGGGGAAATATATATCAATTAGGTATTTGATTTGGATTAGGGATTGGGGGGAGCATATTTGGGGAGAAAGTGAAAGAAAGAATTGAGAATACAGGGGTGCTCGGTGGGCGGCTGCAGAGAAGAGAGGGACGTACAAATAAAAAAAATATTATTTTAATTATTTATATTTTTTTATATATTCATTTGGAAATTTTTTACTTTTATATGATTTTTTATGTAACTTAATTAATAAAAAATAAATCAAAATGACGTGGCAATGATATTGATGACTTATGGCTGACGTGTGTGATGATTTGGCATCCTAGTCAGCATAACGTTAAGTTAACTGACGGAATTTCTAACACCGTTAAAGTTTGTAACGGAAATGGCTATATTTGTCATTAAACTTTCAAAATGCTGGCTATTTTTGGTATTTCGCCAAAAGTGGCTATATTTGGCAAAATCGTCAAAGTTTTGGCTATACAAGTGTATTTGGCCATAGTAGTATTATTCTTGAGCTTTATCTTTATCTTTTGGTAAAAAAATATGGTAATATATAAGGGAGAATTTTAGTTTATAGTATCTATGTTTGGTTTATCAAATTGTTTTATAGTTGACGGGTATAGGTTGTTCGTTCGATTTGACCAACCTGATTCTTGAGCCATTTTGTTTAAATTATATGTAATTTTACTTATTTGTGTTTTCTTTTCTTTACATCATATTTTAGCTAAAATAATGTTGTAAATAGCGCGAGAGTCCCAATTTTGTGAAAAATCTAACTACAATTATCGTGTCATAATTTGCTTCCCAATATTTTAATTAAGAAAATAAATATTTCTTGTGTTTTGCCTTCAAAGTACTTACCCATTTGTATCAACTTTCAACCTGTCCCGACCCATATTCCACGACAAAATACTCAATCTGGACCAACCTGCCATGGGACAAGTATAGGCATCGAGATACTTGCCCTAATCTATCCCATTGTGATTCCTATATATAACAAGCTAAGGTAACCCTTGAAAAACAAACTAAATCTAATTACAGATTTACCGTTATGATGTACAAGATAAAATTTTCCCCAATTATAATTCTCTTCTTGATCGGATTTCATAATAGAATGGGTTATAGGTATAATATGCCCAAGCTAAGGTAATCCTTGAAAAACAAACTAAATCTAATTACAGATTTACCGTTATGATGTACAAGATAAAATTTTCCCCAATTATAATTCTCTTCTTGATCGGATTTCATAATAGAATGGGTTATAGGTATAATATGTCTCTTTACTATGACGTTTTATCAAACATACCCCTCTACTATTTTTTACATCAAACATGCCCCTGTAATTTGGAAAAACTATCAAACATGCCCTTCAGTTGAAATTTCCATTGAAAAAATCGTCAATCATGGTTGAACCGAGATTTAGACGACCTAACATCGATAAATGGGAGGGGAAATGTCAGTTTTGACCCTTGTTTAATTTCTCTAGGTCTCGTCAAAGTGAAATTATTAGAATTATTTGGCTATACAAAAGAACAAAAAAAACTATAAAGTGAAATTATTAGGGATATTTTAGATATTTGGTCGCCCAAACCAAAGTTCGATCTTGGTTAACGGTTTTTGGATGGAAATTTTAACAAAAGGGCATGTCTGATAAGTTTTCCAAAGTACAGGGGCATGTTTGATGTAAAAAAAAGTAGAGGGGCAAGTTTGATAAAACGTCATAGTAAAGGGGCATATTATACCTATAACCCTAATAGAATTGGAAAAACACATAATTTCATGGAACAGAGTGCGGAACAGAGTGCGGGCGGATCACCTAGTATGGTTTAACAAAAAAATTAAAGACCTATTACCCACACGTTCTCTAATCTCTACTTTTATAAGTATTCTCTAAATACATTTGAAATCTCATCTTTCAAATGACTCCATAATTTATATAAGTAATGAAATGGCGTAAAAAATGCTCGGAGTTGTAAATTACTAAAGTAGCTAAAATGAAGTGCAACATAATATGTCCATTCGTAGTCAAGCCGCAGCTTCCAAGGAATCCATTGTTTTAGAGTCATGACTCATGACTTCTAGGTTCGTTAGGTGAACCAATTTGGTCCATGACTTTAGCACCCCATCAAAAGGTCGCCATCTTTCTTCCTTTCCTCCTGCAAAGTCAGTGCGTAATCCCATCCAATATTGAAACACATTTCTAGATCGTATTGTATTGTAGCTACGATTATTAAACCCGGACAAGTCGCTGATTAATAACCGAGAAAGGAATAAAAGAAAAATGCATTAGACTCATTTGAAGCCAAGTAAGAACGGAGGAACATGAAGAAGAAGGTGCAAGGAGACATTTGGGAGAAAGCATTTACCAAAGTTGGAAAGAAAAAAAAAATTTCATATTTATCTAAATAAGAGAACAAAATGAGGATACAAATACAATACCATGGTATTTTAAAAATACTAGCTCTTCCCATTAATATTTGGAGAGTAACCAAATATCACACCCAAATGTGCATTCCAAACAAACCATTCATAACTTTAATCAATTTACATGAAATTAGAAGAGTGAAAGTCATTGATTTATGGCATGATTAAGCAAGGTGACATCATTAGACACTTGTCTATGCAAAATTCAAATCCTACCACTAACTCTTATAGATATGTTTTTCCAAACCTTAAATCATCTTTAATAACCCCCTGCTTCAAATCAATAGACAACATCTAATCCCCACCTCCTAAAAAGCACCAAAACCCAAACAACAAGAACATTGATAGCTCTCTCCACGCCACAGACAGAAAGCCATAAACAGCAGACCAACTAAATCAATCAATCAATATATAAAGACTACAGAAAAATATATAAAGAAAGACTAGTATATGAAACGATTCTTCAGGTGATGCATTACCTGTGACGTACATAGCTTTGGCTCATTCCACCCACTTGCCTTTGTTGCTTATCTCCACTGAGAGAAACAAGGGGAGAAAATAACAAAAGCCAAAACAACAACCCACATTGTGACGGTGTGGTGGAACCGACTCAACATTTGAACAAAATCGGTATAAAAATGTAGTTCAAAGTTCAAACCCAGTTTCAATTCACCAATTCAAAGACTCTTAAAAAGTAATGTGCTTTGGTTCGATTTTGTAACGAACCAGACCATAGCCAAGACAGCAGACACTCCTACCCAAAGTTATTGTTTGATTTACCTCGGCCATCATCTTCAGCGAGACGAGTCTCAGGCTCTCAGCGTAGGCTAGGCCCGTCTACTCCAACCCCAATCACGTGCCAAGTGTTTCCAGTCACGGAATTTCCAGAGAGGGTGTTCCATACAATGTGATTTCCTCCCACTTACATAAGCTGGAGCTAGCTTCACCCTTTGGAAAGCGACTTTAGTTGCAGAGAGAGCTTCCTTCCTTCCTTCCTTCCTTGCTTGCTCGCCATGGACCAAGAGAGGAAGAACAGCAACTCCTCCCCAGAACTTGCACTGCGAGAAGCAGAACACGAAGAAGAACGGGAGGAGGAGAAGATCGACAAGTTCTTTGCAATTATCAAAAGGCTGAGAGAGGCTCGCCATGGTTCTTCTTCAAGCACCCTGCAACAGATGGAGGCACAAAGGGAGAAGAAGGCAAAGAAGATTCAGGCCCCCTGGATTCCTTCCTTCCAGCTTGAAGATTTTGCAGGACTTGCGGGTTTGAGAACAGCTGCAACCTGCACCACCACAGTTGAGCCGATAGCTTCTTCAGAGAAAGAAATATGTGCACAGGAAGAGAAACACGAAATAGACCTCAACCTTGCCTTGTAGAGGGGTTTCAAGCAGCTGTTCTTCCCTTTAGGTTTGCAATAAGGTGGATTTCGTGTACTGTGTTTTGCTTCATGTATTACTACTGTACATGTTAAGTTTCAGCGCAAGCAAGCTTCGCTATCATGAGAAACCAACTGACCTACTATATTAATCACCATAGCATCCTTTTAGCAGTAAGATGTGTTCTACTGTTCCTACTTAATACAACCAGTGAAAGCAACAATTTTATCTTCATTTTCTTTCGGAGAAAAGCATGCAGCTTCTCCTGTAATAACTCATGGCTATATATCTCAAAGGTGTAAGATTTATATCACAGTAGCTGCTTAGGCTTATTCTTCATGAACTATGTCATGCGTTAAAGAGAAATAAGGTCCAAAGTAGTCTCTAAGAGTAAGTAGACAGATTAAGTTTGCATACAAGTCATATGCAGCATAACGAAGGCTTCATTTCATGACCTCACACAAACTTACGCTAACGAATATGTTCACAACCCTACAAGCATCCAACGTTTTTGCTCCAAATGAAACTCAAAAGCGATACATGAAATTAAAACAAGTAGATGACATCTTACCCACAAATTGCCTACGGCCACATTTCCATGATTTCATTGAAGGATCAGCAGCTTCAAGTTATAAAGCGCTTATCAGTAGTCCCCAAAAGAGTACGGACCATATGCAAAATGAGGGAATCTGTAGGCATCTCTTAGCACAGTCTCTCGCCAAGTCATTTCAGCTATCAACTTGATGGCAGATTGGCAATCACAACAAAGCCGGAGGTTTTTCATGATCCTGATTGGCATACCTTTTCTCACTGACGGCGTAAGATATGAACGTTCTCCTCTTCCTGAACATCATGCAACACAAAGCTACCATTGGGGCTATACCTACAGCTTCTCTTATCTCATCTAATTTATCAACTATCCTCAACATCACTGCATGGTTGGGATGAGACAGGATATCTCCTCCAGTGAACATATGAACTTTCTTTTCGTCTTCAATCCAGCTACATCCAGGCGATTTTATCAATGACTGTACTCTCATATTACTTCTCAGCGTCTCTCCATCTAGGATGAATAGATATTTGAGAGCAAGATATGAGGCCCGGAATTTTCAGGCTCAAGTAGTAAAGCTTTCTTTGAGACAACTTTATCCATGTTGAGCCTGTTTTGGATTCTACATGCGCTTGGTAAAGCACCCCAAACACAAGCATCGGCTTCCACCGACACGTATCGGATTAAGTTCATTGCTTCGTTAGCCCACTTACCAGTAGTCCCCACAAGAGCATGAACCATCCTTAAAATGATGGAACCTATTAGCATCTCTTAGGACAATCTCTCTCTCAGTCACTTTAGCTATCAACTTGATGGCAGCGTGGCAGTCACCACAAACCCGGAGGTTTTTCATGATCCTGATAGGCATACCTGTTGGCACCTTCAAGATTCCGTATGCGACAGCAAGTTTCTCACTGTGATGACGTAAGTTGTGAACCTTCTCCTCTTCCTCAACGTCATGCAACACAAAGCTACCATCGGGGCTGTATCCAACTTCTATTATAAGCCCATCTAATTTCTCAACCATCCTCAATATAACTGCATGCTCGGGATGAGACGTGATATCCCCTCCAGTGAACGTATGAACTTTCTTCTCCACTTCAATCCAGCTGCACCCAGGAGATTTCGACAATGACTGTACTCTCATGTTACTTCTCAATGCTGCAACGTCTCTCCATCTACCTTGAGATGAATAAATATTTGAGAGTAAGATATAATGCCCGGTATTTTCAGGCTCAAGCAGTAAAAGTTTCTTTGCAACAACTTCAGCCATATCGAGCCTGTTGTGGATTCTACATGCACCTAGTAAAGCACCCCAAACACAAGCATCTGCTTCCACCGACATGTCTCGAATTAAGTTCATTGCCTCGTTCAGTTTTCCTGCTCGACCAAGCAGATCAACCACACAAGAATAATGTTCAGTTTTGGGATTTACCAGATACTTTGATTTCATCGACTCGAATAGTTGAAGCCCTTCTTTTACCCTTCCAGTGTAACTACATGCTGAGAGAACCCCAATAAAGGTGACTTCATCTGGAGGTACACCTGAAGATACCATATCATAAAACACCTGCAATGCTTCCTTTCCTAGGCCATGTTGTGCATAACCAGTTATGATAGAATTCCACATAACAGTATCTTTGGAGGTAAACCGATCAAATACCCGTTTACCATTTACAAGATCTCCACACTTCATATACATCGTGATTAAAACCGAGCAGACATAAACATCACAATCGAATAGGGATCTCACCAGCTGTGCGTGCACCTCTCTGCCATGATTTAGAGTTGCCAGACTACCACAAACAGAGAGGGTACTGATCATTGATGGGAAGTTTGGTCTAATTCCTTGTAGTTGCATCAACCGAAACAGACCAAGTGCTTCCAGTTCAAAACCTTTTCTCTCATAGACCTTGATCATTGAACTCCATGGCACTTCATCTTTCTCTGTCATTTGATCAAATACCCGTCTAGCTTCAGTCACCTGACCATCCTGTCCGAAACCCATAATCATTTCATTGCAAGCCGGAGCTGACTGGAAAGGCATTGCGTCGAAGAGTTCTGCAGCTTCCTCAATCCGTCCACTCCTCGTATATCCCATCAACATTGCAGTCCACGTCACCTCGTTCTTACCAGGCATCACTTCGAACAACTTCCTAGCTAAATCCACCTTGTTATGGATTACATATCCATTAATCATAGTCGTCCAAGCAACGACATTTCTCTCAGGCATCTCATCGAATATCTCCCTTGCTTCCTTCAACCTTCCTTCATAACACAACCCTCCAATCATATTGGTCCTCGCAACCACATCCTTAACGGGCATCACATAAAACAGCTTTAGAGCTTCATCAACACGCCCATCTTCAATCAACCCACCAATCATAACGGTCCAAGAAACAACATTCCTCACAGGCATTTGAGAAAACAAACGTTCTGCCTCCTCAATCATACCCTCCTGCACATAGCCCCTGAGCATAGCAGTCCACGAAACCACATTCCTCTCAGGCATTTTATCGAACGCTTCCCTAGCTTCCCAAGTCATTCCATTCTTAACATAACCAGAAATCAAGCCGTTCCAAGAAATAGTATTTCTCTCGGGCATATGATCGAACAGCTTCCGAGCCTCCCTCGGTTCGTTGTTCTGGAAGTAACCAGCCACAATTGCATTCCAAGACACTACTGTTTTATCCGGCAGCTGTTCGAAAACCTGACGAGCTCTATCGATTTGGCCACAACGGGCGAAATAGGATATCTGGGAATTGGAACAAGAGAAAGGCGCAGTGAGAGCTGCCGAATAAGTTCGACGAGGGATGAAGAGAAACGACATTGACGGAAGGCGAGACCAATGGGATCACCCAGAGAACAAAGATCGAGAGAAGACAGAAGAGGGTTGGTGGGTAATTCAGACTTCGACGCTTGAAGAGTTGACACCCTTAATTCTCCGAATGCTGTTTCTGGGTGAGGAGAACGAGCAGCCGAGAGCGGGAAGAGACATAAGAACTGTGAACTATCGCCTATCGGCATCGGCCAGGCCGCAAGGGAGGCACACCCGTTTATGCTAAGCGAGGAGCTGCCGTTGGCGGCTTGGCCATTTGGGCTTGCCACCATTTCGAGCAGATCGGGTTCGGAGAACTCGGCCCAATTTGAATAACAGAATTTTCACGATTGGCCCAATGCTTGTATCGCATGTTTTGGGCTTCCACAAGCTGTTGCGTTTCGGTTGCATCGACAATGACATCGGGTGAGGACTTTATTAATTTTTTTTAGGGCAATGTCTATTTTATATCCAAATCTGTTTCAAATTTTTTTATATTATTCAAACCTATTAAAATTTTATTAATTATCCAAATCTTTCATAATGCATCAAAATATTAGCCATTTTTACGTTATCGTTAATAATTTTGTAACTCTTTCCTTAGTTAAAATACTAAAATTTTGGAATGTTGACCTTAATGAGTCTCTTCCAAGTCAGTATCATGTTGCCAAGTCAATATTACTAACAAAATTGCTAACTAAAAGTTAACATTTGGTTAATTCATAGTATTTCGATAGGTTTGGATAATATAAAATAATCTGAAAAAGGTTTGGATAAAAAATAGACATTGCCCTTTTTTTTATTACTCAGAAACTCAGTCCCACGTCCCATTTTGTGACAGCGGGTCCTACTAAATTTGGAGGCCATTTGCAATCAAATTCGATGCCAACGGGGCTTCGCCGCCAGCAGTCTTATACCTCCAGGAACACCAACGAGCCTCGCTTGGATTCGAACCTGAGATCTGCAACTCTCAAGTCTTCACTGTCACGACAGCTTTACTGTTAGGCTATCTTACCTTTACTGAACTTATATTTAACGCCCTATATTTTTAAATAAATCGCCCTAAGTATAATGAATGGACAATTTTGCCCCAACAATAAACGCCCTTTTCAGTTAGCCGAATAGATTTGACGCCCTAATAATACTGTCTTCCCCGGTAAGCCGCCGCCGTCCTCTACTCCTACTCGCCACTACCCTCTCTCTTCCCAGAGTTCGTCACCGCCCTCTATCTTCCTCGTTAGCGCCGCCGCCTTTTGCTCCATCTCGCCGCATCGCTCTGCTCTGGTTTGCCTCCGCCCTCTGTCTTCCCCCGTAGCGCCGCCACCCTTTGTCTTCCTCGGCAGCGTCGCCCTCTGGTTCCTTTCTCTGGCTAGTCAGAACTAATTCACCGTCTCTCAAAACTCAGTCGATAGTCCCTCGATAACTGCTTCCGAACCCGACGCCATTCTGTCAATTTTATTGTCATCCTCGTGGACCAATTCAGCCACCATTATGATCATGATTAATGATTTGATTGCCCCGATCCCAGTTCCAACTGCTCGCGGAATAACTATGTTAATAATCAACGGCAACGCCCAAATTGATTCCACTATCGCACTCCGATAATACTAGCGTTAATGTGCGTTTACGGCCGGCCACCTCTGGATCCGCTAGCCAACAACCACCGCCACTTTGCTTCATTTGTGATTTAGGTTATAAAGGGGTAAATGTGTCTATTTTTAAATTTAGGGCGTTAAAATTTAAAATACTAAGGCGACAAATAGTAACTCCCGAGATTTATGGATAACAATTTCCCTGTTTTGTTTTGCGGCGAGTAATATCTATATAGTAGGTGGGTGGGTGGGGTGGGGTGAGACAGGACGAATATGTGTACTTTTTTATTTTTTCTATTTGTTTTTGTCTAATTTACTTATAATTTTACTCAAACTAGCTATTAAGCCGGTCAGTTGGCTGAAATTTTTATAATCCAACCAATAGGGTTTTCCTATAATAACTCCCTTCCTGATAGGAAGAACGTGAATATTTTTTCTTTTTCGTATTTTTTAGTAAATGACTTATTTTGGTTGGTAAATGTCATAACAAAATGGTTCCCATATAGTTTTAATTCTAGTATATAGTATATAATTTTTAATTTCAGTAGTCATTTTCGAAGTTAACTTTGTTTTTGACGAAAAAATTTAATAGTTTAATCAAACTATTCAATCATACAATCACATCATAAACAAAACCCTCAAACAAAATGAATATTCCACCATTAATCCTTAACTCCCAACTCAATCTTTTGGAAAAAATACCTTAGTTCTTAGGTTATGTAGTCATTATCTACCAAGTTCCTACATATAATATATTAAGCTCGTAGCCCAAAATTTTGAAAACGCTAAATAAGAAAATAGTTCAAAAGATAGTTATGATAAAAAATTTCAAACTTATTGGCTTGAGTTCAAGTCCTTAAGGCTCATTTTTTAAGGAAAATCTTAAAGCCTTCCTCTTGGCTGATAGTGGATTAGGTAGTTAATGGAGATTAGTAGTTAATAGGTAGTTAAGGGTAAATAGGGTTATGCAAATATAATTAAAATTAATATAATTAATTAATGATTCTCTTTCTCTCTCCTCCCATGATTTTCTCCATCACCCTCTCTCTACATTATAATTAAAAAGAAATATGAAATTAATTTTATATAATATTTATTAAAATCCGAATTTCATAATTTTTGTTTTCTAAAATGGAAATTTGAAATCTAAAATATATGCCTCTCTCACAACTTGGCAACTTCCGATTAGTATTAAGTATGAACATTTTGTAATGACATTATCAATATTTATAAATTGAATCATCATTAGGGCTTTTTATTGTATGGGTTTGAGATTTTTCGTTGTTAGGTATTCGTTTTTTTTATTATTAATGTTGTTCGACATGTTTTTTAATAATTTTATATGACATTATTAACTTTTTATGTTATGTTTTGTTTGTAACATTAGCAAAAGTGAAATTGTGTTTTCAATTTGTTGGTACTTGAAGTTTATTTACTATTACATCGTATTATCAATTTGGTTCGCAATGATTTATAATCATTTGAAGTGCTATTATCAATTTTTTTTCCAAGCACAATACAACCATTAGCAAAAATTTAATTCATTTGTAAGATTGCTTATGTTTAGTGATTTGAATTATTAATATTTTTTCGTTTATGTTTGTAACTTTGTCAAATATCATTATCAAGAAGCATACTTGTTAGATATTTGTTTGTTTATGACATTATCAAAAGTGAATTAATAATGATGAGGTATAATAAATGTTGATAATGATGAGGTATAATAATAAGGGTTAATACCCTAGTTTGGCCCGAAGTTTGGGGTAAGTGACAGTTCTGGCCCCATTTTTAAAATAAGACATTCATGGCCTAATTTTGAAACTATTGGACGAATTTGGCCCAAAATTTTCTTTGACCGTTAATATTAACGATTAAACACTATTCCGTTAGTGACTCAGCAAAAAATCGCTGATGTGGCATGCCACATCATTAAATAATATTATTTTAATTTAAAATAAAAATTAAGAAATTCCAATTCCCCTGTTATCATCCCAAAATCCATTGGCCCCAAATCCAAACCCTAAACTGAATCAAACATCATCGTCAACAGGAGGCGCCTCCCTCCTGCTACTTCGGTCCGGCGAGCTGGCTCTTGACGCAGACGGAGGAGGAAGAGAGAGCGCGAGCTTAGAATCTTCTGCGGAGAGAGCTGCAGTGGCGTGGCGAACTTGGAGCTTCGAAGCGGCGGATTCGGCCGCCGTGTTTCCCTCGCACAAAGTGAGCAATCGCTTGGATTCCGAGTCCGATAGGTAGAACTCGAATTCCTTCGCCGTGCAGGCGGCGTTGAGCGGCGCCGCTGTTGCTCTGACTCGAATCACGGTGTTGGGGAAAGTGAGCGCGACCACGATGCCGACCGCGGCTAGGCGAGAGGTGGGTGAGATCGAGTTTGCCGGAAACAAATGGGATGGGGCGTGGCGGTCGGGGAACTCATGGGCGACGCGCTTAGCAGTTCGGTGAGCGTTTGAGTCGTCATTTTTGAAAATGGGCTTCCACGAGGATGTTTGATTCCGATCTGAAGGTGAACGAGACAAATTCTTAATACAGTTAGGAAGAAAATGGGTTTCCGATCTGAAGGTGAAGGAGACAAATTTAAAATGGGCTTCCATGAGGATGTTTAATTCAGTTTAGGGTTTGGAGGTTTGGAATTGGAATTTCTTAATTTTTATTTTAATTGAATTATAAAATTAAAATATTATTATTTAATGATGTGGCATGCCACATCAGCGATTTTGTGTTGAGTCACTAACGGAATAGTGTTTGACCGTTAATATTAACGGTCAAAGAAAATTTTTGGCCAAATTAGTCCAATAGTTTCAAAAGTAGGCCATAAATGTCTTATTTGAAAAATAAGGTCAGAACTGTCACTAATGCCAAACTTCGGGCCAAACTAGGGTATTAACCCTAATAATAATGATTCATTTCATAAATGTGGATAATGTCATTGCAAAATGTTAATATTGTATTGCAAGTTGCCACGAAGTGAGAGAGAGCATATATTTTTAATTTTCAATTTTCATTTTAAAAAGTAAAAAATAATAAGTGCGAATTTATTAAATATTAAATAATAATATTTAATTAAATTAATTTCGAATTTCCATTTAATTGTAGTGGAGAGAGAGAGGGTTATGGAGAAGATCAAGGGGGAGAGAGAAAGAGGATCATTAATGAGTAATATTAATTATATTTTTATAATATCTTATTTATTCCAATTAACTATTAACTACTAACCCTCATTAACTACCTAATCTAGTATCAGCCAATAAAAATGGTTTAAGAACCTCCTTAAACAATGAGGCTTAACGACCTGATCTAACCAGATTTTTCACAGATATGGTCGACCATGAAGGGATTATCATAGGGATAATTACAATGATTGAGTCAGCAATATAATAAAGCTTATATTTGGTCCGATTTTTAGTTGTGGTTTTCTGTTTCAAAAAACTGCAAATTGAGTGATGTCTATGTAAGATTGATTTTTGAAAAAGTTTAAAGTATAAGCTTCGATTTAGACCATTGATGAAACTTTATTTTGAAAAAATAAAAGAATATTCTTATCATTTAAATAAAATTTAAATAAATATATTTTTCTTCATTTATATCATCTTAAAACTAAAATAATTTGTTTAATATAACATAATTCTAAAAATATTCATTTTGTGTAGCTTTATTTATATTTTATATCAAAAAATTAGTCATTTTACATTACATCTAATATTTATTCAGACAAACACTTAGCTCATTTCCTCCTTCTAAAACCTCAAGTCATAAGTTATTTTCTCGAAACGTACAACACGACCAAACTAGTCCAAAGTAAAGAATAAGCAAGGTATTGCGTGCCACTAAATCGACAATATAGTCATAAAGCCCAAAACCCCGATCCAAACACATGGACAAGCCTATTCCTAACAAACCCTACAACCGCCGACCAAAACACTAAGGACATGGTTGTCGATTGCATCCCCGACCACCAAAAGCACTCCGAATACAACCTTCCTGCCTTCACGTGGTCACACGCCGGGAACCACAGAGGAGGCGATGAAAGTTGCAAATATAAAAGGCTCCACCAGACAGTTGACGAGCCGACCTAAAGGGGGAATTAAAAAACCTCGATTGGGAGGAACCAATCCCAGAGATAGATCCACCTGCAAAACAAGTAAACCATGGGGAAATCCAAGGCCTTGGTCAGAGGAAAGTCGACCAAATCATTGCCACTCTGAGCCTTCGGCTAGATCCTTCCTCAAGAGTGTCATCCTTGCTCACAAGCCCCATTAATCTTCATCCAGTACAACCAAGGTCCATGCATCTCCGAATCATCTCCATTTTATGGATGAAACATGTGGAGGTAGATGGAGGATCGGAGAGAAGCAAACGAGCGACAACATTGGTCCCCTCAAACACCTACTAGAAACACATCCACACGGATATGGGATCTGGTGAGGCACAAAAGCATCTCCTCGTGGAGATTGGAAAAACATCACCATTAGGGTGGAAGAGGATCCAAAAAGGAGGAAACCAAACAAGAAAATCAAAGCTAGATGCAAGAAAAGGAGCAGAAAAACAACAAAAAATCAAAATACAAAAGACAGAGGGAAGGAGAGAGCGACAAAGGACATGAAAAGACAAAGGAAAACGAGAGTCACCGCCTGTTCCAGAAGAAGTCGACGACAGCCCGTGAAATTCAAAAATTGTGTCTTAGTGAGAAGGCATAAAAATGAGAGAGAAGATAGCCCCCGCACACGTAGAATAGATTGCTTTATCACGAATTGTATATGTGTGCATACACAATGAACTGAAGGAATATACTTACTAATCTAGTGTTGAGCTTTAAAATGAGATCGGTCATTCAAGGGCTTTAATTGAGTAAATATATGATGACTAATTAACATGATTATACGTGTTTAAATGTAATATGAGATAGTGTGGGTGCAGTCAAAATGATGTGTAGGCACTTCTTCAAGCATGGTATTATAATAAGCGGTTAATCAAGTTAAGTAAAGATGACTAATACGGATTCACGTGTTATTTCTGAATAAGCTACTGAGATGAAACAATGTCGATTCATCCAAGGTGTTGCGTGACAGCTTCTTCAATCATACGCGACGATGTGTGCGTAAGAGAATGAAAAATGCTATGTATAGACACAAGTGAGTGACTCGATTTTTGTGCTATTATGTGATACCATACAATCAATAATGTATCCATTGATAGATAGATCCCGGCAAAAATATAAACTCATTGAAGAGCATAACACAAACTTTATGTTGAGTGAGGTACACACGAATTCAAATATCGATCTAATCAATACCAGAAACGAGAAAGCTAAAACAAATATTCCAACTCATCAATATTTAAACGCATAGATTCATTGACCGATCATACCACACGCACGAGAATTCAAAATTACTCCTGAATTTACCGAAGTACTGAAGTGTTCTTTAAGTTACAGGCCATCTGGGCTGCGGAACAAGATATTTTGGTTTGTAGAATTTGGGTTAAATTACAATCATTTGGGCTGTGAAGCCCAATCCAGGATTGTAAAGGAAAGCCACCGTCTAGTCTAGGCGTCTATATATAGCTAGTCACCATATGAAAAACTGATTCCATATCTCCTTAGCTTTCTGGGTTTCTCCGAGGTAATCCCAAGCTCGCCTAGGCGCCTACCACCGAATCCTTTCTCCTCCGGCGCCGACCGGCGTTATACTCCTTCAACCCAGCAGTCTCTCTACGCCATGGCGATTGAGAACTTTATCTCAGATCTGTACCGGCCGCTAAGGGAATACCGTCACCGTTCCGCAAAGCGACGACGAGTCAGTCCACAACTAGCGAACCTTCCCCCCACGACGATCAGCAAGCTCGGAGAGGATCTCATTGTAGAAATTCTGATTCGGCTCCCCAACCCTAGATTCGCCTGCCGGTGCAAACTCGTCTGCAAGCGGTGGACCTCCCTGATCTCCAGCCCTCGCTTCAACCGCCGCTTCGTTTCTCACCGCCAGACCATGAACCTGACCCACCCACCTATGCCGGAGAATCCATACGAGCTTCAATCGACCATCCTCAGCTTTCTCCCTCCAATGCCTAGCGACGTTCGAGACATTCTCAGAGTTTTGGATTGCAACCAAGACCTGGTTCTGTGCGGGTTTTGGGATCCAAATTTTGACAATGGGGAACTTTCCAGGTCGTACTTAGTCTGCAATCCGTTTACCAAGCAGTGGATGGCTCTTCCTTTAGCGCCCAGGAAGTCTATGACTTATAACTGGCCGGTTGCAAGGTTAGTTTGTGAACCCCGTATTTCTGTCGAGCTTGATCTAGGAGATGACCAAGCATTTGTTTATTCCGAGCATCTCTTTTGGGTGGTGTGTACATATCAAACCACTCCACCAAATGAGGCCATTAAGCTAGACGTGTTTTGTTCCGAGTATGGAGAATGGACAAAGGAGGCTTTTGAATGGGATCGTTGTAGAAGAATGGGATCGAAAGGTGTAATTTCTTGCAGTGGGGAGTTGTTTTTGACCTACAGTCAAATTGGTCCCAACGGCTTGCATACTATGGTGAATGGATTTAATCCTTTTCGCCTTGATGTGCCTCCCACTCCGATTGATATTTCTGCATTCCTTGTGTATCCTCTATGGTTTATTTCCAGCTCACAAGGCGCTCTGCACGTACTTGCAATGGAACATGAAACCATGCCTGTTCGTTTGAGCGTCTGGAGGCTGGCAGAAGACCGTAAATCTTGGATGAAACAATGCGAGGGGTTGGTGAACAAGACATCAATGTGTTGTAACTATGAAGCTAAGGGCTGTTATTCATCGTTTCTGCATCCACATAAGCCGGAACTTGTTTTCTTCACTCCGGTTTTTGCTATTGACGAGAATGCTATATTGTGCTGTGATTTGGGGAGGGAAGAGGTATGGTTCTTCACTAAACTAGAATGGCAGCATGATGTCTATCGTCTTCATGTGTTCCAGCCTAGATTATCTTGCTGGGCTACTCCAATTCCAAGGCACAAGGGGTTGCAAGGAAGTTATGATGAAAATACTAGCTTGTGGGTTGAGAGCAGCGGTGAGGCCAGAACACCCTTGCTCCACTCCCTCAATCATTGGTATAATTGCTTTCCCTTTCGACAATTTACTTCTTCTCTGCCTTTTGCATGTCTGTTAAGTTAGGAAATCGCTAAATGAGAAAAAAGAAGGCTAGAAAGAAATTTTTACTGAAATCTCTGGTTCATAACTGGTTAAGGAGTGCAGTTTTGGGTTTGCCTAACTAGCTAACTACCTCCTCTCACGAAACACGTATTAAGCCGCAGATAATTATTATCTCCTGTCATTTGCTTGAGTATTTTTTTTGGTTGCAAACTCTTTGCCTGCTCTTTTAGACCAAACATAAGGGGGAAGTTGTTAATGATAAAGATGCTCATGGACATGTATGTGTCTCCTTCATTTTCTCTCTATTTACTGGTTTGTGTTCCTATGTTTCTTCTCATTTCTGTTGTGGCTGGTATATTCGCTGCACTATGGTTTTGCTATTAGTCATTGATGCCGTGCTGCTAAAACTGACCCTAGCCGGTCCGGCCGGTAAAATGGCAACCGGAGGCCATCCTGGTCTGGATGAGCATTTTGGCAGCCTCCTGTTATTCGGCTGGTCAGAAACTGTTCGATTCGGACAAACTTGGCAGCCGGTTCAAACCAACTGAATTGGAAAACAAACCAAGAAATCATTATTACGATGATGGTTTAGTGTGTTCTACTTATAATAACATATTTTTTGTTTACGAGTCATCAGTTGCTGAACAATATGTAGCGATTTAATACTCTGTTTTGGTTTTTTCAACATTGACTTGATGTTATCTATATGTTTTCCTCTTTTCGGCATGGATCATGTTATGAAATCGTCCGTGTACAAGGATTATATAGAACGTGCAGTGGCGGAGGCAACTTTGAACCTAGTGGCTGAAATCATTCTGGGAAAGAGGAGCAGAATCGGCGAGTTTGTTTCTCGACGATGGTGGCTGCCTCGTTCTCCAGATTTCGGCCATGAATTGGATATGCTGGAAGCTGGTTTGAAATGTCTTTGAGCTGATGTGGACACCATCGGCAAGCAGAGAGCAGAACTGAAACAGGCACTTCTGCGTGAAACGTCAGAGCTTCCCCGTCCTCCTTCAGGTTTATCCGTTTGAGGTTTCGAGATGAGATTTTTTATGTAATATAAAGTTATAATCTTAATGGATTAATAATGGATTATGATTCTATTATCATCCTTAAATTTCAGGCCCTGTCGAAAGTGTCTTCTGGAGGGCGCTACCTTATAGGGGACTAAAGCATATGTTGGATGAGTGGTGGCGCAGTTGGTTGGCAGCTACTTCTAGTAGCTAAAGAGCAGGAGCTACCCAGAGGTCGCGATTATCACAATCCTCCATATTTTTAATTAACTAGCTTCGTGAATTCCCTTAAAAAAAACAAGCTTTGTGAACGGCCATTAGGCTGACTCTAATGCAGCCTGCATTTATGGGGTTCTCGCCATTAATGGCGATTTTGGAGCTCCAATGCGGGATCGAAAAATGGCGAAGATCGGCATTTATGGAAGGCATCGGCATCTGCATCGCCAAATATGGAGGATGGAATGCCGAACTCGGTATTTATGGGGAATGAAAACCGCCCAGCAGTGCTTTTTTTTTAATTGCTTGGTAATTAATGTGATTAATTAAGGGAAGAAAGGAAAGGTGTTGAGTTATTTAAGAAAATTGATTAAGGGAATTGAATGTAATTAATTAGGGGAATGGAAATTAATGTTTGTATTTAGGCTTTTTAGATTGTATTTAATTTGTGTTTAATATTTGTGTATTTATGTTTTTTTTCTAAGATGACTTAAATTGTACCATTTGAATTATTTAGGCTTTTTAGATTGTATTTAATTTGTGTTTAATATTTGTGTATTTAGGCTTTTTTCTAAGATGACTTAAATTGTACCATTTTAATATTTGTGTAATATTTAAGCTTTATGGTTAGCAAGTGTTGTGTGTAACCTATGAATTGTACCATTTGAATTATTATGTCAACTCGTTAAGCTTTATCATTTTGAAGTGTTGTGTGTAAACCCAAATTAGGTCCATAATTTTTCATCAAAAAAAATTCGGTCTCGAAATTTAACAAAGTTCTATCGAAAAATTTGTATTTAAAAATGATGATGAACTATACAAAAATTAACATGAACAAATTATATTAAAGTTTTGATAAGTATATTTTTAAATAAATGGAAAAACTGGAAATATTAAGAACTCCAAATATGGAGTTTGTTGCATTGGAGCAAAAGAAGAGAAAATGAGGTTCAATTTCAATCCCCAAATTTGGGGTTCAAGGCCCCCAAATTTGGGGTTTTGCATTGGACTTGGCCTTAGCCATATAATTATTAGTATTATAATTAATCATGTACCGTCATACTTAAACAATATTTAATTAGTATTGCATTAAATGTTTATGTAATTTGTCCGTAATGATAAAATTTGTATTTCTAGTATGCGAGGGGTGGGAAAATGGTTGCGGTTTTACAGTTAATTCGAAATTGGACTGAATAAGTACGGTTTGTGGTCATTGGCAGAGCTAGGTGAGGGGATGTGGGGTCTATGGACCCTACTTGAAAAATGAATACACATTAAAAATGGTGGATTTTTAAGGTGTGGTTAGTAAATTTGGAACCATGGACCCCCTCTTCCCAAGACAATGATTTTACTATTGAGACAAACTTTGTATTTCATTTTATTTGGACCCCACTAAATGATATCTCTGGTTACGCCAATGTTTGTGGTTAATTAAAAGTTGGGTCAATTGTAAGGTTGACCACTAGGATTTAAGCAATGGGGTGGGTTACGCCAAATCACCAAATCCATGAGTTTATAAAAAAAAAAAACCTGGGGTAAAACCCACTAGATTTGAAAAACTTAAACCCAACCCGCTGGGTATCCGCGTGTTTGTGGTTAACTAAAATTCGGGTAAATTGTAAGGTTGGCCACTGGGATTTAAGTAATGGGGGTGGGTTATGCCAAATCCAAACCCAAATTCATGGGTTTATCCAAAAAAAATCCGGGGTAAAACTCACTGGATTTGGAAAACTTAAACCCAACCCGCTGGGTATCTGCGGGTTCATGTGTACCCATGGATTCATGTACAAAGATGTAATTACACAAGTTTGCAGTTTTCACTACTATTGTCTACTAGGGGTGGACATTCGGTTGGTTCGGTTTGAATCGAACCAAACCGGCCACTACCGGGGTCCTAATTTAACCCAAAAGCCAAACCTAATTCGAACCGAATTATATTTCGGTTCAGTTTGGCCGAACGAAATATAAATCGGTTCGGCTCGATTTTACCTCCAAAACCGAACAGGCCAGCTGTTTGCGTTTTCCCAATATGGCTCATGCGTTTTTGCATATGCTGCTGGTCAAAACGGAAGAGGTCTCTCGTTTACCCTATCTTCTCAAATCTCACTTATCCTTGATTCCTCAGAAGAAACTCTCTCCTCTCCTCTCTCCCCCTCCAATCAACTAACGAGGCAGCATCGACCGACGGCGCAACGCTGGACGTTAGACGACAACAGCGATTGAAGGCAGCATCGATCTGAACTCAAAAAAGCGACTGATGGCAGCCGACGGGGATGGTGACGACCTGGACAACGAAGGTTTGTTTTTGTGAGTTCAGATCCAAGCATGCATGTTATTTTCTGGGTTTGTATTCTCCTTCGAGCTTCAGGAGTATCGTCTCTGTTTTTCAATTCAAGTGGAGAAGGTACTAGCTGCGGGCTACGGTCGACAGAGAAGAGAAAGTCGTGAAGACAGGAAGAAAGATTGACCCGGCAATGAAGGAGGTGGAAGAGCGTGAAGGAGAAGACGGCGGAGATGATGGGTTGATGGCGTCGGTCGTTGGTCGTCGAAGAGCAGAGAGGCAGGGAACGGAGGGTAATGGCAGGAGGCGCGACCGCTATGTGGTGGGAAGGGATGGGCTAGGTCTGGGCTAGGGTTTTGTCGGATGGGCTGATGGGGATGGGGCTAGGGTTTCAATATGCAAAAGGGCTTTTGGGCTTGGGCCTTGGGGTTCATGAAATGTCAACTATTGGGCATATTTTGGTTTTCGGTTCGAAATTCGGAATCCCGGTTCGGTTGGGAGAACTCCGGTTTCCGAACTTCCCATAATTCCCTTCCAAATTTCTAACCGAGAATCAAAAATTCGGTTTTGGTCCGGTTCGGGTTTACCGAACCGGATGCCCACCCCTATTGTCTACTACAAACAAACTAACTCACAAATTATTCATACTAATTCTTCAATATTAAATATAAACATCCACAAACAATATGATTAATTGAACGTGTGAGAAAACATATTAGAATTTATAGTTAATTAGTTAAGGGTGTCGTGGGTCGTGGGGGTATGGACTTGGGTGCGGGTATCCACGAGTTGGATATGGTTAAACCCAAACGCAGCCCAACCCGTAAAATATATAGCGGTTTTAAACACGAACCCGGCCCGCAATCCGTCAAAGCGGGTTTTATTCGCAATCCATCGAAGCAGGTTTTACCCGCGTTGATCGGATTGGGTCGGGTAGGGTACTCGCGGATTCGTGTTCTACTGCCATCCCTAGATTTAAAGGTGTCAAAATAGAATCCAACCAGACTAACCCGTCAGATCAACTTGACCCGTATCTTGCCTGCAATCTGAATTTACTAAAAGTTAACAATTCATAACTCGCCTGACTAGCAACGTGATTGACCCACAACCCGATTAAACCTGTAATTCGATTAACCCGAACCTGACTAATCGTAGAGTCGATCAACTTAACCCGAACCTCGCTTGATCCACTTGAATAATTATTATATTATGTAATGCATAGTCTTTTAAAATAAAGTTTTTCCTTCTAAACCTAGATAAAATCATTTATTCATTTCGTATAGGGAATTAAAAAAATATGAAACTCACTTGAAATTATTTATTTTAATAAAATTATAAAAATTAAACATGAAGGTCACTTGAACACTAAGTTCTTTAACAAAATAGAAATAAACTTGAAATATAAAATCGCCACAGTGTCAGTAATTGATAATTGAGACAGTGGACAATATTAATATAGTATATATAAATTAAATTTTTGATTAATTTAACTATTCAACCAAGTTATCTATTATATATAAACAGAGTAAACTAATGTGTTTGGTGATTTGATGATTTTAAAAGATGAGGGATATTTTGGTGTTTTCAACTTTTTGGAAAGAGAAAGATGAGGAAAATTAGTATTTTGAATTTTTTAGAAAAGAAAGAAAGGAGAATTTTGGTGTTTTTGATTTGTGGGAAGAGAAAGAAGTGGGAAAGTTTGGTTCTTTTGATTTATAGAGAGAGAAATAGGGAGGAAAATTTTATGTTTTCAACTTATTTAGGAAGGGAAGAAGAAGGAAATTTCGTTCGTATCGAAGAGAAAGATAAGGGAAACTTGAGTGCTTCTCATTTATAGAAGGAGGAGACATATTGGAAGGGGAGTAAACAGGGGAGGACGTTTCATCTTGAGAAACTTCATGATCACCCCAGTTCGGCGGTTCCTCCTCCGTCAGTGAGTTATTGTCTAGGTCTGTTAGTTGTCTAGTTTTTTCAAGTCTTTCAAATAATACGCGAGAAATTTGACATGCTTGTTTGAGACATCCCCACTCGGGGCATCTATCTTTGATGTTTAATCTTTTTTTGCTTGGCAAACATAACGTTAGTCCTCCTGTTAAGAATTTTTGTACTAGTTGTACTGAAGCAAGGACCACCACTATTTCCTTCCTATCTAGTACCGCTGTCATACAGGAACATTTTCATTTAATTCAAACTTATCTCTGGGGGGTATCACCTGATGTTTCTTGTCGTGGTTACCGTTATTTTGCCTTGTTTATTTATCATGCTACTCATTTCTCTTGGATCTATTTTCTCCGTCTGAAATATGAACTTCATTCTGTGGCTATCGAGTTCCTTAATATGATACATACTCAATTTGGTCGTACGGTTAAGGTTATTTGCTCAGATCCGGGAGGCAAATTTAGCTCTCACCCTTTGCATGAAGTGTATAAGTCTCGTGGCATTCTGAGTCAAATGTCGTATCCTGGAGTATCTCAACAAATTGGTTTGGTAACGAAAGTACCGCCATGTTGTTGAGCTTACTCGGGCACTTCTTCTAGCCCATTGTTTTCCTATTCGTTTTCGTCCTGAAGTCGTAGCAACTTCAGTTCGTTTGATTAACTATCATATGACTCCTATACTTCAACAAAAGAGTCCTTACTTCGTGCTGTATGGTCGTCATCCTGACTATACTCGTCTTCTGATCTTTGGTTGTCAGTGTTTTGTGCTTCTTCCTAAGTGGGAAAGAATCAAATTAACCTCTAAGAATGCTCGTTGTGCCTTCCTAGGATTTAGTGATGTTCACAAAGGTTATCTTGTTATGATCCTGTAGTCCAACGTGTTCGTATACTAAAATAAGTAAATTACTAAAATAGGTCACCAAATTTTATCTCATGAGGGAAAATTTAAATTGAAGAAAAAGTACACAAAAAGTACAATATTTTATTGGATGATGATTCTTTTAGAATTTGTGGTGGCATATTCGGTCTCACAAGGTGTGTTGCACGTGACTATTTTAGAAAAATAATGTTGCTCCTTTTCATGAATTGTCTTGAGTGTTCGAAGACTTGAATAAGACCATATATTGGAGTAACCAATTTGAAGGATCGATGATGACACTAAAGAGTAACCATGACCCTAACATTTGTGTATTTGTTTTTTTTTATATCATAGTCAGATGAAATAGTAGACATATATGATTACAATAGATAAAAGTAACGACAATCGATACTAATCGATCTGTTGATGAAAGAGCCTTTTATGCAACTAAATGGGCAATTCTATTAGTTCCTAAGAACAAAGTGACAAAAACACTGAAACCTAAAAAAGATATAAGCCTCCACCGCTACACCACACCGTCTTAAGGTCTCTGTACCTTAACCTAGGACCAAACTCTTGTGTCTATCAAGCAGCAAATTGCAGATGTATCTGATGCCACCTAGAATTGGATTGAAGTGACCCATAACACCAAGCAGAGGCAAACCTGCAAAACAAATAAAAAACGAGGGCCAAATGCCAAAAAGCCATAAAGAAGGCCCATCAAGCCCATAAAAGGCATGCGGGGGAAATTGACAACATGGCCCAACAAGGAAAAGACAGACGGGCCAAGCAGATGACACGTCTACTATTGACTGTAGCAACTGCCACACGATCTAATTCAACGAGCATTTCTACTATGCTATATAGTATTGGTGCTTTAATGAACAATTTAAAGTTGTACCATAACATTAAATGTATAAGTTTAGGTTGTACCATAAAGCAATTTGTATCATTATGTTATTGTACAATTTTACAACTTGAAGTATAATTAATTAAAATAATAAAAACACTCAAAATATAATTAATTTAAAGTTTGCTAGTATGTTATACTCAAAATAAATGTTTATACTGTGAGCAAAAATTATCATGCATTTTAACATGTAATTGTTTATACCTTTAATATGAATTTATGATTATATTATTGTTTTTGAAAATTAATTAACTACATATCCAAAAAAAATCATTGAAAATATGAATGTAAAAGTTTAAGAACTTGACTGAATTTATTTGAAATTACAAGATTTATAAGAAAAAAGCAGGAAAATTAGAGGATTGAATTGAAAAAAAAAACTGTTAAAATTATAAAAGCAATGCTGTGTATCAGGAAAATTTAAGAACTAGGCAGCTTATCCACTGGACTAGAAATTTGTGCTGTTAACAAAGTTTCATTCTAGCGAACCCCAGAATCAGCTCCCTAGCGACCCCCAATCTGGCCCAGCGTCTAAACCAACCAGTGAACATCAATCTAAGCCTCTCCCAACCGTTTTGGTGGCCAGCCCAAACAAGACGAAAATCCAGATCCTTGAGGTCCCTGATTTGCGCCCACCTGAGAAAGAAAACCAGAACCCCAACTCCGGCGGCTCTTCGGTCCGGCAGCACTTTCCCAGGCAGAAGGCGGAACGGTCTACGCAGCACAAGGGCGTCAACCTGAAGGCTACGAGAAAACCTCTTCAGATCCAGAGCCCTGGCAAGAAGGAAGCTCATCATAAACAGAAACAGGGGGCCTTCCCGATGTCGATACAAGCGATTGAAGAATTCTGCACCACTTCCCTCAAAAAAAGCGATTGGCCCTCGGGGCTTACCGAAACTGAGAAAGGGGATGTGGCTATGGTTGAGAGGAACAACATGGAAACCTCCAAAGAACAGCCCCTCACAGAGGAGCATGAAGCGTCTTCCTTTGAAGCCTCCTGAGCTCTTCGACTCCTCTTAGCCTCCTTCTTTTTCCTTTTATTTTTTTTTCCATGATTTATCAAACTAATTTAAATATTTTGTCTTGGAATGTCTGTGGAGCAGGAAGCAAGAAATTTCTGCGAGCTATTCGTTTGATGAAGAACACCTATAAACCCGATTTCCTTATTGTTCTGGAGCCACAGATCAGCGGAGAAAGAGCAAACTCGATCTGCAGCAAACTGGGTTTTGATGAGATAATTAGAGTCGACGCGAATGGCAGGTCGGGTGGGATCTGGTTGGCTTGGAGAGCGGATGATTTCACTGTAGTTTTGGTGGATGCCAGTAGACAGCACATTTCCGTCAAAGTCTCTAAGCAGGGGCACCAAGATTGGATCCTCACTTGTGTATATGGCAGTCCCACTTATCAATATCAGCCTCTTTTGTGGGATCAAATCATTCGAGCTAGCAAGACTTGTAATCTCCCATGGCTTTTGACGGGGGGATTTCAATGCTTTTGGTAGCCCGGATGAAAAGAAAGGTGACTGTTCTGCTAGGGATTTAAGGCGGTGTAAGAAGTTTGTAACTTGGATGAATGATGCTGGTCTCACATACATGAGTTTCTCGGGCTCTCGATTCACATGGTTCAGGGGAGCTACTGCTGAAACTCACAAGGCGAGCATGATAGATCGTTCCATGTGCAACGATCTGTGGAATTTCTCTTTCCCTAATACTGTGGTACAACATCTTCCTAAGTTCCATTATGATCATCTCCCGATTTTAACAAGATATTCGTCAATGGCTCAGCCAAATGTTACAACCAAGCAGTTTCGTTTTGAGGCAGCCTGGTTATTACATCCCCAATTCAGCGACTTTGTGCAATCCAGCTGGGAAAAGGAGGCGGCCCTTCTGGATGCGCTCAATAATTTCGCCGGTAAGGCTGAGCAGTGGAAGATAGACGTGTTTGGTTCCTTTGGTCGCAAGAAGAAGAGGCTTCTGGCCAAATTGCAGGGTATTACAATTAGAATTGCCAATTCCTTTAGCCCGAGCCTAATGAAACTGCAGATAAAGCTAGAGAGGGAATTGGATCTCATCATTGCTCAAGAAGAACTGTACTGGTATCAGAGAGCGAGTGAAAAATGGGTGTGAAGTTTGGAGAACAGAATACCTCTTACTTACATCAACAGGCCACTAGACGAAGGAGGAGGAACAGAGTGCTGGCTTTGCGGGATGGCAACGGTGACTGGATAGACAGCCAGGAGGAGGTTAAGGATTTAGTAGTCCAATTTTACGAGAAGGTCTACACGCAAGAGGACGGGATGTACGAAGATTTGATGCCCAAGGGTTGCTTTCCTCGATTGCAACAGACAGATCTTCTTCAGTTACTCCGACCCTTCCACATACAGGACTTCCACAAATCTATTTTTGAAATGAAGCCTATGTCGGCTCCTGGTCCAGATGGTTTCCAGGCGATGTTCTATCAGAAATTCTGGTCCGTGGTAGGAAGGAATCTCACGGAGATGGCAACTCACTTTTTCAAGACAGGAAATATCCCGGAGGAGATTTTTGATTCCACAGTGGTGCTTATTCCTAAAGTGTCTCATCCTGAGACTCCTGCTCAATTCCGCCCTATCAGCCTAAACAATGTCTCGTTAAAGGCAATCACGAAGGCCATTGCTAACAGACTAAAACCTCTGATGCCTATGTTGGTTGTCCCTACTCAAAGTGGTTTTATCAAGGGTCGGCAAACTAACGATAACATCCTGATGCTTCAAGAGACTCTCCACTCCCTGAGGAAGAAGAAGGGCAAAAAGGGTGGCCTCGTGATCAAGATTGATTTGGAGAAGGCCTACGATCGGCTTCATTGGAGTTTTCTGAGAGACACTCTGGCGGAAATAGGTCTACCAAGTACGTGGATCAGCCGGATAATGACCTGTGTAGAGAAGAATCAGATGAGGATCAATTGGAACGGAGAACTCACCTCGACATTCAGACCGTCTCGGGGAGTCAGACAGGGAGACCCCTTATCTCCTTTTCTTTTTGTTCTTTGCATGGAAAGACTTGCCCATCTCATTGAGAAGGCTGTAGATGAGAATCGCTGGAAGCCAATTTCTGTGGTTAAAAATGGGCCAAAGCTATCTCATCTATTTTTTGCTGATGACTTAATTTTGTTTGCTGAAGCTGAAGGGGGACAGATTGACGTTATTCGCTCTTGTTTGCAGGACTTCTGCTCTAGTTCGGGACAGCGAGTTAATCTCAACAAATCTGCCATGTTTGTGTCGCCCAATATCCAAAGAGACAAAGCTCAGAGACTCAGTGCGAGGGCGGGTATCACCCTAACTGACGATTTGGGTAGATATTTAGGCCTGAAAGCTATCAACGGCAGGGTCACGAAGGGGCGGTACCAAGAGCTTATCCTGAAAATACAGCAGAAGCTCGCGACCTGGAAGGCTAAGCATCTTTCCGTGGCAGCCCGGATTACCTTGGTGAAATCAGTAGTTTCGGCTATGGCAATTTACCCCATGTTTACTGAACGTCTACCTGCTAGTGTTTGTGCTTCTCTTGACAGGTTAAATCGGCAGTTCGTCTGGGGGGAAGAGGAAGGGAAAACAAAGTTTCACCCGATATCTTGGGATCATATGACTAAACCGAGGCAGCAAGGCGGAGCTGGGATCAGACCCACTAGACTGGCAAACCAAGCAATGTTGGCTAAAGGAGCGTGGAAGTTGGTATCGGATGATCAAGCCCTTTGGGTCCGGGTGATGAGAAGTAAATACGGGGGAACAAGGCAAGGGTTGCAGATCATCAACAAAAGAAAGGGAGGCTCTTTTGCTTGGAATAGTTTTGCTCAGACTATTAATTTAGTGCGCAAAGGTGCAGCCTATAATGTTAAAAATGGTAGGAAAACTAAGTTTTGGACGGATACGTGGGTTTTGCAGGTCCCCTTGATAGAAGTGACAACCTCGACAGTGCCTATTGATCTGGAGCAAAAAACGGTGGCTGATTACTGGGAGGCAAGCAACGGATGGAAGGTCCAGGACTTTCAGAGCTACTTGCCTCAAGAGGTCGTCGATAAGATCCGGTCGACCATGCTGGACCCGATTTCCCAGGAGAACGACAGATTGTTTTGGCAGCTTACTGCCAACGGTTCGTTCAGCGCCAGTTCGGCGTATTTGGTAGGTTCCCCGGAGTGGAGCAGTCAAAATCAAATGGACTGGAGGGGGATTTGGAGACTTCGCTGTCCGGAGCGGGTTAGGTGGTTCGCTTGGCTCGCAACAAAAGGGAGGCTCTCTACTAATAGTGTGAGGAAATTTAGACACCTGACTACTGATGAAAACTGCCCTCTGTGTTCAGGTAATCCCGAGACCAATTTGCACTGTCAGCGAGATTGCCCAGGAGCTAAGAAGGTTTGGGAGAAAGTGGTGCCGGTCCAAGACCATCACAGCTTCTTTTCAATGGACCATGCTACTTGGTTCCGTACAAATCTCAAGGAAGGCATGGAGGATAATGACAAAGAAGTTTGGCCCAGCAAATTTGCTTTGTTATGTTGGTTTATTTGGAAATACAGAAATGAGTTTCTCTTCCAGGGCAAGAGGCTAGCGGAGTCGACCTTCATCAACTATGTTACCTCCAAGGCAAATGACTGGATCGCCACTTGGGAAAGAGCTAGCATCAACCTGATTTCCGGAAACAAACCCCCTCGCGAGGACAGGCTGATTGGGTGGAAGGCTCCGCCAGTGGGGTGGAGAAAATTGAACACGGATGGAGCTTCACAACGTCCTTCGGGTCTGGCAACTGTTGGAGGAGCTCTTCGAGATAGTGATGGGGATTGGCTGAAAGGTTTTTGTTGCAAGATTGGTACAGGTTCGGCCATTCTAGCGGAGCTTTGGGGGATTCATCAGGGTCTGACTATGGCTTGGAATCAAGGGACCCGATTCCTTATTTTGGAAACAGATTCAGAACTGGCTATTGAGCTCATCAAGAATTGTGAGGACCCGGCCCATCCTCACTCGACGATCCTTGCGGCCATTAGACGTTTAATGTCTCAAGATTGGGTGGTCCAGTTAGTTCACACGTATAGAGAAGGGAATAGAGTCGCGGACTGGCTCTCGAAGCACAGTCTCGTCTATCCCTTCGGTACGTATGATCTAACGGATCCCCCAGCTGAGTTGGAAAGAATTCTGAGAGAAGACATTATTGGTGTCAGCTTCCCTCGAAGAGTGCTGCAGAACAGGGCCTAGATTGCTTGCGTTTTGTTTGGCCTACCTGGATTTCCTCGTCCTGTTTCTTTTTAGCTCTCTTTTAGAGTTTTGTTTTGCTACCCTCCCTGGACTGATTCTGCTGGCCTGTAGCAGTTTCAGCTGTTTGGGTTTGTGGACTGTTGCTTGACCCTTGGCTTTTTGCCTCCCTCAATTCAAAAAAAAAAAAACAAAGTTTCATTCGGATTTTATATATCTGTTTGATTGAATTTATACGTAATTCTCAGAATTTCCTAGACTTTATACGCGAGTTTTAAAATTTTCGGGGGTCCGGGGCCCCTCCCAGCCCTTAGATCTGGACACACCAATCTGACGGTTAAAGAGTGAGAAGGACTATTTAATTAATGACACGGGTAGTTTGGGTATTATGAAAAATTACGAAATATACAAACCGGACATACAAACAGTACAAACCATACAAACATGCGAACAATACAAACTAGGGCGATAAAACATACAAACATATTTACAAACAATACAAAATATACGAACTATACACACAGTACAAACTAGACCGACAAACATTACAAAACATACTAATAGTACAAAATGCCACTACTTACCATACATAATAGTAAACTTGTATTACAAATCAATGAATACAAAGTATACAAATCACAATATAAAGTATACAAACTAGACAAACAAACATTACAAATTAAAATGTATACAAACGAGTCATAGAAACATTACAAACATAATAAATAAAAATGACAATCTATAATGATAAATGATACAAACCGAATTGATACAAAATCACAAAACATACTTACAAACATTACAAAACCGCCCGACAAATATAACAAAACAGACGTTGTTGCCAAAAAATCTCCCATCGCCGGGAAATCCTCGCCATCGCTGGAAAATTCACCGATGACGAAAAACTCTCTCTCTCTCACTGCGCGGAGCTCCATGGAGAGGAATGTATTTCCCAGGCCCCTCCTCTGGGGAACAAGCCGCCTGGTACAGGAATGAACGTCGGGAAATTCAATCAATCCCTTATCCCTGGCTGGCGGAAGAGACCGAGAGAAACGCCGGAAAAATCCCATAAGGGATGAAACGATGTAGAATGTTGGATTTTTTTAATTAATTAATAATTTAAAATTAATAAAATCATGCAATT